TCGATATATTTATTGGCATAGTTTATGCACTGATATCGCGTTTCACTTGTTCTTCGGGCAACCAAAAGTCTTAAGATGGGTGCCCAATAAGATTCGGCCACCACTAATCTTTCGTGGCGACAATATGCATCCGTCGGCTCTTCGTGTCACGATCGGCGTTGTGTGGGTACGGTATACGCTCTTGACTGAAGAGTTTATTGGTTATGTCGACAAACATGCATCAAATTCCCAGGAAGATGACCTTTTCAAGAAGGCTGACGAATGCTGCACACAGCTTGAAAGCCTCGTGGCCGAGTGGAAGCTTGAGCAGCTCATGAATGCCGAGGACACTTCCATTGACCACCGCTGTATGCTTGCTGATCATACCAGTATGTGGCAAGACGGATTGCGCATTAGCCATGGATGCTAACATAAGTCTAGTGAACATTTACACCTACATCATTGGGATACAGAGGCTAATCCAAGCAGCTGTACGGGGAAATTCCGCCACAGCAGTTAAACCGAGTCCATTTGCTGTTCGAGCGGCTCGAAAAGTGTCCAGGATCATCCTCGACTTCCATACTGACCCTACCGTGAATTCAAAATCCAAGAGCATCACCAATCAGTAAGTCCAAAAAATATTGAACTCTTTGCGGCTCGAATGCTTTGTACTCGTTAAAGTGGCTGACCTTGTTGCAGTTTCATCACATTGTACCCCTTCTGCGTAGTTTTCACCCTTTACGAGCAAATACTTGCTACGTACAACCCCGACGACTGCGAGAGTGACATGCAGATACTGGAGAGTATTGGCACAGCTATGAACGAGGCGTCCGCACAGCGACGAGACTTGGTACCATTTGTCAAAACCGTCGATGCACTGAATAGAGTATCGCGAACGTTGCAGGAAGAGAGGCGCAAAGAGAGGGTTCCGACGGCGACAACCAACGCGGAGTACACCACTACTCCAGTGCTCAATTATCAGCCAACAAGCTTCGATACGGTCCAAAATCTGGTAGCTACTGAGTTGCCCGAGTTCGACCTGTCGGCCTTTAATATGCCTGGGTGCTCTGCGAACGCTCAAGGCGACTTTCAATCCCTTGGATTGTTCAGGGCACTAGAAAATGAATTTGTTGCGCGAAACTGGCAAAGCAACTGGTGGGATCTTAATGGTGGCGCGGATGAGAGCATAAATCAAACAACTACAAGGTATGAACGGGTACCTTCCCATGCGACATGTCCAAAGACAAAGTCTAAAGATGATCTAGCAGTTTACCCCAAGTGCCCAACCTGGGTTATCCTCCAACGGTTTCCGAAAATCTGTTGTAGTTTTTCTAACGAACATGTAATTAATTACCTGGAGTTCAAGGTCACTACGTGTCACCTGAATCAGCAAAGCCGACAAAGTAGAGTCGACTAATGAGGATACAAATCCACATGCCTAAAGATGTTTTGGTCCTGGCCTGGCCAACCTGCAGGATCATTACCTTCATGGTGTTTTCTGGATAGCGCAGTGGTGTTATGGCCAGCGTCCAAGGTTTCCGACTCTCTGCTCGTACATTTTCCTCTCCTTCATTCTAATTCTGTTGAGCTAAGACAGCAATGCGACATGAGGCTACAGTGCAGACTACCTGTTGACGGTTGTTGCAGCAAGCAAGCCTCGCATGTCTGTCACACGGCACGTACTAGCGACATGCATTATCTCTACCAATTAAACTCCTAGCACCGTTGAGTCCTTATCACGCGCATGCATATGCGCCGGACTGACCTCTGCTTTACACGACCCAGCAAACTTTGACGACCCATCAACTATACACACAGAGTAACAGCAAACGCCGATCGCATCAGACAACAAGCTGGAAGATCAGCATGGCTGAACCAACAGTCTGAATTAGTATAATGCATAAGACATGTTGGTCGTGCATGTGAGTGGTCAGAGACGCCGGTGGCTCTAGTGCACGAGATCTGAAAAGCAACGGAGAGCCAATCATCAATGACGGCGGTAGGAGCGCTACATGCGTATGCAACCTCCTAGCGTAGTCGGGGATTATGGCGCCATTTAGATGCCAGAATCAAGGTTACACAGTGGCAGCTTCCCAATGTCAGTTTTCGGAGCTTCCGCCGAGCAGAGATAAAAGAAAAAACAAGTCATAGTATACCACTCGGGGTTTTAGGTTAGCAAAGCGCGGTAGGCGTGCATAGCGACAATGAATTGTTGAAGAGGCATGTTGAGGAGGCTGATATGATGCACTTGTGCAGCTCTACACGCATGCGTGTATGTGCGCTTTGGCTTTTCGCAAGCCTTGCAAATTCTGTAGAGCAACAAAGAGAAACCATGTAAATTTCCGAGACATTGGAAAACTGAAAAGGGTTCAGGGTGCGGATAAGGTGTGCAATCTACCCTCTAGTGCAATGAGTATCTTGGTACGTAGACGTGATCCGAGATGGGGGACGTGCCTTCATTTCCGGTAATTACCAATCTCGTATCAGGAAATATATAGCTAATTTTTCAATCAAATACGAACTGCGCGAAAGTAGTTGAGGGAATTTTGCAAGATATCAACATGAATGATATGAAATTTGAACATGACTTTGCACCGAGAATGAGAGACAAATCTAACCCCATCATGTTCGCACATGTACTATTCACTCATTCTCTGTCTATTTCTAGAGCCACACACTCCGACTAATTACCTCGTTTGCGCAACAACATAAAAGACTAACATGAACAGCAACAGTCACCGGGATGCCGGGAGAAACACTATTAGATTGTCAAACGACGGCCGGCAAAATCAAAATTGCTAGCTTGTAATTTTAAAAAAGCCGTAGTGTGTGAATAGACATTCGTATACGTGCGCCTACGTTTCAAAGTAAATATAGTCAATTTAAGCAGCGAAAATATTGCTTTGTGTGGGAGGCCTGAAAGACAAACGACTTTCGGCAGCCGCAACGAGCCGTCGCGGAAGAAAGAAGGTAAATTGTTTAGGAGGAAACAACAAGAAGCGAACATGTGTTTATACTTGTCCGGTCTATGCTTAGCTCATGACACTTGCTGCGTCTCACGAACGGGCCGCGAGGAACGAAAGAAAGAAAGAAAAACATGCGATGAGGCAACAAACTCCCGTTTTACAACTTGTTCTTCCTTCGGCTACGATATGGAAGTGCGAAGAAGATTGAGATCCAAAAAAACACAGGCACTAAAATTCGGTTCATGAAAACCGTTCGTTCATGAGGTGTATTTCCTTCAAGCACAGTGACCCAAGCAAATCCAAAATCTAACCAAAAAAAAACATGACGTGAACCATCTTTCAAACCCCCTCCACCCGATCTTTCCCATCTGCATCCGCAAGAAAGCCATGATGATGATGATGCATTTCTTCCTTTCATCCCCCCCAAAAAAACACAAGCTTCCCTCCGCAAGCTCCTCCCCCCGAAAAACCCGAAACACGAAACACGAAACAAGAAAAAGCAAAAAAAACCAAACACCACTTCTTCTTTTTTTTCCCTCTCTCTTCCCCGGGCCAGCCACGCGTTCATTGCCTCAGACACACACACGACTTAACCACACAGACCGCCTTAGCTCAAAACCCACACATTACCCTTTTTTTTACCCCCACCCCAACGGTACACTAGCAACAGCACCGCTCAAGAGGCCCTTTTTTTCCCCCGTTTCCCTTTCCCTGTTCTTTCAACTTCCCGCGCACATCCGGCATATCCGCGCTTGGAACTTTTCCCCCAACCAGACTCGTTCTTTGCATTGAACCTTGAGAATAAATGAACTTGCGCGTGCGTGCGTGCGTGCGTGTATTTACAAAACAACGGCATTTTGTATACAAGAGAAGAAGGGGATGGAAAAGAGATTTTGTGCAGCTGGTGGTAGTGAAGTCTCTCTTTCTTTCTCTCTGTATCTTTGTATGCGCGCGTTATTCGCCAACGTTTGAGCAAAAAGAAAAAAAAAAGTGAGAGAGAGAGAGAGAGAGAGTCACATGTTTTTTTTTTTGGGAACAAGGGGCGCGTAATCCAATAGTTTCAAACCTCTGTGTCAATGAAGCGTGTGTCTCAACTGCCCCGAAAAAAAGGGTTCTTGATATGAAAAAACTACTCCATGACTCTCTCTCTCCCTGTCTCTCTCTCTGTGTGTGTATATCTCTTTCTCCGTTCCAGAACCTAGTGCGCCCACGTTGTAATTAATCCGACACCCCCCCCAATTACCTTGCGTAAAAAATGGGCGACGAAGCACGTACACACCCATGCGCCCCCCCCCCCAATGCCTTGATGGCGTGACGGAAGGAGAAAAAAATCAAGGGCCTCTTTTTTTGCTTTTAACTTTGGATGTTGTATGCTGTGCGCCAAAAAAAAAGGCCGAAAGAGATGAGGTAATATCACGTTCAAGGGGTGTTTTCTTCCCAATTACTAGCTAATGCACATCATGAGGTAACATATCCTTAATGCATTGAACTATAGCCAAATTCCCCTGATGGGTAAAAAAAAAAAAAGTTTTGATGAAATATTTCAATGTTTATTTTTGTGAAAATAAAAGGATTCGTTATTGTCTACCTCCCCATGCAGATTGAGAAACTAACCCTCCCCCGCGAGTTACTCGATGCAAATCCAGATGATCGTTAGGTGACGCCGCTTTCCCCCCATTTTTTCGAATTCCAACAAAAAAACGCCCATGTAATGTGTGTCTGTGTGACGGACGTGGTAAATGATTACTATAACGCCGCTCGCAATTCGTAAGGCCAAGCAACCTGTTGCGGCGGGGAAAAGGAGAGAAAATGAAAAAAAAGGAAAAACCACAGTGGTAATGTTCCATGGCGTCTTGAAAGATACATGCCATGTGCCCAAAATGTAGTCCAGAAGCTCCAAGTTTGCAAAATGGTACATGATTAAAACAACGTAAAAATTTTGATGCAGCATGGTGCCAGCACGTAGTGTGGATGGTACGATGCCCATGGCAGCGTGGCGGCGACGCGTACAACAGGGGTATTACGTGAGAGTAGAGCTATTGTGACAGCAATGTATCAAACCTGCTCCATAAAGGCAGACTTCCGCGAGTCAGTCGATGTTCTCCGCTTCTTTTGGAGCTTCTTGGATGCTCTCCGCTCGGCGAGCTCAAGCTCCTCGGGAGTAGGCTCCTTGAAGGTGCCTGGTCGCAGAATCTCAAATCCAGAGTTGACTTTGCGGAGAACTTGCTCATTGCGGTCCTGATTTTGGTCCGTCATGACCTGGTAGGGGACCTGATCATAGCTATATTGGTGGCTTGGGCCGTGCGGCTGGTAGGTATCGGGGTAGAACGGAGCATTAGGTGCGTAGGATTCGGTCAGAGGAATTGCTTGCCTCGCCTGGTTGGCTGCGTGGCCATCATGGCTAGGGCCCGAAGAAGACGCTACGATATCTTGAGATGGGTGGATACCAGTGGAGAGCGGAGGAGAAGGCGACTTCCGAGGTGTGAAGTAGTTGACACCGTTGAGCGTTGAAATCTGGTTCTCTGTGACGCTGGCCCATTCTCCGCTGTGGCCTGGCTTGCGGACGCGGGGCATGAGCTGTCCGGTCTCGGCGACGTGGGAGAGGCGGTGGCTTCGGAGAAGTTCGAGGTCAGTCTTGGGGTCGATGTTCCTTTGAGCACCATTGGGAGGGAGGTATGCAGTCTCGTATGCGCGCACGTCCTGGTTAATGGCCATGTAGTCGGTTTCATCACTGTTGCGGCTGCTCGACTTGGAAGAGGATTCAGCCTGTCCGAGAGGGCTGGCGCGAGCTGAGGGGTGATTAGCATTGTTTACAAACCCTATCTGATGAGTACCTACATGGAGAAGAGGAGCCAGACAAGTGAGCCGACTGAGAGACGTGGTGGTTGCAGTTGCTGCAGCGGGGCCCGTCGTGCTGGTGTCCACGAGCGGGCGACGAAGAGCGTGATTCGGTGTTGGACAGTGGTTCAGCGGAGACGGCGCGGTCAAATGAGCTTGGAGCGCACGAGCTGTTGCGGCTAGAGCCTTGGGCGACTGGCTGTGGGAGTTCGAGCTGCGAGTTGGTGCGAGGGAACTTGTCGCTCATGACGGAGTTGCGGCTGCTGCCAACGGGCGTGTTTGTTCGTGAGATCCACACACCGTCGACCTCGATACCGCTCTGGATAGCACGGATGCCGAATGGGATCTCGTCCTTGGCGTCTTCGTTGACTTGGGTTACAGGCTGCGCCTCGAGCATCTCGGGCGACTGCGCCCTCTTGCCCTTGTCGACCTTGCTGTACTTGCGAAGCTTCCTCTTGTCAAAGGCAAGCTTGATGAAGCCAATGAAGATGGTCAAGACGATGCCACAGGCAAGAACCTGGGGGCAGCGTGTTAGTGTGTCACTGGCAGAGGCTGTTTGGAGTCACTCACAAAAGTCATCTTCTGCCACAACTCCCAGCTGGTGAAGAAGACGCCATTATCAGACGCCCCGAAAGCCATGTTTGCAGTGAGGAGGTGAGGCGGCTACTCGGTCCCCCCAGTAAAAATAGTTGATGGGAGGGTGGTTGGACGAGGTCAGGTGGCGGAGGAGAAGCAAGCAGCAGTGCTCGTTATTGGACGGGCGTGTGCGGCAAGCACAACGACAAGACCAAGGACAAAGAGGGAAGGTGCCGCTAAACAATGGGAAGGCGCGTGACAATGTGACAATGGCAGCAAGACACGACGGGTGGCAGTGAGTGGTGAAAGAGGCTTGGCTGGAGGGGTGGTGCTGTGCAGTAGTAGTGGTAGTAGTGGTAGTAGATGGCGAGGAGGGTAGCGAGAGATGGGTCCTTTTCCAGCAGATCCCGTGACGACAGCGAGCAGAGTGAAGAGGGGAGCGAGCGGCGGGGATGTGGTGGTGCGGTGGAAACGAGCGTGGAACGTCTTGGAAGACGGGAATCACTAGGGCTTGGATGGGGCGAGGGGAGAGGAAATATTAAATGGGGGGAGGGGGTAGGCACACGGTCGATCGCCGCCCACATACACGGGCCCGGCGGTGGAAACATCGGGGCAGAGGGTGCTGGTGTGTGTGATGGGGACGAGTCGATGGTGCTGGCCAAAGCGGGCTGGCGCATCGGCCGTGCATGCGTGCCACGGGCGGACGGCAGGACTACAGGCTGGAAATAGCAAGCGACGGTACGCAGAGGTGGTTGGAACATTCAACGTCTGGCAGGTTGGCAGCCATGTGGAGCCCATACGAGACACAGTCGCAGCCCTAGAGCAGACCCGACGGCGGCCAATAATAGATCCCAGCTCGGCGACGCGCTTGCAGCTGCTAGTAGGGACACGCTCTAAGTAAGTACTTGCACACTTAGGTACATGGACCTACTTGGGCCGGGACCTGCAGTCGCACGCCCCCAGCAGCCTCGCCCTCTTTGCCCAGCGACACTCGTCCATGTGCAATTGACGTCTCTTTTGGCGCAGTGCGTTGGCGACGGCAGCGGCACCACGCCTGCGCCATCCAGTTAGACTGCCGCCGACGCCACCAGGAACGTGGCGCTCTCGGCTGCTGCTGGGCAGGGGAGTGCTCCGTTATCCGTTATCCGTCTTCCACATGGTGTCCATCTTTGTTCCGGACGAGCAGGATGCGCTTCTCCACATGTCGTGATCGCTTGCGCCCATGGCCATCACCGTGACATTTGGCCTCGTCATCCACGCCCCTTGTCCCGCCAGCCCATGGCAGCGACGACAATCCCCCGGTCGCGCCGTGTTTCGTCTTTGCCAACCGCCGGCTCCCATACGGCCGTTTAGAGACACTTGTCACAACAAGAGTACTGTTGTAAGCAGCAATTCCCGCGGCAATAATTCCCACAGCAGCTCCACCCCAACGATGGGTTTTGCGCCGTGGCCGGGGTGGGTGTGCACGGGCCCCGTCTCTCCCAGGACAGGGCGGGGGGTCCTGGTGCCTGTCCCTGTCGTCTGCGGTGCACGACGGCAGCAGTGGGAGAGCCATCTGGACGCCCATGGAGCACGACATCAAGCTGCAACCGCCACACCCAGCGCACACCGCATCTCCTGTCCCTCTCCTCCTTTGTTCGACTGAGACTCTGCTTCCAGCCATGGTACTGGCGCGCCGCCCATGCAGGTTCCGTCCGCTTGGCTCTCGTGCCTCTACTATGGAGGCTATCGATTAACCTGCATCCCCAATCGATACATTGATAGAGATGTCTGTGTATATATATGTCCATGCAAACCCACTCAGTCTTACACCGACACAGCCTCGTTCAACCAAGGCAATGGCACAGCGAAGACGGCAACCATTACTTCCCCTGGCTCGGTGACTGCTCCTGCTTCCAGCTCCTGCTCCAATACTTGCATCCACATCAGCCACAAGACATCCAGATTCCATGGCATCAAGTCTGCATGCAAGCAAATCCTGTCTTTGCCTGTTTAATTGCACACCACCAGGGCCTTGGATACCAAAAAAAATTCCCTCTTGCTGGCCAAGGTGATGCCGTTTTGGAGGGCCCACCCGGTCTCGGCAAAGTTGAGGGATGCATCCACCCCATTAGTGTGCAGCAGCAGTAAGCACCGTAATATTGGCACCATTCTGTTTGCTGGTGATCGGCGAAACTCTCTCGTACTCCTGCGCCTTGGCCACTCCGTACTGCTCTGCTCCGCGCCCTTCTTACACCACACGTGGACAAATCCCAAATCTTGCTCCTTTTTAGTCGCTGCTCCCATCGCCAACCAGCGCCTGCCGTCCATTGTCTCGGGGTGAGCTAGCCAGAGCTACCCATCTTGGCCCCTCGACACAGGAGCCTCTGTCGGTTGCCGTGGCGCCCAGAGGTGATGCACACTTGCAGTCAACACATGTATAGGTAGGTACACACATATAGCTACACTCAGCTCATCCCATCCTGCCACACGCAGTGACCACGTGCAAACGTAACAGTCCACTGTTGCATGTCCACATGTAGTCTTCGCACATACCACCATGACATGCGATGCCGTCATCGTATTTGCTGTGGGGTCCTGCAAAAGCCCTTCGCTCGCACTCGTCTCGTCCATGCGCAGTCCCCTGCCTCCGACCATTGCAGTCTTCCGTCTTGGTGGTGCAAGCCATGCCAGCTAGGCAATAGTTCATGCACCAAGTTTTTCTTTCCTTGTCCATAACCTGCGCCCAATGTGCCATTAGCGTTCTCACGTGAATGCGGCCCCGAAAAGGTGTGTCAGAAGCTTAGGCAAAGACAGCACTGCGGCGAAAGTCAATTGCAGTCGACGGCCGGTCGGAAGAAGCGGGTTACAACCGTCTCAGGGGGGGGGGCCTGCTGCCCGTCTTCCGAAAATAAAGTCATGCTGCCTCAGCTGGCCGAGGTAGGTGCTGCTCGCTCCCATTTGGTGTCCCTGACTGTGTCATTTTGCGAACCGGGAGGCAACCATTACTGAGGCACATGTTTCGTCGCGGGGTCATGGAGACAGACATGGCCCGGAGACTTGCCTGAGAAACAAGGAACGCCACGCTCGTTTCGAATGGGCGGCAGGCGTCTCGTCTAACAACGTCATCCTACCCCGAAGCAGCCATTTTTGCATTTCCGTTTCCTTTTTCTTGGCCTGCGAGACGGGCGCCTTTCTCCTCGCGCCCCTCTCGCCCGCCGCAGCCACCACCACCACTAAGCACCAAACAATGGCTCTGGTCACGATAGTCGGGGCCGGGTCATGCGAGGTGCAAACAAGCAGTTTTATGGGCGCACTGGTGGCTAGCTGACGCGCCCTCGGTTCACGTCGTTCGGTACCTGAGGGATTCCCATGTCGTCTTATGCAGGGACCGCCCGGAGGCCTTCCTTCTTTGCTGCATCTGCCCCTCATCATCCCCTCAGTGTTCGCCATACATACATACAGCCTCCAGTGCTGACGGAGAGACTCTGACCTCTTAAACAAGTCGCAGCCTCGACATTCCTGTACCATGACGTCTTTAGGCGCCACGCCCCTCGCACGAATTCCGGATCATGTCTGCACCGACACCAAACCCCAAACGGCCTTGGTTCCTGCCCGATTGGCTCGGCGACGGAAGTCATGATGTTAGTCGCTAGATCGAGCAGTTCCTCTTGGATTCACAACCGCCAAACTCCAGCCTGCACCGATACTCCACTCTGCCTTTGTACTGCGCTTTTCTGCCCTGCACCGCCCTACCGCCATGCCTATCCGCAACCCTTTCCGTCGCGCTGGTGCGCCTGACCAGGCTGATGACGCCCAACGGAACGCCCCGGAGAACGACTTCAAGGCCGCAACTGTCTCCGGGGCCACACCCTTGCAGCTGAAGGATCCAGCAGAATACAAATTGAGTGGTGAGACTCTGATGCCATATTCCGGGCGCGCGAGGCGTGTTCCGCGCACTGCACATGTCACGACCGGGCGCTTACAGTTTGTGTAGAGATCAACGATAGCGGCGTCTACTTGCCGGTAAGACTAGCCCTTTGAGCGCATATGGAATTGATGCGGCGCATGTGAATTGCGACGGCAGGGACGGCCACATTGAGAGACATTGGCTCACTGCGCGACAGCCTTCACCACACCACGAGAAGCCAACCTTCTGGCACACCAAGTCCAACATCTCGACAACCTCATCGAACCACCGGAGCCTTCTTGCCGAAAATGAGCCCTTTAGCATTTCGCGCGAAAGTTTTGATTCGTACCGGAGATCATTTGTACATCTATAACCAGTACCAGCAGCAACTTCCTCTCTAACACCAGCCAGGACATCTCCGCGCGCTCGCCAATCACTGACAGTGTCCACGAGACGTATCCCCGCCAATCGCTCGACGCGCGCAGATCTATGGACACGCGGCGCTCTTTTGACGCCCGTCGCTCGCGCGCCACACCCCGCTCATCCATGCAACAAGGCCGCTCTAGCGAAAGCCACGATCAGGTACCCGAGGAGGGCTTCGAGGATGTGGGGCTGAATGACGAGCCCAAGCCCCAGCCCAAAAAGCGCGGCATCTTCTCCCGCTTTGGCGACAACAACCACTCCAATGACCGCACCGAAGAGCGTCCTACCTCGAGTCACCACTTTTCCCTAACAGGCCGCAAGAGGGCGGAAAGCGGAGCTGGGTCCGAGCTCAAGCCTATGCCTAAACCCGCCCCCGAAATGGCTGTCGAGTCGCGGTGAATAATGTGTATCATCTTGAACACACGGATTATGACAACGGAGTTTTTCTTTTTCTTCAAATGTAGTAGTAAATGGGTTTTTTTCCAACGCCCGAGAATGCTTTCATTTTGATCAGCAACCTCTTGGTCATGTTGATAATACCCTACTGGAAACGGGAATTTGGCATCCGTGGCGTTTTTTCTTGGGCACAGACATGGGTCGTGTCACTACAATAATCAACCAAGTTGCAATCGTTTCTGCGTTTTCATGAGCAACTGGAGGATCTGTGCGATTTGCTATAAATATGTACATGTGAGGTTCAAGCCGCGTAATGTGTATTCCGTGCTTATTGAGATGACTCGCATCAGATTGTGGAGACTGTGGAGGTTGCTATTCGAGTTTCTCGTATCCCCCCTTTTGCACCGTTAGTACACGAGAATACGTAAATAGCCAATCCGACTTTAAAGAGAAGAGCCGGCCTTACTACTAACATACAACATGAACTCTTCTTGTCTGCGAAGAAGATACTTTACATTTCCAGGCTGTAAATTGTAGCTAACAAAATAGCGAAATACTCAATTTCAGCCTTTGATATACTATCGCCAGTGTAACTGTGCTCTCTTCAATCTTGGCAATGGTGTTGGGGTCCTGCCTACCCAGTTCGTATTGGCCGGTGGTGGCACTTGATTCGACTTGCTCTTTCCCTCCCATAAACCTTTTCTTCAAAAAGGTTTTGCCTCGCTTCTCTACACACCCAACTGTGACATATTATCCACTTTCACTTCAAGATTCACGAGAGCGCTCTACAAATACCGGCATATTCTCCAAAATTCTTGTCTTCACCTCGGAATGATGGCACGACTACGCCTCGGAAGGTGCCTCATTTTCTCCGCTTTCACCCCCACGTCGCAAACAGTAAACATACCCTGTGATTCAATATTGAGATTGAGAGGTTCCTATCCTATCGTTGAAAGCTCGGGACAAGACAAGGCTGTAGATGATGGGGGTTGAGAGTGGCTTAGACTGCGGCGTCTCCGCGCCGCTTGACGTCGCAGCCTGAGAGGATGCGCGTCAAGAGCCTCTACGAATGAGAAATCAGTAACATAGCACAGATGGCTCAATCCCTGATACATGTTTCTCAAGTCCGTAATATGGATTGGCCTCCCGGTTTGAGGAAGCTGTTGCCTTGTCCATCCAGCCTTGCGATACGCGCGCACCATTTCACATGAGCAAAAGTTTGGCCTGGCTTGACCAAAGTACTCCATGCGCATGAATTAAGGAGCAACAAACTCATGGCTGAGCAAATTAGTATTCTCGTTCATTCCATCTAGCGGCGTGGTTATCGGGATAATGGGATATCGCGCAGGTATAAGGTGAAAGTGAGCTCAGTCCGTTTGTCAGTTTCACTGTCAACAAAGCGCCACACGCACAATCAGATTTTGCACTACCTACACATTCAACTTGAACTCTGCAGAGCTTTTTTTTTCAATAATCTTTCTGTTAAATCGTGGTGACATCACTGCCACAACTTCAACGATACAACGCATTCATCTACCGCTTCTTTTGTTCACAAACCTAAGACAGGTGAGTATCTATCTCAACTGATAGAGATAGCCTACCACCAGTGACGGAGAGAAACACAAGAAGCCATGTTTGATATACTGACGCAACCATCCTAGCACACGCTTACTGAGCATTCTGGGCCATGGAGTTCCTAGCGGATACCACAGCCTATCTCTACCACCATGTGGTTCTTCCACCAAAGTTACCACAACAAGATGATCAAAGCACTGGAAATGACGTTGCCCTCCTTGAGGTGGTCGTCCAGGCTCTGAAAACTCTGAAGGACCACGTGAAGATCGAACACGTCGGGCCTGTCATCGCGGCCATTGCCACTGTCGAAAACCTCCGTAGTAGCCGCGATGAGCATGGACTCACCAATGAGCTACAACTGGAATGTCTTCTTTCCAAAATCACGAAACACGATACTGCTGGAGCAGTTCCCATTGAGATTCGGGAACAGAACGCTGGAATACTCGCCAGCCGCTCTGGGGATAACATTGAATTCGAATTCTTCGAACTCTCACCGACTAACGAAGCGGCTATGAAATCTGGACGACTTATACGAAGCTTTCCGGGATATGCGGCAAGCATCCCTGTAACCAAAATCGCCGGCAATGTAGAACTGCTTCAGTCGATCTCCAGTACCTTGGCCAAGATGACGACTCAGAAGGTTCCAAGCTTCCAGCCAAAAATCACCAAGAACCGGAAGGTCATGAGCGAAGAACGCGACACTACCGATCCTGGTATAGTCACGAACTTATACATGCACACTATCGCAGCTTTAGGTGAGCCAATAGACGTCAAGCACATCTGGAAACATACCCGTGAAGAGGTACTCTGGAATGACTGCCTTTCACCATGGCGACGTTCTCCGCTGTGGCTTTTGTTGCGCGTATCGCTACAGCTTCTTTTCATTCGCGAAGCACCAGGTACACTGCATGAGGACGTGTTGTACAAGGCGTTCATGATCTCCATGTTAGCAAAACTGCTTGAACTGGCTCAGCGTAACTGGAAAAGCTTGGGAAGCGAACCAATCCATGCCGTCTCTGCGAAGCTGATGCGTCGACTGCGCAAATTCAAGGCTCTCAAACATTCTGAGTACCTCGGGACGTCCTGGGTCAACCACATCGAAACGGGCATTCTCAATGCTCACCGCTTCATCAATCAACATTGGCTTGGCTTGGTCAAGAATACGGAAGGTAACATAGATACAAGCGTCATTGCCAGTCTACAACCCGAGGCCGACCTTGACATGAACCTTTCGGGACTGGACGCCTTCCTGTCTCAGATAACTTCCCGAAAACAAGAGCACATCCCGTCAACATACGTCCCCACATCGCTGTATCCAACGTTTTGCCCGTCTACACTGCCAAATAACCTGGGTGGTCCTGAGGACGACAAGTACTTTCGTCTGGCGGCTCTGGAGCATTGGGTCGAGCATAACTTGTCGGATTGGACTCATCACCACCTCTATGATTCGAACGCCTGTGAGCAACTTCGTACGCTGATGAAAACCTACTATGATTTCGCCAATACTGCGTATGATGAATCGCCGATCGCCATGTCAGTCATGTACCTGACTCTTGCCGAGATTTGGATATCATGCGATAGATGTGCATGCGCTATTTATCCCATGTTGACCGATTACGATCCAGAGATCAATCTGAAGGAGTTCCAATCTCTCGTACTTCCACTGAAGAGCCAACTGAATCGACTCAACTCTATTGAGGGCTATGTTGATTTACGACGCCACAAAGCAATCCAGGGAAGACCTTCGATATACCGGGAGTTCGGTAAGCCTTCTTCATTCGCAGTTCGATATTTCGACCAATGCAAATCGCTCCAGTCTACGTTGGAAAAGATTGAGCATGATGCTGCAGTCTTGCGGAAGAAGAAGTGCGAGGAATTAGAGAGTCTCAAAGTTCTTTATCGCCAGTACATGGACACTTACCGCAATACCTGTTGCGATTATCGTACGGTAGTCACAAATCGTTACCATGGATATACTAGGGAGGTGCATCATCCCTACTGTTGTCGGTGTGCGGCCAAGAAGAGCGCGGATGATCTTAGCATCTCAATCTATGAGTGGCCGCTGTCCTCGTCAAAACGTATAGCGAAAGCAACGGTATTCGAACTGAAAATACCTGAAGCTTTTAGCAATTGGCGAGATGCCTCAGCGTATTTCATTACAACCGTAATGGGTTGCCAAGAGAAGACTCCAGTGAAACCAAGATTCCAGTTTACGCTCCAGAATCATCACGGTCTATCTGATGCACTGTCTCCACACTATTCAAAGAGGATTATCGTTCCACTATCCGAAGTCAAAAGCCACACAGTTACCCACCGAAATAACATGAAAGCTGTCCAGAACTTGAAGGAAAATGACATTTGTTTGGAGAACGCACTGCAATATCGTTACTACGATACTACCAGCAATCAGTTCAACACAACGACGCCAGATTGTACGGAAGAGATCCCAAATAGATGCATGTACAAAATGCCGCAACGATCAAAGGCACTGGAACGATTCATGTACCGTCTGCCCTGTTTACCCAATGGTCTTCCTGCCAATGAAGTTATTGTAAGTTCCACAATTCTTGCGCATTACATGCTACTATAGTACAATGCTAACCGAGGTTCAACACCTAGGCCAGTTTATCGGACTGCCCAGCTCACCTCTCTATTGACGAGTACAAGGCTTTGTGCGCATTGTCTCTCGGAAACCACATCTTGCATTCCAACATTCTTACCCAGCTGGCGGTACCAACAATAGACTTTTCAAAGGTCGAGACACAATGTATGGTCTTTCAGGCAGTACAGCAAGCTGGACTTCCAGCGCAATGTGTTGAGCGTACAACTCATCACATCCTCAAGGAAGCCTCTTTTGGTCGTGCATTGCTGGAACAGCTTGAGACCGCGCTCGGGCGCATTGAGGAAAATTGGGAATCATGGCGGGCTTCTGCCATATTCTCTATAGTCGCTCGTAGAGTTCTTAATTTGACTACCGCCCAAGAAGTCCGTTCACGAGGATTTGATTATCTTATCCGACTGCGATCTGTCTGCCTCAAATGGTTTCTTAAGTTGAAGCAGAGAGCGGCCGCATCCACAGATGATGACCAGCGCACAGAACTCTATTCAAGGGCGGCAGAGATTGCTCTTGTATGTACAAGTACATATGATGTCGAGGAAGATGACTTTGGGTCGATCCTAGAACATGAGTCGGCAATTTCAATTCTCATGCAAGCATCGATAATCATCCAGGAGAATATCAACTTCATCCAGTCCGAGAACGAAATTCTTTTGAGGAGCACAACTCTATCGTGGAGGTGGATGATGTATCGGATTCTCCCCAAGCTACGTGATCGAATCCTCTCAAACGGTCAAAGTCTTTCAGACGCCGTCACTGTAAACTGGGCAGCTTTTGATCCGACTTCAGAGAACCCTTGGACTTCACTCGGTGGTTGCAAAACACACTGGCTCCATACCACCTCAGGATTGCTGTCGGTGCATATCAACTTACTTACCGGTGAGCTTCTTGTAAATGGTTTGCCATTGTCTCGACTTCCTCCCGAATACATGTCCCATCACATGTACAAACCTTTGTTCCAAAAGTCAGCATTGGAAGTCGTACCAACCAGCGAACCAGGAATGCGTTTCTCGGCAAAGGCTCTATACCACGAGTACAAGCTTCACTTTGGAATGAAAGACAATGATATGCTGATAGTCACCTACGGGGATAGCACGAAGCTCGATCTGGTTCCATCACGCGTATTGCAAAAGCAGCTTCCCGATGCATTCTTGACGAGCTATATCCACTGGTATGATCACAAACGCAAGGAAGTAATCTTTCGGCGTCGAGATAGCCCGTGGGAGTCAGCACCTGAAGAGTGGCGTTTGGCCCGCAATGTTCATAACAGTGCTTGGCGACTGATAAAAGGTTCTGAGATCTTGATCAGCCTGGGGAGTCAGTCTGAGAAGATACTTTCTAAGACACTCCGGTCATTGGAAGAAGGGAGGCATATACATGCCAAGCTTGATACCACAACTCAAATGATCAACATTGAGCTTCCTCGACTTCAGCTCGGGTTTTACATCAAACAAGGAGCAAGTCCAATATATTCTTGCCAGTATCGCGACATGAGCATTGATGGAGACCAGAGCATTGGAACTCTTGTGGGCTTGGTCAGTAAGCTTGTACTCAAACATGAACATACGGCAGAACGGTTGGTCCTCATACCAGCGCCCAACACCTTCGATGCATCGAGTATCATTTATTCCAGTGACTATCGTTCTGGCCATCATCCCATTGTGTCAATCTGCAAAGGAAATGTTCACAAGGTGTACGCATACACTATAGATACCGACCTTGGTAGACTGTTGGACACTTCAGAGATACAGAGTCGACTTTTCTTAGGCTACCTGCATGGCATCACCTCCGGATGTCTTCCAGATCCATTGACCCACCGCACTGGTACAGAAAGTAGCGTTGAAATCCTTGGGTCAGCGGCAGTATGCTCATTCGATGTTCTCACACCAGCAAACCTAGAGCTTCTATGCCATATAGCTGGGCTTTCCGCAAAGAGGCAGTGGTATCCTGAAAACCTAAAGGTAATGCAACAAGTTGAGTGGGATGAGCGTCTTCCATCATTGTCGCAACACGTTTTTTTTCGAATGATGGTATCCAATTTGCTGAACCAGGCCGCCAAGATGCGATTATTTCATCCAGACAATGCGGTTTTTTCCTTGATTGAAAATGCTCAACAGAAACTGGCATTGATATCGGACCGCCATTTGGATCAACGCGATATGCTACGGTCAAGTACCTTCCGCGTTGCAGGATTTGGTGCTGGGGAATTCAACAAAACCCATGACGTTCGGTACCAGGCTAGAGACATAGTACAAAACGAGAGGGGCCGTCATGCCTTCATCGCTGGCATTCTAGCGCTTCGGGATGAAGCTGCTTTACACAGCAGCATCTTGGATCTCAAGGGAAATCTCGTTCGCAAGCATTTTCAAGGAGCTACCGTTGAAGGCGTTGACGATTCCTTCGATCCTGGGAGTCTTGGATATGACTCTGAATGGCTTGAAGCTCCTTCAAAACACTTGATTGCAAGTTGGTGCACGCTGCATCGAACCCTACCCAGAGTCGGCAACCGCTACAATTTAGCGACATGGCTTTGCACCATGGCATTTGCCAAGGAAGCTGATATGACTACAATCCAAGCTCTGGTAGCATTCTCAAGGCTACCGGATATGGCAGCCGTACAGCCGCCTGCTGCTTCCCGGTTCGATCTGACACGAGGAGACAGATACGAAGTCACAGAGATACGCTCGATTCTTGTTCAAAATTCCAGATCCTTCGATACATCTGCGGAAGCTACGTCACCCAGAATGAATAACGAGACTTCTGAAGAACACGAAAAGCGAATCGAGGCACTGTTTAATTCTCGGCAGAACGAAGCAATCGAGAGCGTTGCAAAAGACTTACAAACCCAAGCATCTGTTCGAGCACCTATTATAGAGTCAAAGCTTGAGTACACGAGGTATCTTGATCTTGCCGAAGCAATGGTGAGAATTCAAGATTGTTTTAAAAGCTGGTACGACAATCGCCAGTTCCTAAACTATCTGGGGCAGTCAACAAAAGTACTGGCGCGTCAGAATGTCTTGAGCGTACCTCAATCACACTACTGCCGCTCTCTACCTCAAAGGAAGGCTGGCCTCGACCCTGGCAACCGCTTTTTCAGCATAGGGAGTATTTTTGCTGGTTCAATACCTCTCATACGCCAACAAGGTAGCTCTCTCTTATGTTTTAGTTTGGCTTATCATGTATTCGCGAGTTTGTCTAAAGTGATTTTCCTAACATCTTTTCTAGTTTCAGATCTGAACTTTCCTACACCACCATCTGAGCCACAAATCACGATTGCGAAAACACATGGGCCTACAATGCATTCCCAGACAATGGAGAGGCTTGAAGATCTTTGCAAGCACCTTACTACATATTCCAAATCGAAATGTGAGCAAGAATACGTTGAAGATCTATGTATGAGCTGCGAATCCTTCCAAAAACATCTCAACACCAATCACACAAACCAAGATCTGATTGTCAATGCCGCCACTATTCTGGAAGAGTACTTGGGCGAATGTCTCAGATATCTCAAGAAGATTTCCTCCTTATTTGAAGGTCTGTTTAGTAGCGAGATTGAGTTCCAGACCAAGCATGCGCCACGAGTTTCGCCTACCTTCTGGCTCAGTCAGCTGCATCGAGATCGCTTCGAACTTTTACCGGAAGCCTGGAAAGAGATCATCATAGAATATGCTTTGGCTATAACCAATTTGCAGAGGGCTCAAAGATTGGTTCGTCTCTCCAGCAAGCCGGTAGAGCTCATGGAAGAGTTACAACACATTGGGCACTCCAACTGGGATGTGCGCCAGTTCCCTGAGACGCTTCTCCTCGAGGCCGAAAGCGGCATCCTAGTTCGTAAGGAGCAAGAGTACATCGCAAGCCAGATGCGTTCACCCGAGAATGGGCAAAACGTGGTACTGCAGCTGTTGATGGGAGGTGGCAAGTCAACCACTATTGTTCCAATTCTGAGCGCTCATCATGGCGACAAAAAGAAGTAAGTTCTCTCATCCATCAACCTAGATTTTGCTAAAAATAGATTACTAGGCTAGTGAGGGTGATAGTTGCGAAGCCTCAGAGCAAGCAAATGCTACAAATGCTTGTAGCAAAGCTTGGAGGAATGTTGGGCAGAAGGGTCTACCAGATGCCCTTCTCACGTAACCTTCGACTTAGCGCCAATGATGCTCGGACCATTCGACAGATCTACGACGAGTGCATCGCCAACCGTGGCGTGCTTCTGATTCAACCTGAACATATTCTATCTTTCAAACTCATGGCTGTGGAATGTGTCCTCCTTGACCAGCAAGAAACGGCCAGGTCGCTATTGGCGACCCAAGAGTTCTTCGACAAAGTCTCGGTCGACTGCGTTGACGAGAGTGACGAAAACTTCTCTGTGAAATTTGAATTGATATACACCATGGGAGAGCAACAACCAATTGAGTTTGCTCCCACACGATGGTTTATCATCCAGGATGTCCTAATACCCCTGGCATCTGTAGCTGCCCGAGTCAAGAAAGAGCTGCCTGATGCAGTCGACATCCAAGACGATAGCAACAACAAGTTCCCAAGAATCAGATTTTTGCGTTCTGACTCTGCTGATCGGGCCTTGCACCTGCTGGCAGTGCATGTTGTTCAACAAGGCATTGGTATTCCTTCAAGGTCACAACCGCCAACCATGCAAGACGCAATCATCCGCTACATTACTCAGATGGACTTAAATATTGATGAAGTGGATGCAGTTGAGAAGAGCAAATTTTGGACGGAAACTACAAAGTCTCCTCTCCTCTTGCTACGCGGCTTGTTCGCTAATGGTGTTCTTCGATTCATATTCACAACGAAGCGGTACCGGGTCAATTATGGACTAGATCATTCACGTACGCCCAATACTTCACTCGCAGTAAGTAAAATGCTCAAATTTATATTGCGCAAAGTAAATACTGACTTGGTGCAAACAGGTACCATATAGGAGCAAAGACTCGCCTTCACCAAGGTCTGAGTTCTCGCATCCTGATGTCGTCATCATTCTCACACTCTTGTCATACTACTATCAGGGGTTGGCCGACAATGAACTCTTCGACACAATCATCCATATCTTGAGGTCTGATCAATCAGCCACATATTATAATGAGTTTGTTCGAACCGCATCTCCAACCCTGCCAAAGGCATTTCAACAACTTTCCGGGATTAGTATTCGAGATCGACATCAGTGCATGACAGAAGTGTTTCCTAGCTTGAGACATTCAAAGAACGCAATCGATTACTACCTTGCACGTTTGGTCTTTCCAAAGGAGCTCAAACAATTCCCTCAGAAGCTTAGTGCGTCAGGCTGGGACCTCGCGATCAAGAAGCCGCACCCAACAGCAGGATTTTCTGGTACAAACGATACCAAACATTTACTCCCACTCAACATCAAGCATCTTGACTTGCCAAGCCAACATCATACCAATGCACAGGTGTTGTCATATCTGTTAATGGACGAGACGTCGGTAGAAATTCTGCCTATGCGCAAAATTGGTAGCACCATCAGTGATGGTGAGCATCTGCTGAAATTCATCGAATGCTTGAACTCAGATGTCAGGGTTTTGTTGGATTGTGGAGCCTCGATCCTTGAACAGAATAATCGACAGGTTGCTGAGACATGGCTGAAGATGCGCAGCAGCGAGGTCCAGGCGGTAGTCTACTTCGAGAATGAAGAGTTGGCAGTGCTCGATCGCAGCTCTCGCGTTGATTCATTCCAAACATCGCCTTACGCCAAAATGCTGGATTCATGCGTAGTCTACCTAGACGAGGCGCATACACGTGGAACAGACTTGAAGCTCCCACGTCATTACCGCGCTGCACTTACATTGGGTAGCCAATTGAGCAAGGACCGTCTTACACAAGCTGCAATGCGGATGAGGAAATTGGGCCATGGACAAGCCATTACATTTGTTGTGCCCGCGGAGATCAAAACCAAGATCTATGAGCGGACTGGAAAACCTTCAGATATCCAAATTGATGTTCGCGACGTACTGTCATGGGCAATCGGAGAGACATGGTCTGACTTGAAGAGGAGTCTCCCCTTGTGGGCAGTACAAGGCGAACGGTTTGAACGACACAAGAATCTCATAAATGGCGCCAACACCACGAAGGATGATACGGCAGCTTTTCTGGAGAATGAAGCCGTTGATCTGGAAACGCGGTACAAGCCTCGCACTCAGGACACAGATCGTTTCACTCAGCTCAGCGATTGGGACATGTCTAATCCCAACATCGATAAGATCATATCACGGTGCCGCGATTTTGAGGCCATGAACTTAGGATCTGCTACATTGAGTGAAGAGCAGGAGAGGGAGCTTGCTCCCGAAATTGAGGAAGAGCGTCAAATCGAACGTCCTCCACGCTTGGATGCTCGAGAGCATCAAGTCCATGAACATCTCAGGCAGCTAGTTACTACCGGCGAAGTTGTTACAGACTTGGAAGCATGGAAGCCAGCATTTCAAGCACTTAGAACGACTAGTGCGAGTCGGCTCGCCAATCTGAAAGAGTTCCCAAGCGATTTGTTGGTAACGCTAGACTTCATGTACACAGTTCGCGTACCTCCAGGCTCGACCCGCGACGCTTTTATCGCGGACTCGTATCAACGACCAGTGCAATTTGTACTTTCTGTACCGGACCCGCGTTGCCCAAGGAATGTCAGCAATCTCATCATCATCAGCCCCTACGAGGCGAATCAATTATTGCCATTGATCCGCGAGCACAAGAAAGTCACGCTCCATTTGTTTGCCGCCCGCGCCAACGCCAGTTACGCACCCCTTGACCAGCTTACCCTGTACAATATTGGGCATGCTTTCAACCCACGCTCTCTCTCACGCAGCCTGACTATGCAACTCAACCTATTTGCCGGCAGTCTGTACCTCCGCTCTCTAGATGAGTACAACGAGCTCTGCGGTTTCCTGGGTCTCCTGCAAGGCAGGGCCGAAGAAGGCCAGCAGGTGTATGCCGATGGCTTCATTGATCCTCCGGCTGGAAAGTGGCGTCTCACAAGGTCGCCTGTTCCCTTTTTGCGCCTCTTGCTCATGAAGATCCGCCGTGAGGGCGAGGGTGTCGAGAAGACGCATATGGGTAAGATATTGAGCGGTGTTGCGTTGGAGGAAGTCGATTTTTGATAAGATTGAGCATTGAGTTACTGTGTACTTGAGTTGGTTGGCGTGAGGAACTTGCGATGAATTTGCGTAGCGTTTTCAAAATGGTATTTGTGAAGATTGGTTTGGTTTGGAGCTGAGAGATTTCCTAGTCGTCTGGACGGAACGGGGGCACATGTCACGTTTCTTGCTTGATGGAGATGCTTGCTACATCAATTAATGTTTAATACTCGAATGCATACCTCTTCTTCTAGTCTCTTTTTTCCCCGTATCCACAGTGCATCCTGTTCCAAGCATCACACAACTTCACAAATGACACACCAATCTCACCCAAACGCCTCACAAGCGCATCCCAACGCCCACGACTTTATGTTGCACGTAATGCCTCTTTTGCCTTTTTCATCCACAAAAAAAGTCCTACTACATATATAATACATCAAAGAGCAAGTATGACACAATTTTTGATTTTCATTTCTCTCTCTCTCTCTCTCTCTCTCTCTCAAACAAACCAGCCCCCGCCCCCTTCCATCTACCAAAATGCAACACGCCTCCACCCTTTCTCTCCGCGCAAACCCCCTCTTGAAAAGAAAGGAAAAAGAGAGCCAGCCACTAAAGCGCCCCAAACGCCAAGGCTAAACGTCAACAATGTATTTCCCTAGCCGTCCCCTTCTGCCCACCCCACCCCCCCCCTCCTTTACCCTGACACGAAAGCTAGTCAACTATCCCAAGAGAAAAAGAAAGAAGACCCCAAAAAATAGCGAACCCCCCGCACTTGCCTACAATGTCGCCCCCCCAAGCTTTTCCGCTCTGGAAACTCTTTTGTTTATACCAAGTTTATTTTTAGAAAAAAAATCCCCCAAAGGTTTCTTTCTCTCACTCATAAGCGCTAAGATCCAAAGGAACACTGCTACCCCTTCCAGCACGATATTTCTTAGTGCTACCCGTGAACTCGCGGGGGCGGGGAAATTGGCCTTCGTCCTGGAATCGCCAGCGCAAGTCGTGGATGGGTCGGACTCTTCCTTTTTGGTGACCGCCGCCGCCGCCCGAGCTGCTGTGGCTCTTGGTGCTCGATCCGCCGCCATTTGTCAACGTGTACGAGGCCGGATCCATCATGGAGCGCGAGGGCGTGGATGATCGGCTTGGGGGCGCAACGGCGGGCGGAGGAGGCGCGGGTGCGCTTGGTGGTGAGGCTGGAGGGGGAGGCGGCGGTGCGGCGGGTGTTGAGTGCCCAAAGGCATTATTTCGGGCTGCTATTTCTGCGAGTGATGGTGTATGGCCATTTGGAGGTGGCGGTGGTGGTGGTGCAGGCGCCGAGGGTGCGTGAGAGTTGTATTTATACGGGTCGTACTCGTCGTCATCCGGTGGAGGTGGTGGGGGCGGTGTCGACCGTGCTGGTGCTCGTGGTGCTGGCGAAGGAGGTAGAGGAGGGGGCGCCGGAGGAAGTCCTGTGGGCCGTGGCGACGTTGATGCAGGAGGTGGCGGTGGTGGTGGTGGTGCGGAAGGTGTGGAAACTGGAGGCGGTGGAGGAGGGGCGCTTCCTGGCACGGGCGGTGCGCGAACTGGAGAGGGTGCTGGCGGTGGAGGAGCAAGGTTAGATGGCTTTCGAGACGAGGGAGGTGGGATAGGTGGTTTCTTTCCAATTGGCGGTGGTGGCTTGGGCTTTCCACTGATACTAGCTACTGAAGACGGCCGCGACTCTCCACGAAGAGCGTTGATACCTGGCCGTACACCTGGCGGCGCAGGAGGAGCTGAGGGGGGCGCTCCTGGAGGCTTTGGTGCTGCTCCTCGTGGTAGTGCGGGAGCTGAAGCGCGATTTGATTCGGGATCTGAGAGGTATGGCGCATGGTCTTGGTCCGCGCCAGTCTTGACACCGCCCGACTTCCTCAGCTTGGGCATGCCGCCCGCGAACAACCCTCCCAGCTGTGGTGGTGCAGCCAGTCCGGCACCACTATCGGTATCACTGTTGCTTCTTGCGCGGTTTGCTCCTCCAGGAACTGGCGGCGCAAGCCCAGGGACTGCGGGTGGCTTGCCCATACCAGGAATTGCTGGTGCTCCCATGGGCGCTGCACTCGCCCCACCGCTCACTTTGCCTACTATTGGCGCCGACCGATCGTTGATTTGTGTGACTTTCTTCAGCTTCATGCCCTTACTGATGTCTCCTAAAAGTGCACCCTGTGTCCCATTAGCGATAGCTCTCTTGATGCCCAACAACCAGAGGCGCGGTGTCTAGCCTGCCCCCGCCATGAATGCAACGTACTCTTCCTGCTCCTGACGGCGGTTTCCCTCCCGGCGCCTTCATCCCCGGCATAGGCGGTGGTGGCGGTGGCCCTCCAGCTCCTCGACCCATGGGCGGCATGGGCGGAGGCGGAGGGGGTGGTGGTGGCATAGTGGGATATGTGCCGCGCTTCGATTTGGCTTTGCTGTTTTTTGCTGTTTTTCAAAGATTCTGAATATATGCGCAGTCACTCGCTATCTGGTTGCGAGTGTCGGCGTATAGCAGAGTGTGGTGATCGAGTGATGGTTGTGGTGGGAACATTCCGTCACAGCTTGGCAACTGGCATCCCAATCCTCGGCCACCCACCGCTGCGTCACCCGACCTTCACCGCGCCCGCTGTGGCCTCGACCACACCCGATGAACCCTGGAAAATTACCAATGCGCCCCCAATCGCGCCCAGTATGTCAATTGTGCGACTACATACTGCGGCAGCCTGGAAGTCGCCGCGCGTTCCGCTTCACATCAGCCGTCAAGGCCCCCGCGACACGGCGGCAAACTGCGCCATCATCCTCTCTAGTTAACCGGGCACACGTACGAAGCATTACGACGACTGCCCGGAAAGCGGCACCAGCAGCTGAAAGAGCCGATGATGAAAGCTATCAGACGTCGGAGCGCATCGCAACGCTGAGAGCAAATTTGGCCGCGGTGGAGGCTCGAATAAAAGAAATCTACGATTCCCCCAAGGTGGAGCCAGAGACAAAGGTCTTGGAGGCACTCGAAGGTCTAACAGAGATTGCGCAAAATGCGATAGCAATACGGTCCCGACAGCCCCTGCAAACAAAAGGACCCATAAGACAAAGTTCAGCGGGAGCAATACTCTCCGGACTCGGCAGTGATGACGCTGAAAAGACTGAAAAGAAAATAAGATCAAAGCAGCTAGGCCTCGACGCACTCCCATCGCCATCCTACCTCTCCAAGCTCGCCGAAGACCTAATCAAGCACGAGAAAGTCTTCCTCTCTCCTAACGTACTCGCCTTATACATCCACCTTCAGCGACTCCTCGCCCGTCCAAAAACCATCCCAGAAGCACTCTACCTCTACGCAAACAAGCCTGTCCCAGTCGAAGGCTCCTCGCCCCCAAAATTCTCTCGCCCCTCCCCCAAAGCCGCAAAGCAAGCCATTCCCGCCGATCTCGCCGACGAAGCGCTCACGGCCGCAATCGACGCAAAGGACCTTGCCCTAGCCTTGGATGTCGTCGACCACACCTACCGCGCCCCCGCCTGGCGGCGCCACCGCATGGTCACCAAATTGGGTCTTCCGGGAGTTATAGCAGGCATGACGCCCCTCGCCCTCTACATGATTGCCCAGGAACTTTCTATATATAGCGGCTTCATCGACCCATGGACGTTCAAACTCTACGCTTTCGCTGGTCTGAGTACTTATGTTATGTGTACCGGTACTCTTGGCTTTGTCGCTCTGACTACGTATAACGATCATCATGACCGTGTTGTCTGGCGACCCGGTGTTCCGCTTTTGGACCGGTATCTGAGAGAGGATGAGCGTGCTGCGTTGGATCGCATTGCGTGTGCATGGGGGTTCAAGGAGGAATGGAGACGTGGTGATGAGGAGGGTGAGGAATGGGAGGGTCTGAGACAGTGGATTCTACTTAGGGGTATGGTGCTTGATAAGCCGGACCTTATGCCTGGTATGAACCCAGGTAGGTAGTAGAGACATTACCAGACAATATCAATCGAGTACGGTGTATTATTAAATTACAGGAGAATTGCACTCGTGAAGTTGTCCTGTTGATCTGTAGCTACGTGCGCAATGCCTTTCTGCTAATTTGGATTTATTTGTCGTGAAGACAATTTAATTTGGAAATACTATACGCAGCATACAAGTATTGCAAAAATCACAAGACCCTCACAATGAAGTGTTTTGTGAACAGTTTTTTTCCTAAATGCAGAAAGTTCTGTACTCCTTCTAATTTTGTATGTTTGTTATTTGCTGATTAAAATACTTGAATGTTATCGAAATTTAGTAGTTATAAATACTTTACGCTGCAAAAATTGACACACAAACCGGGATATCAGCCATCGAGGCTAAAATTCCATACAAGAAGCAAAAATTCAGGAAGCATTTACAGCATTAGTCCAGAGAGTGCCTGGATAGAGGGCAAAAAAGAAATGCGTGGTTGGTGCGACACCTGTGTGATTCGAACACACGCTCCCGAAGGAACTGGCTGACTTTCCCGCATGGGACTAGCAGGCCAGCGCGTTAACCACTCCGCCAAAGTGCCATGATTTAGATATAATCCAAATTTGTATAAATCTTATAATCGGATAAAAATTCTATGGACTCACTTCCGGTCAGTATCATCCCCATCAAACATCGAAGATAATTAGAGGTTGTTTCCATATATTGACTCGTCATCACTTACTCACTACAACCTTCGTGAGTGAAGTGGGGTCAACCGATCATGGCGTCAGCTACCCCACCACAACTTTCGGGCAATAACAGCTTTACCATTGGACTTCCGCCACTACCGCATCTTCGCACTGAAAACCTCTGCCACAAAGAGCTACGGACTGCCCGTCACTTCTATAGCATCACTCAAACTCGTCAACAAATCCGCAACTCTAGGCCAGTTTTCCGCGTTCACACCAACCATGTCCGCCGACGCTGCACCCATTTCCTTCACACGATTCTCAAAAGCGCTTGAAGATCTTTCTGTTGAATCGCTTTACGCGAAATACTCAGAACTCACAAACCAACTCATGCATCTTGAATCAAGCAACCAACAACTTGAGGAGTTTGCGCGTGAACATGATGACAAGGACTGCTATGAGGCGCTTCTGGAAAACAAGCAGGTTATAAAGAGGTTTGAAGAGAGGAAGGAGGCGATCAAACACGAAGTGCAGGACGTGCGAGGTTTGCCTTGGAGGCCAAAGGAAGATGAAGGGAAGACGAATGGAAGCGCGCCTGCTGCGACAAATGGCGCAGCGAGGGAAGAAGGCACCAACGGCACCGCAGCGCAAGAGGAGGGGGACGATGGTGTCTACCTATGAGCAAGTGGAGACACACAAGATGAGAATTGACAAGTGACTGGAACCCGTGTGTATTGGGCACGCAGAAGTCACTGTCCCCGTTGGTGATGAGACAGGCACTGCGATATAAGAGAGTACACAATCATCGGTATGTGCACACGCTGACCATGTTTCAGATATCTTATTGACAGAATCCTAGGCATTACTTCTATCTTGCGGACACACATGAAGGTCCGGGAAATTTTCCACCAACGAAGGATCAGTCTGACCGACAGGAGTGGCAAAACTCATTCTACTAAGCGCACTCATCTTGAATTCTTTCGGGATATTAAAATGAAGGGCCATGCTAACCTTTGTGCCCTTGTCGACTACAACATGCACTCTCAGCAAGGGCTTCAAGTCATCATACTTACTTGCATGTTAAGTTACTGGACCCTCAACGGCGATTCTTTTGATTTGAAGTAGTTATAAAATGGATCCAAGCGTGCCAGGGCCCATGATGCAGCAATGTTGTATTTGCCCTTGCGCGCATTGCTTGATGGAGCTTATTCTGCAATATCAGTGCGTTTTGTGGATACCTGCTGAGTAGAACGCTGCAAATGAAGACATCACACCACTATTGTACAATGAGCAATATATAAATTACCTTAACAGGTATTTCCACCGCTACTATAAATCAGAATCCTTCCAGGCTATAGCTGGCCATACCATGTCTATATCACAGCTTGGACAGTTGTAGATCCAGGCACAAACACAAGTACGCTTTCAGGGACCGAGTAATCCTACGCAAAAAAAAAAGCTCGGGGAGTTGGTTGGGGTGCCAACCACCCGGGATCATTTAAACTTTGGCGGATCGCGGGATAACAAAAAAGTCTAAATGTAAGCTACGCGTTACAGGCCGTTACATAACATCGGCAAATGTCAGGACGCACCCACGTAAGCCACAAATAGTGTCTTATGTACTTGCCAACCCGTTTTCCATAGGTTATCAGTTTTGTCTGTTTCATCAGCTGTTACAGATGTTTCTTTGGACACGAAGAGTCTACGTCACGTGCGGCGCGCGCATGTCACTGGGGGGTCTTGGCGGTGCGTATTCTAGAACAGTAGCGTTCTTATGATGCACGCGCTATTATGTTGACCTAGCACGTATCAGACGCCTATTAATAGGTTGGTCTAAGTGTTTTGAAGACCAGTCCTGTCGCGGGCGTCCAGAGATGCCACACTATTAGCGATGTTTTGTTTAACATAGGCAACAAGACTTGAGTCAGTAACAGAGACATTTGTCAAAATGATTGGAGCGAGAATTGGTTCGGACCATGCTAGTGTCCGTTGAACCTCGGGTGTTGTGTTCAGTCCGTCTTAGCCGGATTAATATGTCATGGGGGGAAAAAAGCTATGGAGAAAGAAAAAAAAACACGATCACAATTCAGGATACTGCATACGCAGCTAACAGGTAAAATGAACCAATAACCAAATGGAAGGACTAAATCCTCCAGTCGGAAATAACCACGCATATAAGTACAGCGCAGATGGCGCATATGCCGGGAATCTAGCATCATTACGCAGCTAGAAGGAATCAGGAGTGCATGCACCTAAACCTATCACGACACTGCCCCATGGGGGACGGTATACCGCCATAGAGGATTTTCAACTTTATCTCTTAGAAGTTGCTCTCTTAGTGTTCGGGGGGGTCCCACTTGTATTCCGGGCGCCCAGCACCTACATTACTAGCTTTGCGATGTTCAAAAGCCGACGTGGAGAAAAACCCCGGATGGAGAAGAATCCACTGGCGCCCCCACCACCACCATGACCTCGCAGGAACGGCGATTGGCGGGCGAATTCCGGAAGATTTGTCAGTGTTCTATCGGTGGAATAGTGGGGGATGTGCCAAGCGGTGTGGAAAAAGAGGTTCAAAGTTCAAGATTTGATGGGGATGCACTTTTGACCAAGGGAGAGGCCCAATGGGCCGAGTTACTGTTTACGTACTGTTTAATGTTGCTTGGGCGATGAGAAACTGGTCCTTTTGGAGACGAAGCCTGTGTGCAAGTAGCATTTTTTTGAGCATCTTTTGTCCAGCACGCTCCTTTAGACATGGGCTTGGGTGGGTGGGCCGAGTTACATTGGCAACGCTCCAAGCCGCCTTGGCAGGGCTACTGCGCACAATCCAAGCGCTGTGGTTACCGCTACTTTTTAATCTGTGCGGCCGAACAAATTCCGCGAGTCGATCTAGAAGCTCACCCTCCTCGCACGTGTTTGCTGGCCATTGACAGTAGTGTTGCGTCAGTTATAGTTTCCATGGCTGCGGATGCCCGCCCTTTGGGCGGCTCGCGTTCGGTGCGGATGGACAGGCTGCGGCTCCCTGCTGCGGCTCCTTGGTGCAGCACGGTAATTGTGGTCTTCGAGCGTGCGGGATTAAGGCGCAGGGCAGTGTTGACGTAGGTGTAGGTACGTAGGGACAATTTGTCGCGCCCTAGCAGTCTATGCGCCTTAGCAGTCCATGCGCCCTCAATCAAGCAATGCCAAACCTCAAACCCGCTAAGTCCAAGTCTTGACTTGTGGGCGCAGCGAAGGCAGCCCTTCGACTGGTGGCACTTTTGCGCCACTGGCACCCATGCTTCTGGATTCCGGCCACCGGGTGTTTCATGGCGTGTTGACGTTTCGCTCTAGTGGGGACTACTAGCATGCGATAGGAACATTCGTGGATTCTGGGAAACACCCGGTGGCACTTGTTGGAGCAATAGCGCCGAGATTGGGGCCTGGCCATCAGCGCAACAGGGCAGCTTTCTTTGTTTGGCGCAAGAGGCCCTGGCCAGGCTGTGGGCACAGTGTTGGCACAGTGTTGCTGGTTGTCGGCTGGTAGAAGACCAGACGAACCGATGTCGACGTCAAAACATAGTCGCCAGGCTAGCAGGTTAGGCGAATGGGATGCAGCACATGCCTGCATTAGCATTTAAGCATGCATATAGTAGTAGATTAAGGAATCGCCCAGCCTCACTTGTTTCTGCAGTGCTAAGTGCCCTTTGCCGTGCGTTCCCCGCATTACGGAGAATTGCCGTCCGTGCAGTCGTGTCAATTCCCTTGAAACATCATGTAATTTAATATACCCACAACAACGGAACAATATGCCATACCGAGAGTAAGTAGACGCATGATGTGGATGATCAATTTCCACGCTCAGGAGATCTGTGTTCCCGAGCCCAGTCCCAAATCGGCCAACCCTCAGGTGCCATGTAGGCAAGGCTTGGTACATGGCATGCCTTCTGATTCGTAGGCCCGACAGCATCGCTCGACCTATAAGTATCCTATACATGCCCCCGTTCAAATAGTCATCCAGCTCACAAGCAACACATTCATTCATTTAACCAACCAACTACCAACCCCCCCCCAAAAAAAAACCAAACATGCGTTTCGTTCCCGACCTTAGCTTCTCGGCTGCCGCCATCGCCCTTCTGGCTTCCACTGCTTCAGCCCAGAGCTGCAAGCTTCCTACCTCTTACAAGTGGACCTCCACCGGCCCTCTTGCCCAGCCCAAGTCTGGATGGGTCAGCTTGAAGGATTTCACCATCTCCAGCCTTAACGGCAAGCACGTTGTCTATGCTACCGACCACGACACTGGATCCAACTACGGATCCATGGCTTTCAGTCCCTTCACTAACTTCAGCGACATGGCCTCTGCTTCCCAGATGGCCACTCCCTTCACTGCTGTTGCCCCTACCCTCTTCCGCTTCGCTCCCAAGAACATCTGGATCTTGGCCTACCAGTGGGGACCCACCACCTTCTCCTACAGGACTTCCAGCGACCCCACCAACGTCAACGGCTGGGGTCCTGTCCAGACTCTCTTCTCTGGCAAGATCACCGGCAGCAGCACTGGTGCTATTGACCAGACTGTCATTGGTGACGCCAACAACATGTACCTCTTCTTCGCCGGTGACAACGGCAAGATCTACCGTTCCAGCATGCCCAAGGGCAACTTCCCTGGCAGCTTCGGCGCTACTTCCACCGTCGTCATGAGCGACTCCACCAACAACCTCTTCGAGGCTGTTCAGGTCTACACCGTCAAGGGTGGCGGTTACCTCATGATTGTTGAGGCTGTTGGCTCTGGCGGCCGTTACTTCCGCTCTTTCACTGCCTCCAGCCTCAGCGGCAGCTGGACCCCCAACGCCGCCACCGAGAGCAACCCCTTCGCCGGCAAGGCCAACAGCGGTGCCACCTGGACCAACGACATCTCCCACGGTGACCTTGTCAAGGTCACCAACGACGAGACCATGACCGTCGACCCTTGCAACCTGCAGCTGTTGTACCAGGGTCGTGCCCCCAGCTCTGGTGGCGACTACGACCGTCTCCCCTACAGGCCCGCTGTCCTTACCCTCAAGAAGTAGAGCCCTCTTTGCTCGGCTCCTTGCGAGGTACCTTCATTGTAAATGAATATTTGTGTGGGAGATTGTATATAGCTCAGTTTGAGGTGGAATTCGTATATATATATATTGTTTTGAGCCACTGGCTTTGGCTCTTTGGCATTGTGCGAGGCATCAATTGATTCTTCAACTTATCTTGAAAATTCCCCTGTTTCCATCTGCTTGCTACCTTTGAGTGACTTCTCTTGTGTAAAGCACAACTCGATAGCCCGCCGACCTATTGCAACTCCCTGGAGAAAATCCACCCAACGCTGTTTATGCTGATATATCTCACTCCTACACACTTCCAGACTCTTCCTTTCTCTAATCGCAATCTCCTGCAAGACCGTCATGCTCTTGGCAGATAGCAACGTGACCTCTCCTTTGCACTGGGCCCAGGCCTCGTGTAGTTCCATAAACGCCCAAGTTAGACCAACAAGGGCATCCCGATGCACGAGCCACCGCATACTCGTCGCAACCATCCATTCCGCAAAAGCAGCTGACTCGGGCTCGCCCAGCAACACTACCTTGCGCAAATTGCACGGCTGCTGGTAGCCTGCACTACGGCACAACTCCAAGCCAAGCTCCACGATGCCAACCGCCTCGCCATCATCAGTTCGGTGGACCTCATCCATGCCCGCTACACCCGGCCCTTCCACGCTGAACCCAGCCTGAGCCCGCAGAATACGAACAACAGCAGATCCAAACGTGCTCGCAGCGCGGACAGGCACGGCCGGCAGGCCCTCGAGCAGCGCCGGCGACGCGAACCATAGCGGGAGCAGACTGCCTAGATGCAATTTGCGAAATTCGAGCTTCGGCACGCAATCGATCGCAAGATCGCTCGATTGGCGCGCCCTGACATGGTGCTGCTCCTGCTGCGGGTCAAAAACCGGGTAGTGGGTCAGAATGTCCAAGCGCTCTGCTGCATGCAGGCCGACGTCGACATTGTTATCATCGGGTTCGGAGATTTGGCCGGTAAAGTCCCAGTAGTAATGGTAGTAGTGATGGTGGTAGCAGGGCTCTTTTTCTGCATCTAGGAGGTCCGAAGCTGCGACTGCGGCTGGTGGGGAAGCGAGTTCGTTGATCCAGGCGGAGACGATGCCTACTTCGTTTTCCGTGAAGCTGCCGAACATTTTGCCTTCCCAGGAGAGTTCTTTGATTAGGCGGCTTTGGGTGCTGTGGCCTTTGACTACCCAGGGTTTGCAGTTGCTGAGGTCGTGGAGGAAGTCTCGCTGCCATGTTGGGTTTTTGAAGGCGTTTGGTTCGAGCCAGTCAACGAGGGAGCGTCTACCGATTTTGAGACGGCTGTTACAGTGGATCTTGTGAGCGACGGAGCTTTTGGCTGCAAAGATGGCCACTACTTGGGCTTCTGTGTCGGTACGGGGGAATGGTTCCTCGACTTTTGATTTGAGTGATGGGCTCTCGGGCGTTGTAGGTAAGCCCTCGGCCAGAATGTAACCAGCTTGTACACGCTTCCAAGCAACATGAGCTGCTTCTTCGCCTTGGTCCTCTGCTACTAAGTTTATGTAATTTGACACTGCAGCCATGGCCATGGCAGCATGACCCGAGTCTGCATTGTCAATAGATATGTGGAGTTCGAAATAATACGGGTTTAGACGAAGTTCCCGAAGTTCCTTGACAGTCTTCAGTAGATGGAGAGGTAGGCTTTCGTATGCCATGTTAAATCCCAGAACTTCGGGCAAAAAGTCATGTGGGAAGAGAGAAATAGTAAGCTGGGCCATGGCGGCTTTCCAACAACGCACTTCGGTCAATCCATGGCGAGGATGAATAAAATCTTGCGAATCGGCCTCAGGTAGCCTGGCATCAATGTCTTTCATCAACTCCCGGTAGACATGGACATGGTTCTTTTCAATATCCCCATCGCCCAGTTCTTCTGACATGACTTGCCAAGCATTCTTCGTAATCTGACGGTACTTGAACGATGTGCTGATCTTGTTAATGTGTCCAAGCCAAGCGCCATCAACGTATTTGACAGGGGCGGCTTGTTTTAGCCACCATTTCGCCTCGCCTTTGTCTCCGAACATCTCACGTGGTTCTCCACTCCGCCGCCTGGCAAGGTACTCCTCCCATTGGTTGGTGATATCAGCATCTTTTGCTGCAAGAAAGTCTTTCAAACTGTCGGGTGAAAAGCGCTCGACAGATAGAATGGTGTTTTCCGGTTCGTTGACTGCGTCGGCAATGGCTGATGAAAATAATTCTAAAAGTAGTTCGCGACACTCCGGTATAATTTCCGGGTGGTACTCCAGATTGTGCAGCTTGTAGTAGAGCTGCTTGAATCTCGCTAGATCTTGGTCGATGACGTCAGGTTCAACAGAATCTAGAGACTTGTTCAAACTATGATCTGGAATAAATGGCTTGATGTCGCTGGCAATAGGTCTGGTAGGACTGTGTGGAGTCTCCAAATCTTTTCTCCTAGGCCAGTTTCTCGTCAAACGATTCCGAACTTCATTGTATGCAAGGATCGCGAGGAATGCAATCAAAACGGCCGTAGTTGTTTGAAGAATATACATTGTGGCGTGGCAGTGTTGTGTTTTGTAATGTCCACAGGTACTAGTGAGCCTTCAAGCTGGCAATCGGGGAATGCTATACATTTATTTCTTCATACCTAGTCGGTCCAGATGTGGCGGAGGGTCCATCTGCGGGTAGATGCGCCGCGCAAATCATGCTGCCAACGGTGACGGCGTACAATTCACCTTGTACCCGCCGCGTCAACATCATCGCGGACCCATACGATCGTAAGCTAGACGATATAAGGTTAGCCAGCACGCACCCCGCAATGCATAAAATATCTATTTCTACCACCATCGTTGTCCGATTTGCACGTACTAGCATCTTTACACCGGTTTAGCGCGTAAATCACTCAAAAAAGCAGAGGCTCTTTGCATTCGCCCCATGCGCATTCACTCTGTACGGCATCGCCTTTCCGAGAATGATTTTCCATTGTCGTAGGCCAAGGCGCGAACAGGATAAAAGTAAACCTCGTCATTCTGGTCTAACATAGAAACTCGACGTCACATTGACTCGTCCTACGCTCCGCGGCGTAGTGTACTACCTGTCTGTATGACATTCATTTTAACCACGCGCCTTGGTCTAGACAACACGAACGTGCCTCTGCCCACGTTGCGTTATAAATTTCTCCACGGAACAACAATTGCATTGTTCTACTGACTATGCCGGAATCGACCGCTTTTCAGGCACTAACCCAACACTTGGCGAGATCAAACTATGTGTTTGTATGCCCCTCACCAGAAACTCAAGGTAGAGTAGTGCAAAAAAGACGCTCAAATGTCTCGACAGAAGATGCACAAACTGCATCGGATTTCTTTGGATGGAATCTGTCATGCACAAGGTAAGTTCCGTCACGCACTTTGAAGAAACGCATTCCACACGAGACTAATACGCTCCCAGAGGAACCCTGAAATCCATAATACCTGATGTAATTTTCGAGCAACTATGCAAAGCCTCGGTTATTGTCGAAGACAGTAGAAAAACCTACCGCTCCACCATCCGCGTGTCGAACTTCTACCTGCCAGACCCTCTAAGCCGCGACTCGGACACCACCCCACTCTACTACATCCACTCTTCTTTCCCTGCCTCTTCAGACTCCGTATTCTTCGGCCCGGACACGTATCTTTTTATCTCGTTCCTGCAAACCATACCGCGGCATTTTCTACAAGCGCCAAGTTCGGTCGTCGATGTGTGCTGCGGATCTGGCGCAGGGGCGATCCACATGGCACAAACGTACCCGCAGGCCAAAGTGCTAGGTCTGGATCTGAATCCCCAAGCATTGAGCTTGGGTGGTGTCAACGCGCAATTGGCAGGAGTCGAAGTCGCTTTTTCTGAGTCAAACCTGTATGCTTCTTTGCCTGAGGAGATGAAAGGAAGAGGCGTTGATCTCATCGTGAGTAATCCGCCGTATATTGCTTCCAGCGTCGATGGCAAGGATTTGCCCATTTATGCAGACGGCGGTGCAGGGTTCGGTCTAGATATCTCGATTCGTATTGTAGAAGAAGGTATCAAACTTTTGAGTTCGAACGGAGTCATTGTCGTATACACGGGTGTCGCGATACCGACAGCCGATCCTGGACACGATGCTTTCCTGGAAAAGCTAAAGCAAGTAGAAGACGGGGAGCTTGCCGAGTACACAATCTTGCATCCGGATATGTGGCCCGAGGAGATTGGAAAGGGCGCGTATGCAGATGTATGCAGGATACAGATTGTGGGTGCTGTGCTGCGGAGGAATGTGAAGAGTATAGAGGAAACTAAAGCTGCGACTCGCAAGCAATGGGCAGTATAATACATCAGTAGTACGGTGGAAAAAAAAGCCGCTGACTTTCAGTCTCTGTATATACAAACTAAAATATCCCCTTACTTAAATTCGGCCTCCGGATGCATCCCGTCCGGAATCTCCAGCGCAGTCGTATACGCAGACCGGCCAACCTGCTTCCCCCACACATCAGCAATATCCGGTAACACACTTCTCCCCGCATACACGGCATTTGTATTTGGTACCGGCCACGGCACAGAAGTATTCTTGTTGTTCAGCTTGCCCGCATACGAAGCATTGAAATACATGTTACTCAGCGGGACCTTGCCGGACCACGCTCGCACCGCATCCCCCGTCTTCGCAGCTACAAATTTGAACACGTTGGCCCCTACGTCCCAGCGGCCCAGGGTGTCGAGACCCCAGTTTGCCTGCACGGTGGAAATCTCGCTGTAGTGGTTGTAATACGTGTTGTCGCTTGTGCCGACGAGGCTCGCAGGCACGGCGTCTCCGAGCAAGATGCCCACGACGCGGTTCTGTTTGCCGTAGGTGTGGTTTTCGTCAAATGTGACAAGGACGAGGGTGTTGTTCATGAAGGTTTTGTCAGTTAGTAGGGGTTCGAGGAATCTTCGGGTCCAGGTTCCGGCGACGGTAACGGTGGAGTCGTGGCCTGGGGTATTTTTCAGTATGTTTACTGGCGAATGCCAAAAAGGCGCGGCAGTGTGGAGGACTCACCGTCACTGGTCATGTTGGGGGTGATAAACATCCACTGCGGTAATTTGTTGTTTTCCAGATCCGATTTGAACATGGTCAATGGCTTTATCTTGGCTAACCGGTCCGCCATTTGCGCTACTGAATCGTATAACACGGCTGGGTTGTGTTTCCTCACATACATATTCGCTCCAGTTTTAGGGTTTGGATATGATGTTCCTTGGAAGCCAACAGATGGCATATCCTCCTGGTACTCGCCCCAGCTGATTCCTTTGGCCTCCAGTAGATCAACCAGCGTGGAGACGTTGGAAGGAATGGCGACCATGTCGTCGTAGTTGATGCCGTAGTAGTCACCGGATATCGCGGCTGCGTAGTTTGGCATGGAGGGATGTGTGACGGCGAAGTAATTCGTCAGACTAATGCCCTTTTTCGCGAGCCATGCCAGGCTTGGGTCGCCGGCTGCGAGATCGTAGTCTGTATTTTCAAGCCATATTATAGCTATGCGGTCGAATGCCTTGCCTTTGACTATTGTCTGGGCGGAAACGAGGCTCAAGTTTGCCCAAAAGGCCAGCGAGAGGATAGACGGAGTTCTCATAGCGACAGTGTAGATCTATCAAGTATGTCGGGGCTTAACTTACTACTTAGTATTTATGGACCCCTATACTTACTCACAAATACCACCTAGAGTAACCTCGGATCTCATCAAACATCTCAAAAATTTTGGACGCCGCCTGTCTTTTTCTCCCATCTTTTTGGTACACAGCATCAAGCGGCTCGCACTGGGAATACTTCCTGCAGTAGTGTTAATATCATCACAGCCAATTAACATGTCGATAATTCGCCCGTGGCATGTGGCTAGAACAAGCGGCTCGCATGCATACACAAGGCCAAGCTTTTTAGGAAGGTCGACAAGCTTTATGTGGATCCCGCATTTGAACGTGCGGGGCTGATTGGATTAGAGGAGTCGGCGGGTATTGCAGGATGCACGTAAAAGATAGAACATGCCATGCGCACGAGAGTTGATCAAGGGGCCCTGAACGACATGTGAGTGGCGATCCCTGTACATTTTGTACGAGTGGCGAGCAAATTCATGTATTTTCAGTTTCTTGGTTCCAGTGACCATAGGAAACATGACGGACTGATCCTTGGTTATTGGCTTGCTCCGACTCGACTTAGCAACGCTAGACATTGTCGGATCATACGTTAACAGAACCTTTCCCTATCCGAGATACTGGAGAGGAAGATTTGGCAAGATACTCAGCATGGGCTGCGGCCAGAATTTCCACATGAAGGACATGTCCGACACGGCTCCGCGGGAAATGCAAGAGCAGATTGGCCTATTAGTACACGACTCTAAATACGATGACATGAACGACGATGGTTTCTCTGAAGAGGAGCAAGAGCAAGGCTGGAGTAAAAGGATCAGAAATACGCAACATGACGGGCGACGGCATCATTGGATCAAGATCATTTTCATTGTCATCCTCCTAGCATGCACACTCCTTGTCCTCACACACAAAGTTCTGATAAGCAAACCCTCGGCTCCGACATCACCCACAGCCTCCAACACAGCAAGTCTCCGGCCAGAAGAAGACTACATCCTCTCTCCAACATGGGACATCAGCGCACCACCCACAACACGCGAACACACATGGATAATCTCAGACCACACGCTCAACCCGGACGGCGTCTACCGCCCCATGACACTGATCAATGCCACGTTCCCCGGCCCATTGATTGAATGCAATGAAGGCGACGAAATCGTTGTGCACGTCCATAATCACGCCAGCAACGCAACATCCATCCACTGGCATGGCCTGTATCAAAATGGGACAAATTGGATGGACGGAACAGTAGGGGTAACACAATGTCCTATTGCGCCTGGCCATTCATTCACCTATCGGTTCCGCGTCTCGGGTCAATCGGGGACGTATTGGTATCACTCGCATGCCAGTATGCAAGCATCAGATGGACTGGTTGGACCGCTGATCATCCATGGGCGAAACGAGGGGGAGTCATTGCAAAAGATGGCGTATAACCAAGATCGCGTGGTCATGCTTTCAGATCATTATTACGATAGTTCTTCGGTCTTGCTGCAGCGATATTTGGCACCTGGAAGTGAAAACGATGAGCCTGTTCCGCAGGGTGCACTTATCAATGGACGCGGAAAACGTAAATGTGATGACTTGTCGGGCAGAGAATGTGATGTTACGGACCGGCGTAACGCGGTGTTTAATGTTTCCCCAGAGACCAGGACGAGACTTCGCGTTATCAACGTTGGTGCATTTGCAGAGTTCGCGCTGCAGATTGATGAACATGAGGTTTTTGTTACAGAAGTCGATGGCACGGATGTAGTACCCATGAGTATTCATCGGTTGAACATCAGTCCTGCACAACGTTATAGCATCATACTTCCTCCATCAAAGCAAGAGCAGGGAAACAAAGGAGCATATTGGATCAGAGCGAGAATGGTTACGCACTGCTTTGCATATGAAGAACCCGAGTTACAAGAGGAAGTCCGAGCCGTACTATCTTACTCTCCTCCTCTCAGCATCGGCGACCAACAAGCTCCAGCGCCAGAAAGCAAAGACTGGCCTGAAATCATCGACGTCGAATGCCGCGACCTAAACACCTCCCTCCTCGTCCCTGCTATCCCCATCGTAGCACCCCCCATCGACCCGGAACACACTCTGTACCTCCGCTCCTCATTCCAAACCCACGAGTGGCGCCTCACCCGAGGCTACTTGAACGACAGTTCCTTCCGCCTAAACAGCACCATGCCACTTCTCCAAACCTTGCTTTCCTCGTACTCCTCCATCACCCCCAACAGCACAGAAGCTCAAAGAGACGGCATTTCACCCTTAGTATCCTCAGAAAAGCAACTGACATACCAAACCACCTCCCCCACATCAACAATTACTCTCTTAATCCAAAACTTCGACGACGGAGCCCACCCTTTCCATCTTCATGGTTACAAATTCTTCGTACTAGCCCAGGGCCACGGATATCCTCCTTCTCCCCTCCACAAACAAAATTTCAACATGACGAATCCGCTAAGAAGGGATACGGCGAACGTAGAGGCGTACGGGTGGTTGGTTGTTAGTTTTGTAGCGGATAACCCGGGGGTATGGGCGTTTCATTGCCATATTGGGTGGCATACTGAGGCAGGGCTTATGATGGTTTTTGCGACGGGGGTGGAAGGGATGCGAAATTGGAGGGTGCCAAGGGAGTTAGACGAGCTTTGTGGGGTTGAGGGGGTGGAGAAGGGGATGGCGCCTGGGGATGAGGTGTGGGAGGGTTGGAGGGGGGATGAGGATGAGGATGACGAAGAGTAGAGTTTTTGATGGAGAGGTGCAGGTATGGTTTGCTGCACAGGCTTAATGGTTTATATCTTACATGTCGTAACGTACATTTCTTGAAACAGAACTGCTCGACGCAGTCTGTGATTTGATTTCCCCACTCATTCCCATCTTCCGCTATGACTGCCCAACACCACCCACTGCCGCGGCGCAGTGCTCCCTCAACATCTTTCACTTTGATACCGAGTCTCACCATGCCCGGAAACATGGCAAACCCCGCACTCATTCCCAGATACCAAACCACCTCTTGACCCTCCTCCTGCGAATACCATCCTCACCCACATAATACCTCGGGTCCTCGACATACTCCTCGCCCTTCTCCTCTGCCTCCCTCTGCCTCTCAAGCCTATACTGCTTCCTCTTCTCGATCTCCTCCGCCTTCTTCAGCCGCTGCTGCTGATACATCTGCGACGTGTGCTCCATGTGCATCTTGTAAACTTCGATAAAGCGGGAAGACGACTCGATAGGGTGGCGCATAAAGTCCTTGCGCGTAGGAAGCAAATGGCCGAAACTAGTCTTGGAGATAAAATCCATGTACCATGCTGCTATCGCGAGGGAAACGAGAATGCCCTGCAAAGTGGGGTTAGTGGGGGATGTATAGAGATTGGTACAACACAAAACGCACCATTGTGATCCACAGATGAATTGCGCGGTTGTGCAGAAACCAGTGCGAAAAGGTGCCCTCGGGACTCATCATGTTGGGGTACTTTTTGGTTGCCATGCGCTTGCGATCTTCTTCGGACAAAGGCGCCCCATAGACTCTGTTCTCCAATTGGCGGTTGGGCGCGCGTTTGCTGTGCGAGGGCGGGCGGTATTTATCGGGCTGGGGTATCACGGGTGTGCCTCTGGCCTGCTGTGCCTCTCGCCGTCTTCGAAACTCTTCGGAGAGGCCTTTTGGTGAGATGGACGAGGCATGGCGGCGGTAGGTGGCTGGAGCGGGAAGTTGAGTGAATGCGCGAGGCTGCACTCGCAGGAGGAGAGGCCCCCTCGGGAGGAGGAAGCGTGGTATCGATTCGAGGGTAGCCATGGGTTGTGTGGGTGTGTGGGTGAGTTCACATGGTCGTGGGAATCCCAAAGATCTTCAGATGCGCGGAGAAAGCTCGGGCCGGCCCATCTTTGTACTTCTTCTCTTCTTTCTTGCTTCATCTTTGCACATGACATATTTGACATACTACCCACGCAATACACATAATTCGGACCCCAATTTCTTCCAGGTTGTTATCAATGCCTTCCAATCCCCCACCCTCGTTTGGATCCCAAGCCTACTGGGACGAGCGCTTCACATCCAACATGGATCCCTTTGATTGGCTAGAGGAGCCCAATGCCCTGGATCCCTACCTTGTCGATGCTCTGGATTCCAGCCATGCGGGTAAACCCGAGATTCTGCACATAGGCTGTGGGACATCATTGCTCTCTTTGCATTTGCGTTCCCACGTAGACCGCCCGGGCCAGATCCACAACTTGGACTACTCCGACGTGGCCATACAGATTGGCAAGGCCCGCGAAGAAGAAATATACCAGTATCAGAGCCAGCACAAAGGCAATAACCAGGGTACTCATGCACCTTGTATGCGTTGGGATGTTGTCGATCTCCTTGACTACAAGTCTTTGCTGCGTGCATGCTCACGTGCTTCGTATTCTGTTGTAGTCGACAAGTCGACATCCGACGCCATTGCTTGCTGCGACGATATCGTTGTACCAGTGCCATATCCCATAGCAAGCCGTTCCCATGATCCTATGCAGTTGAGTTCGTCTGCATCCCAGGAACCCATACACCCATTGGCTGTTATGGCAGTCAATTTGGCACTCGTGACAAAACCCGGGGCCCGCTGGATAGCCTTGTCATACTCGCAAGACCGCTTTGATGTCCTTGATGCTGCGTCAGATGTGGTTCCTAAAGGTATGATGTTCCCGCATCCTGCTGACTTGTGGCGCTTGATCGAACGGCGCGAAATCGACGATGTAGAATCTCAAGCACAGGTCGACGAGAAAGACGGCTCTGTGACGTACAGGCCAAAGGTATGCAACATTGTATACATCTTGGAAAGGACAAATACACCGTTGTTCGTACGTGGGGAGCATATATGAAATGATAGATTTATAGATAAACCACATCGTACTCTTCTAACCTTATTGTCCTTGTTCATTTTCACAATCCCAAAACTAATCCTGCTTGTCCATCCACTGTTTGCATGCCTCAAAAACCTTAGGAAACGTCTCATCAAGCGCCAAATACCTCTCAAACACACTCTGATCAATCCGATTGAACATCTGCAACAAAGTCACAAAAATGAAATCCGCATACGACACTACACCACCACGTTAGCCTCCTCCAATTCTCTCCCACCAAGTTGTATATAACTCACCCGTCTCCCCCAGAAAAAACGGCCCCTCCTTCTCCCTCAGCAAATCCCCCATCTCCTTCGCCGGCACAGCAGCCGCAGCCCAGCACTTTTCCACATCAGCCTCCGCCCGCATCTGATGCAGCGGCTTCCCAAATTTCTTCTCCCTTGTCTCCGAGAAATACTTTGCACTGGGCTCATTCAACAGCACATCAGGTACCTGTGTCAGCACTAAGGGAACCAGCGGTGTCATCAAATCCTTCATGATATCTCGGATCTTGACTACAATCGGCTCATCGAGGTGAAGGGGGGGATTCGGATACTGCTTCTCGAGGAAATGCGCAATGGGCCACGAGTCCATTTGGTATGTGCCGTCTTCATATTGGATTGCTGGGCTACTGTAGTCGGTGAAGTAACCTGGGGCGTCCTTTGGGTTGGGCGGGATGCCTAGGGATTTGAATTTGGGGGCGAGGTCAGGATATTCGACCCATTCAGTTTTGTAGGGGATGGATTTGTAATTGAGGATCATGCGGGCTATGAGGGAGGATTGTTTAGCATTTTTGGGGTTTTATTTCGCATTTAGAGAGGTAAAGGGACGTACTTTTCCAAGGGTTCAGAGACCATGCTGTGCCTTGTTTGCTAGGGAGGTCGAAGAGGGTGACTTTTGGTGAGGACATGGTTGCTGAGGGTCGATGATGAATGATGGAATTGGAAGAGGAGTTGAAATGTCAATCGGTTGTCTTTTTCATTGGTGTCAGGCACTAGACTACACGCCTGGTCTCCGTATTATATTTGTCATCCTGTAGTACATATGTGGGGAAGTGATGATCAATCCGGCCACGGACGACATGTAGTACGGAATATCTCCGGATCAACCACCATGTATCGGATATGGGATAGTGATGATCAATCCGGCCACGGACGACATGTAGTACGGAATATCTCCGGATCAACCACCATGTATCGGATATGAGATAGTGCCAAATCATTTAGCGAATGCTTAATAGTTTTGAGTTATCCCGCAGGATTTTTAGGCACCTGAAAACGTGCGGTTCGCGTTGGGGTTGCGGACCCACTTTAGTAACATCGTCTAATGCCAGCCTACTATCCTTCAAGTTTCCTGCATAATCAACTACGTCCACCATTTCAAAACTGCTCTGAAACAGAGACAATGCGCTACAATCAATGTTCCCATGCCTCTATCCCACGCCTGTGTGATGCTTACACGCACACAGATGCCAGATTCATGATTCCCACCTCCCACATCTGGCAACACCGTTCATACTCTTTCCTCCCACCATAACTCACAATCATTATGCGGACCCCAATGTTTTCCTGACACACCTCCATGTGTTACCAACTGTATCAGACTCAAGCTTCAGAAAACCCTCCTCGCAACCATGGGATTTCCTGTTGTCGCGTCAAGCGTGTAGTGATTATTTCCGCCCCCACACGATTCCTCAACGTGGCTGCGCCAGTACAAATGCACGACGGCAAGATCCACCTTGTCGAATCGTCTCGCGGCCACCAAATTGCATCATCTAACAATAACGCCCCTGTTTGCACGGCCTTCTACTTCTGGTATATGCTTCACAGCATTTGAGATTGTGATGGGAGTGCAATTCTGTGATACCTGGTGGCGGGGTACAGGGACTGTATTTGTGATAGTACTGCTGATTGTGTAGTCTTGCGGAGACAAGAGCTGCATAGACAAAACGTTCCGTCTACCTATCATGTGCTTGCGCGTACCATGGTAACTTTACGCTTGCTCTCCAGTCAGAGTCTACGCACTCTTCAGCCTATTTAGGTTGAACGCGAGAGAGCCTTGTGGGTGCGCCTCCTCAGGCCACCCACCCAATCTTTCAGCCCCCAATTCCGACCCCAGCACCCGAACGCGATGGCTAGTGGTACACAACGAATAGTCGATAAGGACGGCGTATTTTGTTTAAGAACTATCTTCACCGCAATCGTTGATCTGCTCCTCAATCAGACCCTCTACGATAGTCCGGGGCAACCCTCTTCAACAACACTGCGTTTTGTATTTCTCTGCTCGATGCACGCATATACAAGCCTCATGCATACAACTCAATCCAGTTGACCATCGATATCAGACTTGTATACAGCCTTTGGTCAGCCCTATACGCTGAGATTATGTTCCTCTGTGCTTCTTCTAACACATGTTAGGACTGCAAATCTATATAGATTTTACTGTCCACTGTCAGACTCGAAACTCGAAATCCCCAACCTATCGGTTCGTTGAAGGACATGATGGAGCGCAGTCGCGCAATCAGCAGCGCACATGACGATGATGTGCCGCTGATAGCGTCCACTGACTCAACGAGTTACGACAGTGGAAATGTTGCCATGCAACAAATCGATAGCTCACTCTACTCGCCACCCACGGTCACTTCTCCAGAGATGATAGAGACTAAAAACGGTGCATATGCCAAAATAAGCACTCCAGCATTGGACGTGGAGGGCGGACTACAACACAAGAAAGTGCGTCATAACCACCACCATGCGAAGCGCTTTGATCACAATGAAGCACGAAGGGACCTTTTGAGGAACGGCGCTGGGCGGCTCTTGATAACATTCTTCTTCAGCGCAGCAATGTGTCTTACCCTCCGAGGTTGGGAGGGCTTCATCAATCCCGTCGTGCTGTCCAAGAACGATGTTCGAGTCTTCAACTCGCTCACCATTGGCCTTTCTCTCTGTCTAGGTCTCAACCTGTTGGCTTCGCTCAAGCACTACGCCTCCTTCTTCCGATGGTCGTTCCTCGCTCGGCGGTACGTCAGCCTCGAGGTGTTCGACCTCATCCTCCACTTTGGCTCGCTCGCCAGTGTCGCCAAGCTCATGGTCATCTCAATGCCTGGGCTCCGCGGCAAGAAGTGGCTTCGTCGATTTCGATGGTTCAAGGACGTACGCGACGACGGCACAAAGTGGATGTGGCTCGCATGTCTCGTATGGCTCTCCATCAACATCGGCTCCCAGATCCTCGTCGCGCTGCTCAGTCTGTTCTGGCCCATGGATAACTCCAACACCCCCCTCTTTGTCGCCGGCAACGTCAGTGTCGCCAACCTAAACGTCTGGCACGTCGACGAGAGCCCCCGCGAAGACGGCATCAACAGCCTCGCCAACGAGACCTCCCTCGAAGCCGCATGGACATTTGGTACAGAAGCAATGGCCTACCCCGTCTTCCACCTCAGCGATATCCAATACGACCTTTCAGGCCTCCCCGGCACCCCCATCTACGAAGCAGACGGCATGTACCACTACCGCTTCTTCAACCGCGACCCCGCGCACCCCTACACCAACTACCTCAGCAGCTCCCGCAACGTCTCCGCCCACGCCATGTGCGAGCAACTCGAAGTCGGCAACGGCACCGTCGTCGACGCCGGCGACGAAGGCATGTACGTTAACGCGCGCCGCCCCAGCGAAGAAACCTACTCGCAGTACTACCTCACCGAAGCCGCCAGCGGCTCCATAACCTGGACCGCCTCCGTCCCGGCCTCGTGCGGCCCCCGCTGCACCAACTTCACCGTCCTCCAGGACAAAGGCGACAAAGTAAACGCAACGTCCTTCTTCCTCTGCAATAGCACTCTCCTGGATATACACCAGGCCCACGCCGACAAAGACATCACCACGTATTCCGCCGAGGACCGCGCTGCCGTCTACGGCAACGACGCCTTTGCGCGTATCGCCGCCGGCGCAATAGGCTGGACGGGGATCCCCTGGAACTCGTGGATGGATCGCCAGTCGCGGTCGTATAGTCAGGGGTCCAAGTGGTCGCCGGCGCGCAATGTCGAGGCCAAGGACGTCGAGGATATGCTCATGCGGTTTACAATCGGCGCCGTCGCCGCGTTTGACGACCATGGCGTCAAGTATAATCTTACCAAGCAGACGGTGGTGCCGTCGCAGGGCCAGCAGTTGGATGTCGATTGGCCGTACGTTCTCGGTATCCTAGGAGGCATCTGCTTCATTCAGTTGCTGGCCCTGTGCTTGCTTGTGCTGTTTGCCAATCGCACAATTGTGAGGGATGATAGTTATTTTAGCATGGCCATGTTGTTGCGGCCCGTCGTCATGAAGATCGGGGAGAGTGGATTGAATATGAGCGGGGAGGAGATTAAGGATCATCGGGCGTTGAGGTGGAGGCGGATCAAGTATGATTATATTGAGGGTAAGGAGGGGAACCCGAATCAGGTTACGATTTCGTGGGAGGGACGGGATCCGAGGGAGAGTCGGGGGAGTTGGGCAGCGGGAAGTTATAGTTGATGAGGGTTATGTTAGTCTAGCGTTTTGTTGTACTGTTTGGGAATAAGAAATCTCAGTTCCATCTTCATGTTAGATCCATCTCAGATTAAGTCGAGACAAACATTATAAATTAGGTCTCCGTCACTGGAATTACTCACAAGTACATACACCCTTCCCCACCTACATTACCGTGGATTTAGAGAAACACAAAGCTGGATACAACAAACTGGTTATCAAAGTTCCAATGGGGATGCGACTCTAGGCTCTCGTGCTCGTGATATACGCGCCCGCCATATGCGAGCCGGATTCTGACAAAAGGGTCGAGCTACGGATTCAGTTAGTTTGATCGAAAGACACAAAGTCTTGTGTAAAGCCGAGAGGTAAATGGCACCGTGTGCAAATGCAAAGGTAAAAGAAGACATACCTTGGCCGCATCCTTTACCTTCTCAACAACCCTTGCAACGCTCTCCTTCTTATGCACCCGAACGATCACATCCTTGGAATCATGGCTCATCCTTACCCTCACATCCACTTCCTCGTCGCTCTCGTCTTCTTCCTCGACCTCAACACCCGCTCCCTCCTCAGCTTCATCCTCCTCAACTATTCCCTCCGGCTCGACAACCACCCACTCGGGAACCTTGTACTGCACGCCGGTCGCATCAAAAACCCCGCGCCAAACTAATCCCGTCGGACACGTGCAACCCGTCACATCGAGCATCGTTTGCGCCTCTTGTAGCTCACCAGCCTGCAGGTGCTGCGCCGCCAGACGAATAGCGCCCCATATCTCTGGTGATCCCGTGACTTGCGTATCCCACCAGTCCTGGCGCTCTTTCTCCAGGCGCGCGCGCGTCCACTTGAGCGCCGTGGGGTCCGTCAGCGGTTTAACGCGAGAGCTGGGTTTCGTAGTTGCGGCAGCGGCAGCGAGGGTGTTGGGAAGACGGGAGCGCTGGAAGGGCTGAATGGGTTTCAGCGGGGTGTTGGGGCGCTCGATGGCTTGCACTGGAGGCGGAGAGGAAGAAGAAGGGAGCGCATGGTTGCCGTGTGAGATATGCGATGCGCGCGGCGAAGTGGACGGACTGCGTTGTGTCGAGGGTGCAGTGATGTTGTGGCGCGACGACGACGAATGCGCTCGCGCGGCAACTGGTGCTTCGTCGGTCTGACGAGATGCGCAACAGCCCTAGATACACGGAAAAACACTCTCGTATTAGAATTGATATTCCTGCTCGGTATTTTTGCGCGACTCGCCAGGCGACTGGGGAAGGTTTTCGTACCATATTGAAATTAGCTGCCCGTTGCTACCCCTCAATCTTTGCCTGAACAGGCAATCATTCGGGTCATCTAGCAGAAAGTTGGGAGATATCGTTCTAGCGATATGATTGGCGTGTACAGATGTGCTTGCAACAGTTGCATGCGCATATTGGCTCTCGGATGGAGAGAGTAGGAAAGTTGGAAGGGCCGGGGCTGTGGCGAGGCTACTCCTGTATCGGGGGCCGCATGGAAATATCGATCGATGGACGCAATCCTTTGGACCACGGCTGGACAATGCCACGGTCCTTGTACCCTTTTGCCCCGTGACTCCAACCTTGGACCGGGCTATCGAAGGCTTGCCGTATATGCATGCCCAAGGGACGGCCCAGGCCGGTCAAATTGGTCTCGTGTACACGGACAGTCTGCACTCAGACTCTTGATGCACTGTCGATCGACGTACGCAGTCATCCGTCACTGCACAGCCTGCCGGCATGTACCGCCCCATTACCACCATTTCGTCACTAGGCCAAGCATCACAGTAAAAAAAAAATCAAGCATTTCAGAGCAAACGACAGTGTATTAGAGATTATTACGTCGATGTGTGCCCTAGTGGCCGCTTGTGTACACCTAACAAGGCGGTACGCAGAGGGTATCCGGGGTATTGCGCGATAAAACAAGTTGCGACCAAAATAGCCAATGGTATCAAAAAGGAGAGAAACAGGTGCAGTGGTATCAGTCTAAACAAGCAGTGGGCATGAAGCAAAGAACAGCCAAAAATGGACGCCTCCTACATGTCAATGCCACACAGATGGTGATCCACGCGGAAAGAGTGACGAGGAGTTGGTCCAGATGCAAGGAAACGTTGAACAGAGTCAAGGAAAGTTTGGTCCAAATGCTACGCCTTGAATCTAGTAAAAGACACAAAGCACATTTGGATGGGTATCGGGTTGGCCGTACGGTCAAACAAGGGATTTACGGTGTCTTTGCTTTTCCGTCATTCCGTCGTGGCTGTCGTTGCAGAGGCTGACATCTTCCCACCAGACCTTACGCAGTTGTAGCGACAGTCGGGTTGGCGCTTTTCGAAGCATCGCCCACACTGTTCTCAGCGGGGACTTCAGCAACGGGAGCAACGGGAGCGGCAGCCTCCTCCTCCTTCTTCTCCTCAGCGACGGGAACGGCAGCAGGGGCGGTCTCCTCCTCGACAACGGGGGCGGGGGCGGCGGCAGCAGCCTCCTTCTTCTCCTTGTTGGCCTGGCTCTTGTTGCCAGTGGCCTTGCTCAGCGAACGGCCAAGGTTGCCGAAGAAGGACTTCCTCTTGTCCTGCTTGGGCTCCTCAGTGGTCTCTGGCTTAGCCTCAGTGGTGGCTGGGGTGGCCTCAGCCTCGGTAGGGGCGGGAGCTGAAGCATCCTCAATTTGAGGAGCGGCATCAGCCTTTGGCTCAGGGAGCTTCTCCTGAGCGGCGGGCGACTTGGCGCGGTCCTTGTTGCCAAAGAGCTTACCGAAGCTGAAGTGCTCCTTCTCCTTGGATGGGGTGCTGGTGGCAACGACGGGCTTGGCCTCGTCCTTGTTCAGCTCGGCAGCGGCAGCCTCGTTGGCAGAGGGAGCAGCAACGGGAGCGGTCTCCTCGACAGGCTTTGCGGGCTCAGCGACGGTCTCGTTCTCCTTGACAGGAGTGGCAGCAAGACCAGCCTCGGCCTCCCTCTTCTCAGTGGTGGGCGACTTGAGCTTCTCGACAAAGGTGCCGAAGATGGAAGCACGCTTGGTGGGCTTGGGCTTCTCAGGGGCAGCGGTGGCGGCGGGCTCCTCGGCCTTGGGAGCCTCCTCGGTGGGAACAGCCGCTACGGGGGCAGCAGGCTCAGCAGTGGTCTCGGTGGGCTTGACAACATCGTTGGCGTCGACGGGAGCAGTAGTGGGGACTAGGCATTGTTAGTCAAAAATCACATGTGATGGTGTTCAATCCAACGTACTCTCATCGAGGTGAGGAGCAGTGGCAGCGGGCTCCTCAGCCTTGGACTCCGGCTCCTCCTTGACGGCCTCGCTCTCAGTCTTGGGCTCCTTGTCCTTCTTTCCGAGGAGTCCGCCGAGGAGGCTGGTGCGCTTGCCACGAGAAACAGAGCGAGACTTGCTCTTAGCCTTCTTTGCCTTGGCATCATCAGAAGATGAGCTGGAGGAAGATCCAGTGCGAGCTGGGGCGGCGGCGGGCTCAGAAGCCTCGCCCTCAGCGAGCTTGGGAGCAACGTCCATGCTCTTCTTGGGTGCGGCGGTAGCGCCCGCTAGCGCGGTGGGCTTGCCTGCGCGTTGTTAGTGTTCTGCAGGTCGAACGGCTAGATCGCCCACTAGCGGCCTCACATCACGAAGGATGCAAGGCACGACTCATTTACGTACCAATCTTCTCCTTTGCCTCCTTGTAACCCTCGCTGGACTCGATGGTGTCCTTGGAGGCCTTGGCCTCGGTGATAGCCTTCTCAACAGCGACGAACCATCCGTCACGCTCAGCGGTGGTCGAAGCCTCAAAGGCGTGCTTGTGACCGGAGAGCTTGAATGCGAAAGCAAGAGCACCGTCCTTGGCGAGGTCGGTCGCGTAGGCCTGTTCACGTGTTAGTGGGGGGGTTGCATGGGCGAGTTCGTTCAAGGCGGAAGCGTACCAAGTTCAGGACACCAGCGGGCTGGTCCTTCTTGTCGGCGTGCTTGACGAAGAAAAGGAGACCCTTTCCAGTCTGGCTGGACCAAGCAACGGTAGGGTGGGCAACCTCAGGCTTCTCGCCACGGAGGTACTCGCCCAGGCTCTCAGCGGCGACGGGCTCCTCGCCGAACCAGAAGAACTTCTTAGCAAAGCGGAAGGCGCTGTGGTTGTGGTCAGTACAATTTGTCGACAGACGATGCACACGAGCACACTCACTTCTTCAGGCCAGGCGCCTTGTAGCCGAGAGCACCGCTGTAGATGGGCTCGACAACCTTGTCTTCCTTTGGCTCCTCCTTGACAGCCTCGTCGGCCTTGGTCTCCTCGGCGGCGGCAACGGGCTCGTCCTTGGGTGCCTCCTCAGTCTTGGGCTCTTCGACAGGGGCGACAGTGTTGTCGGGGGCCAGGACGGGGGCGGGGGCGGCCTCAGTGGTGGCGGCAACCTCTGGCTGGTCGACGGTCTTTGGTGCTTCGACGGGGGCAGACATGGTTGCGAGTGGGGGTATTGGGGGACGAAGAAAAAAGTGTGGGTGAAGGGGTATCTGGGCGAAGAAGAGGGGCTTGGGGATGGAGTTTGTGTATTACAAAGGGAGTACAGAAAGGGAAAGTTCCAGGCTCGCAAGGTGCAGCGGCAGACAAGCAAGTTCGAACCTCTTGAGGCAGGGGAGCGAACAGCGGTGTAGGGAGGGAAGAAGGATAGGAAAAACGTCGAGCAGTGATGGGGTGGGAGAACTTTAATGTGAAGGGCGGTGTTGCTAGGTAGGGGTCATGGTGCAGGGGGGGCAGCAACGAAATTGGTCTTCGCGGCAGCACGTCCACTAGGCGGACCCGCCTGCAACTAGCCTGTCCGAATAGCAGCCTTTGCCATGTTATGCAATGCTCACGCCCTGAAACACTACTGTGCACGCCGACATTGTCTTTTTTGGCGCGGGCGGTGGGCGAGGCAGACGGGTGGACAGGCTTCGAGGCAGCGGTGGCAGTTGGCAGCGGCGGCGGCAGGGCAGACACGGGCGGCAGGTTGCGCGATGGCGAGGGGCATGGCAAGTGTTGGGCAAAGGGTGGGAGGGTGGTCACGTATCGGATAAGGTTGGGTAGCCAGGTAGCCAAACAACATGGGCGTAGGCAGGTCGCATGATCGCGCTGCCCCTCATCCACCAGCTGGTTTGAAGCCATGAGCCAACCGCCGTTGACCAGACGCCCTTTTTGCATGGCTCACGAGACATGCGTTAGCCTGCAGCCGTGATATCATGGCATCAGAGTGGCCGCCCCCCCAAGGCCGGCATTTCCGTGTAGATGGATGGATGCTGGATGTACATGGATACATACATGTGAATGTATCGACGAGATACATGGTACATACATGCGCATCTGTGTGCTTGGTGTATGTGTGTACGGTTACTATGTAGACACACACACACATGTACATGTCAAGGTGCGTACATGCTTACATACTACTACGTACACCACGTGCAACACCATGGCATGACTACCATCACCAACCACCACCACCACCACCGCCATGGCCAGGTCTGCACAACTCGAGTCGAACCTTGACGCGCCATTGCCAAGGCCCGTCTTACATGTGTACACAGCACATCCACGGCTAGGCACTTCTAGCGGCCCTGCATGCACAACGAATCGCCAGTCTGCCGCTCTCGCTCTCGGCCCAAGCGCTGATCCCCGTTTACAAAAAGCCCATCCACATGCTGGCCATCAAATTGGCTGCTCTCGACACCTGGCAAATGCAGCCGAACAGGACGAGGCTACTCACCTCATGCCGCCGCGATCTCATCTTGACCTCCCACACCAGCCCCCCTCTGACACTGGCATGCACATGGATACGTCAAGTCAAGTCAACCCACGCACCGGCAAACGGCACGCCACCATTGGCCCTCCAACGCCCCAAAGCCGCCAAATTTGCCCATCGTACTTGAGATTTGCCCTGATTCAGGTCCCCGCACAGGAGCGGGTGGAGTGGGAAAATTGCTGCAAAAATCTCGTCTGACTCTTACCCACAAACACAGGTCTCCCCTACCCACCACCCCCTCCCTCTGATCAGCCCAAAACACCTGGCCCATGTGAACTAGGGCCACTGCCCGGCTTGTTGCAACCCATCCACCCCCCTCACGTCAAAGGGGGAGGCCAAACGGAAACTCACAGTGCAAACACCATCTTCCAGCCTGAGCATCCCCAATCGGACATTTGCCTGGCAAGTGCCAAAACCATATCCCATCTATTACTCAAATCAAATGCCCGCCCTACATGGGACGCGCTGCGGAAGCTGTCCATAGTGCATGCATGCCAGCCCGCCCGTTCAGGTTGATCTGCACGTCGCCTCCTTTCATCTTGCGGCTGACTTTTCACACCCCAGCCTCTCCTCACTGTGTGTGTGTGTGCCTCTTTGCTGTGTGCTCCGCTGCCGCTTGCTACTTACATATTCATCCCGTATCCGCGGCACGCACGCACAGAGCCAGCCACTCCCACTCCACAATGGCAGATCTTCCAGAAGCCAATAATCTCTCTATAGTGCCGCGACGTCGTCGACATTGACCGACGCACCCACCCACCCTGTTATTTCCTGCCAACGTGACTGGCTCCCTCCCCTAACCCTCATTACCCCCCTCCCTTCACCGCCACAGCTAGGAAAAATGGGCAATCAATGTCTGACGCGCAAGAAAACTTTGGCGACAAGATGCAACGGGTGTATCCTGCAGGCCTGTGCATCCATCCACAGAGGCTCTTGTGTTCACACCCCACCCTCTTTTGGCTCAAAGGCTAATACTTGCTTACTTTGACTGATGCCGCCGCCCGCCCCTGCCCATGATATGCATGGACATGTCATTCCCTGGCTACGAGCTGCGAACCACGTATATAGCCCGTGGCAACGACGTACCCTCTTGTCTCGTTCGTAACGGGCGCTCCTCCTCTCCTTTTTTGCTTTTTTTCACTGCACATCACGTATTGCCGCGGAAGCTAGACATGGACGTTTCAGCATTCCCCACACCCTGCATTTCCCTCTTTCCTTCCTTTTGGCCCTCCTCTCCCCACACATAATCACCACCAACACACCAGCCTCGCAATCACGTCTCTAGCACCGCTACACAAACTCGCGCCGTCCCAATCCTTTGGAAAACGTCAATAAAGCCACGGTAGCCACTTGCTTAGGCTGGTGTACGTGCGGCTCCGTCGCAATGGTGCCGCAGGGGCGAGCAAAAGAGCCGCATGCCAAAATGTTGACTTGCACGACGGTGGAGCCGATGCGTCCCTGACTAACGAACGCTACTTACCCACTCTAGCCTTTTGGCTGCTAATGCGTACGTGCGCACCCTAGGCTAGCACTCGATCCCATGAGGCTCGCTACGAAGCCAATAGTGAACTATGGCGTAGCGCTGTGCTTATCCCCCTTTCTTCTTCAACGGAAAAAAACAGGCCACCTGCTACATGTGATTGTATGTACATACACATGTGTGCCCATTTCCAGCCACCTCGAGCCAACATCGCAATGTGATAATGCTTGGTGAATACTCGATATTCTTTTCCTTTTTCTGCAGTAGGCTTGACAAATCAACACCGTAGCATGTAGTTTGTGAAACGCTCACACTACAACGGATTTGTACGGACTCTTACTTTTTTGGTCGTGTTGCTTGTTTGCTCCTTCCGCCATTGACACACCACATCAACCGTAGTCATTCGTGAATACAACGCCTTGTGCAGATGCTCGTTCTATTCCACTTGCTATGCTACATACGAACCACCAACAATAAAGAGGACAAATATGGGGCAAAGTCACAGGAAGAGAAGAACCAGACACATCGTCTTCACCTAGTACAAAGAAGAGGATAGCAATAATCTTCCCTCCTCAAATCTCATGCCTAAATGGCAGCCCCCCCAACTCACTCTTTCCTATCGTCATCTCTCCCCTCAACCTGCACTGCATCCGTTTCAGCAGCTCGCTCTTCCATCCCATTACCCCGTCTGCCTCGTCCATCAACATGCCCCACCACACGCCTCCCACCCATCGAAGTATCATCGCCACGACTCGCTTCCCGAGCGCGTTGTAGCCGACCCTCTTCACGCTGCTTCTGTTTGCGCAACCGCGCCTTCTCCGCACCTTGTTGAACCACCACCTGTCTCTTATCCTCGATAACGATATCTTTTCTCGTGCTTCCAGGCACCACAATCTCTCCTGCCGTTCGAGAACCAAGCTCAATTTTCTTATATCTCACACTCCACTCACACACGCCTTCTGGCGACCCAAACCCATCTATCCGTACATCTAGCGTCGGGAACCCCACCAGTGTCTCCGCCCCAGTCTCGTGGTCCTGTCGGAACACGGCCGGCAGGGTATAGCGCACGTCAGATGGCCGGAGCAAGTCCAAGGCTGCCAAGATGAAGCGATACGGGCGCGCACAGGTTGCATCCAGCATGTCGGCTCGATTCTGCTGGTACGTGGGTAAGTGGTGAGCATCGGTCTTGTTAAAAATCCGAAGAATCATCTTGTCCTTGGGAAGGAGATTGTGGAGCCGGATCCAGTAACGGCTGTCAAAGAGGCGGAATGGCTCGCTCCGAGAGGGGCGCGAGTTTGGAGACGGGGGGTACACGAGATAATTTGCAGCATCTTTCTTCTCGTTTATGTCAAGAGGCTGCCGTGTGAGGAGCCATTCTCGCGGATGCGGCAACGACAGGTCAATACCCTTTTCTTGATGCTCAGGAAACGGAGTAGGCTGGTCCCAGAACCGCCACCATACACTAAAGACACAGTAGTTCTTCTTACGAACGCCTTCCCAGTGACTCACATCATCATCCTCCAACACCTCAAGCTCTGGGTAAATGCGATGTATAGTTGCTGCAAGCTGGCCGAGAGGCGCCTTGGCTCGTGGCGTTACCAGTTCGGCGATTCGTTCCAGGAGCCCATATGCCGTGTTCCTTGCCTCGATCTTGTCGGCAGTCGTCTCAATTGGGCGCGGAAGGAGGTTGGAGAAAGGTGGAAACCGGACAATCAGACAGCCTGTTTGAATGTCGAGTTTGATTAAGCATTTCTCAAAGAGCTCCTTTGCAAGATCTTTGTGTTTTTTTACACGCTCTTGCATATGCAACGAAACGTCAACCAACGACTTGACACTGAGTGCCTCTGGAAGCTTGTGGTTTTTGTAGATATGACGTATAGCATTGCGAGACGTCAACGTCTGTATCTGATTCGTCTTGTCTTCTGCCCAAGCAATGCCCTTCTCTTCGCACGTCGCAATGAGCCGAGTCTTTTCGAAATCAAGAAGTGGGCGTAGAATCTTTATGCCTCCCTGTTCAATGGGAAATGGAATGTTCAGACTAGGACGGGGTTTCAGCGGATTGCCGCTATGGTACACCCCGTAAATACCCTCACATTCGGGTATCCACTCTATGCGCTGCATAGCCTGGAGTCCTGACCGGAGCCTGTTATTTGCCATTCTCATCATGACTGTCTCGGCTTGGTCATCAGCATGATGCGCCACCATCAGGCGGTTAATTTTCATGTCTCTGCATGCTCGACCTAGCGCCTGGTAACGCAGTATGCGTGCTTCCGTCTCAAACCGCTTGTCATCATGGGGATCGAAGTCTGTAGGCCATGTGAGGGGGATTACAGTGGAATCGATACCAACTTGGCTAGGTTAGTACTTGCAGAGTAGAGGAATGATGTGTGCCTACGCTTGGACCGCAATTGCTCTGCTACCCAGCTCGCTTCTTCTGTGCTCTCTGGGCGCACTTTGTGATCTACGATGAAGCCATGGGCTTTTGGTAATTCTGGGTCTTCTTCTTGAAAGTCTTTGTACAGAGTAGCTAATGCCATTGAATCCACGCCACCGCTTATGGCAATGCCTGTATCAGCTGGTCAGCCAGGCATATCGTGAACTACTTCCCACAATACCCACCCAAAGCCTGTCTGTTTGACCAAACATCCTGCGCACTGTGCAAGGAATTCCAGTCCAGAGCCTGCCTGAACTCATCTCTTGTAACTGGCAAGCTCTTCACAGAGCTGTACCGTCGCAACGTCCTCACTCCATAATTGACTGACGCAATAGAGGAACAATTCCTCAATCCGAGGGCATTGCTTCTCCACATATAGGCACCAAGTACCCACGTTCGTCGCAACAGCCGGCAGACAAACAAAATAACGTAGCGTGCAAAGGCACAAGAAAGAATTACTAATTCTGGTAATGCGCGAGATGGATGTGTTCCGCAGCTGATTCCGAGGTAGTACTACTACGGTGTGCACGGACATGGAATTTTCTGGAAAGGCAAAGCACAACATCCTCCAACCTCTACAAACATCCCAACAACCTCAATTCCTCCTTCTCCCCGCTACAAACCCGCCGTCCCAGCTTCCCGTGATACCCAATTTCCACTCACCTTCCTTCTCACCTGCCAAAATGGTAAGTCCCGGCCGCCTATACCACCTGCCCGCACCACCACGACAAGAAAGCGGTTTTTTTTTTGTTTGCTAACAATTGTCCTTGCTTTCTCCACAGTCCACCATCAAGTCTATCCGCAGCATTGCGCCCCTCCTCGACCGCATCCTCGTGCAGCGCATCAAGCCCGAAGCCAAGACCGCAACTGGCATCTTCCTCCCGGAGACAGCCGTCAAGGACCTCAACGAAGCAAAAGTCATTGCCGTCGGCCCCGGCGCCTTTGACAAGGACGGAAAGCGCGTCACCCCCAGCGTGCAACCCGGCGACAAGGTCTTGATCCCACAATTCGGCGGCAGCCCCATCAAGGTTGGCGAGGAGGAATTGAGCCTGTTCAGGGACCATGAGTAAGTTTTTTTTTTTCGCTCCTTTGTACGATGTGGCTGTGGCCATATATCAAGGGAAAGATGAGGGAATGCAAAGCTAACTCGTAACTTTTTTTAGACTGCTGGCCAAGATCAACGAGTAAATGGAGGGAGACTCTTGTGTAGCATAGCGAGTGGCTTCGTATGAATCCCACTTGTATAACTTTTTTGTATCAATACCCCCCCTTCTCTCCCAAACCAGATTTAGACCTTCCTCAGCCACCCGCCCCGCTTTCCGGTTTGGATCCCACGAAAAAAAAAAGAAAGAAAAACTCACACATTGTGACTAGCATGATTGCCGCGGCCCGTCTTAGTCATATATGTATAATTGGGCTTGGGCCAAAAAAAAACCATACATTTTTGGTGTCTGGAAAGCTAATTCTTCAATGCATGTATTTAACAAGATGACGGTTCAAAATGGTTGAATGGGAGACACGAAACGAACGAACGAAATGAAATAAGAAATCTCTGCTCTAATTGCAAACCCAAGAAACGTATGTGTTGCGTAAGAAACGAATTGTGAATATTGAGTTCCGTTGGATAGGCAAAAATTGCAATCAAAAAAGTACGTATTCATCATTACTCATGATATGCATTTGGGTGAGGTGAGTCAAATTCGACCTTCACCCAAATGGAAACTATGTCATAGACACACATACACCAATACCTCCCGCCTGGGCTTGTACTACAACTCCTTGGGTATCGATACAAAGACGCCTACCTACCAAGCCGAATTGGCACCACCACCGCCCCATTGCCTCCCACCACCTCCCGACTGACCCTGATCATACGAATTATACGCCCCGCCATGACCATACCCACCATAACCACCCTGAGGCGGCGGCTGGTGGTGGTGGTGAGGAACCGGCGGCTGGCCCTGATATCCCGACTCAGGCCCATAATTCTCATAGCCCTGTTGATAACTCGTCGGCACCGCATAACTCGGCTCCTGGCCCTGACCTCCCGAGTACTGGCCGTGGGACCATCCGTAGCCGCCTGCTGGAGCTACGTTGCTGTACTCGGCGGGGGGCTGATACGCTTCACCTGCGTACGAGGATTGGTAAGGGTGGAAGTTGGCCCATTGGGGAGAAGGTTGGGGCGAGGGAGGGGGACGGTAGGCGGATCCGGTAGGAGAGGTAGGGCCTTCGGCGCCGAATTCACGTGATTGGCCAGTACTACTGCCGCCTAGGCTGCTGAGCAAGCCGCCGAGGGGACCGGGAACCATGCCACCTATAGAGCCGAAGAGGTTGCCGGAGTTGTCAGATGGTTTGCTCGAACTGCCGCTGCTGTGGCCTTGGAAGCTGGCTATGCCTGCTGCGCCGTGGGAGTGGCCATGGGAGTGATCGTGAGAACCGCTGTGGTTGTGACCTGCTTTTACCGATTCCGAGGAGAGAACGTCGTTCAGGTCCTTGCCGTGGTAGTTGTGCGCCCAGTTCTTGACTACCTCGAACATGTTGTTGTGGACCTCACAGTGAGGGTCCCGAAGAGCAGGGTGGTGGAACACGCGGACTACGTCGTTCAAGACTTGATCGACGGGAACGTCTGGGTGGTCCCATGCGTAGATGACGCGGGGAGCGACGTACTGAAGAATCGCTACGGCGACCTGACCGGCAGGCGGGTTGAGAACGTTTGAGAAATGGTCCTTGGACAGCATGCTGTGCGTGGGGTTGGTCGAGGTGGGATCATTCCAGACTTCAAACTGGTGTTTGGCTGCCGAGTCAATGACGGCCGAGGAACCGCTCTTCAGCTGGCCCGATGCCGTCTTAATGATTGGGAGGATGAAAGGTGCAAGCAGCGACAACACGAAGATAGTGACGCGCTCGGTGATGGTCTCGATCAATTTCTCGAGGCCAGGGATCTTGGAGATGATATTGGAGATACTGCGAACAACATTATCCCTAAAGACCAGGATAGGGTAGATCTTGGGAATGATAGTTGCAGGATCTGTGTTCGTTCCTGGGATGTCTGGTCCTGGCGGTCCACCAACAGAGCCGGGCGGGGCATCAAACTGGTCAGGTCCGGCTCTGGAGGAGCTGTAGTCGCCAAATCCGGAGCGGGAATTCTCTGCAGCTTGTGCGTCTGATGAGGCCTGCAGACTCCTTGCCTGGTTGACAAGGTCGCCAGTGCCTGGGACCATGTTTAGAGCATCAATCAAGCCACCACATGGGTCAGATCCTCCAGGGCCCCCAGATCTCTTGCCATTGGAAGAAACTGCGTCCACAAGGGCAGTGTTGACCTCGTCGATCTCAGTCTGGGTGATGTGATCGTTCGCTTCTCCCAGAACAGAGTGGAAGAAATCAACACCACCAAAAGTGCCTGTGACAAGCGGGTAGGTGTGCTTTCCGTTGAGATTGATGGCGGTTTGTACACCAGTATGGGGGAATACGTTAGTGTATCCAAGTTCCCGCAATACCAGCTCCGTGTAGTTTGTGTGGGCGCCGTAATCTTCCAGGCAGTGTAGTCCCTGGCCAAGACAACGAAGTGCTTCTGCCAGGTCCTCGTCTCGTCCTCGCTGGCCTTCTGAACCGTGCGTGTACAAACGACCAAAATGAATGGCTCGTGCAAATGAATATTTTACGTATCCCGAAGATGTCGCCCAGTTACCGCGCTCATTGGCAATGTAATTTTTCATTCCCGTCTCAGGATCAACCTCAAGCTCAATTTCTGATACCGGGCCACGAAGACGGGGGTCATATTTGCGAGCATCCTCGTTATCAGCATAGTCTTTCTGTGACAGTATTAGAATCAATAAGAACCTGTTTGTGTCTTGTAAGGCTTACGGGATTGTCTGTCTCGTTAGCAAGTATCTTCGTGACAAGGCTGGCTTCGCTTACCGATATGTTCTTCGGGTCTGTAGACGCCTAATCTCTCGGCTGTGACCTCAAATTCTCCGGTCGCATAACCGAATGACATGAAAGACAGAACCCAGACCAGAACACGAATAGTTTCTCCCTAATGGCCGTCAACATGCTGTCATGTATTACAACTATGATTTTTGGGCGCACCTGGACTTTGGCCAATGTGCCAACATCAACAGCCTGAAGGAGTTAGCACGTCCATGTACTTTTTTCGTGGCCTTGCCAGCTTACCTGCGAGTAATCGCGTAACCAGTTACCAAAGTACACACGCTGAGCCAAATGTCAGTATCTGCAGTGGATATGGCATGCGGGGTTGCTCCGACCTTGATCATTTGGCTCTTCCACTTATGTCCCTTCAAGCAAGCGACTGTCGCAAGCATATCCTCGATATCACCATGGCGCCAGTTTTTTCCCTCAATTTTGGAAATAGAAGCGATATTGCCAGCGCCAAAGGCATCGACGCTGGTTGGCAGCAGGACCAGGATCGCAAGGGCGACGAGCAGCAAGTATTTGGATGAGACACCCATTTTTGCTGAAATGACAAAGGGAAAAGGTAGGTGTAAGAGGAAGAAGAACGTGTAGATAAGTCGAGTGATGGTTGGAAAGTGCTGACCACTTATGCGCCACGCCGTCACACGGATAAGGCGGTGCTGGATGACGCCACAAGTCACGACGACCCACCTTGTGATTCCAAAAAGAACAAAAAACTGGCGCGCAGGTTGCTCAACACAGTGTGAATGGATATTATACAAACAATCCCAGTTTCGTGTACCCACATCTGGCGAGGCTTTGCTGCCCGACGCACTGTTGGGTTGATTGCGCCACAACTGCCCCACTTACTGTGCAGATGATGCAGTGAAGGGGGGCCGCGAGCATGAGGGGCAGCTTTTCAGCTGAAGTAACCAGCGCTTACGCCCAGCAACAGTGGCCGACAAGTAATCTTCAGCTGAGTGCAGCTTGCTGGTACTCCAATGTTACCTGTTGTTGGCGACGTTGCTGCCTAGCGAATATGTCGGCGGGAATAACTTCTCTTCCATGCGACGCCGACGTGTCGCATCCTGACTTTCTCTTGTACAGCCAGCATGGAGCATAATCGACAAGAAAGTGAAGTGCCTCAATTGGGACATCAATCTTCAGCACCGCCTACCATAGGAGCTGAAGCCGAGTCAGAACGACGGCCCCCTACGCCTAAATCGTTGCGCCAATTATTCCTGGACTACGACAGATTCTATGATGCTGTCGCACGCGGGGATATCGAGACAGTGAAGGCTATGCTAGACACTGGTGTGGATGTTGAACGCCAAAGAGACGATGGAGCCTCACCACTGGTTATTGCCATTTCCAAGCGCCACGCTGACACTGTACAGCTCCTACTGGAAAGGGGCATCGATGTGGACAGTCCAGTCCTTAGCGGACCTCCAATATTCCACGCAGTCAAGGCATCAGAAGATGCGCCTCGCCTCATTCAACTGCTACTTGACCATGGCGCTGATGTACAGGCTACTACAGGGCCTGCCAACATGACCGCCTTGCATTGGGCGGCTGTTAATGGCATGGTTCATGCTGTTGATTTCCTTATCGACAAGGGATTGGATGTTGACGGGAGATGCAAAAGGGGGAAAACTGCTCTTGTTCTTGCCGCAGAAAACGGACACACGACGGTTGTCAAATTACTTCTTGCAAAGGGTGCAGATCTCCATGCACGCAGTGGGAATGGCGGCACTGCGTTGGTGTGGGCTGCGAGCTGTGGACATGTAGAGACTGCGAGACACTTGATAGAAGAGGGCAGCAGACTTGAAGATCGAGATGAAGACAACCTGAGTAGGTCTAGAAACTGTTCTGAAATACTGCTAGACCTTTCTGACATCACTAGCCGCTCTATCGATTGCCAGCAACTCGGGTCATTTGGAGATGGTAGAGTTGTTGATTGAAAAGGGTGCAGACGTCAACGCGCTGAGCACTGAACCGAGAAAGTCTACCCCGGCTGTGTGGGCAGCAATCTTAGGATACGACAAAGTACTCAAGACATTGATACGACACGGAGCAGATCTTTCCGTTACCTTGAATGACGAGGTGACTCTAATCGATGCCACTCTGCAGAGAGGCCGTCTCAACACTGCGAAGATATTGCTCGAGGCGATCGGTGGGCCAGACTACCCAAAGGACAGTGTAGCGCTCCAAATCGCCACAACAAAATCCGTTGCTGGAATGAGACCTCTGATAAAAACTGTCTCACTAATGTTCCCGCATATCAACACCCATGATGCCCAGCTGGAGAAATGGGACTGGATAGAATGGATGCTCAACCAAGGCGGAGAGCTTGTCAAACCAATGGCAACGCTCAACCTGTTGCAGTTTGCACTATATGACGGAGAACTTGGTATAGTAGTTGAGCTGCTCAGACTGGGTGTTGATCCAAATACGACTGTCTTCGACGGGGATACGCCACTCCATGTTGCAGTATACCGTCACCACAAAGACCTTTTACGTATCCTTCTCGATTCCGGTGCTGATCCGGCTCTGCCCTCAAAGAATGCTGAGACCGAAATGCTCACACCGCTACACCAGGCTGTAGGTCAGTTGTCTGAAGATCCGAAAAAGGACACTTCGATCGTCGATATGATGCTTGCGACAGGCAAGTGTAGGCTCATGGAAGGCGAAGAGGTAGGCTCTACTGTATTCGCCTACGTACTGCACAGATTTGAGCGTCGGGAAAATGGATTGGCCAAGGAACTAGCATTTCGAATGCTGGATTCGATATCGGACGTCAACGGGGACCGTTCCGACGACGGTTGTACGCTCATGCATGCTGCGTTCAATGAGCCTGGGCTGATAGACAAGCTTCTGCAGAAAGGTGCTGATATTAATGCCAAGGACAACTACGGTCAGACACCTTTTCTCATGGCTTGTAGATCGGGGCCAGGGCTACTTCAGTTTCTGGTCTCGCGAGGCGCTGATGCATTTGCTGTCAACACTGATGGCTTTTCAGCACTGCATATCGCTGCTGCCAACGGTCGTGTAGCAACACTCGAGTACCTCCTCAACCTTGACTTTGAAGGAAAAGGCAAACTGGACATTGAAGCCAAAACAAACCGAGGAAATACGCCTCTTATGATAGCAGTGGGAGAAAATCACGAAGAAGCAGCACTGTACCTGCTCGACCGCGGCGCAGCACCCACCGGTCACTGTTCAGACCGCATAAAGGTAACAGCACTACACTTAGCAGCCATCGCCAGCATGCACCGCGTTGCAGACCGAATCCTCGCCGCCCCAGACTCAATCAACGAGATCAACGTCCACGACGCCAAAGGCCGGAGCCCCCTGGCAATCGCATGCAATGCGCCCTCCCCTACCATCGTCCCCGCCCTCCTCTCCCACGGCGGTCACATCAACGACCCCAACCCCCTAACCGGCAACACCCCCCTCCAGCTCGCCCTCCAGCGCCCGCACCACATGGGACCCCGCGACAAACGCCACGGCGACCCAGCCCTCATCCTGCTCCGCCACCCAGACATCGACATCACCCCGCGCGACTCGCACCTCCGCCACCCCCTCCACCTCGCCTCCCTCCACCACAACGTCCCCGCCACCGAGCTCCTCCTCCGCGCCAAAAACGCCTCCCCAAACTGCACAGACAAATACGGTAAAACCCCCTTGTCCTACGCGTCCAACCCCCACATCGCCAGCTTGCTACTCGAACACGGCGCCAATGTCAATCATGCCGAGCCAAACGGGTGGACGCCTGTGCACAGGGCGATCGAGAGGTGCTGGGTTAATGCGTTTGGGGTGCTGGTGAGGAATGGAGCGGATTTGGAGGCCAGGACGGGGGACGATGGGCTGAGTGCAAGAGAGAGGATGGAGAGCATGGGGGGATACGACAGGTGGGTTAGGAGGGAGGATGATTTTTTGATCGAGGACGTGAAGATGGAGGAGAGGAGGGCAAGCGAGTTGGAAGATTAGAGGGATATGGTGGTAGTTTGCTATGTATATATGTATGGTTCTTCTTCGTGTTTCAGAATGAAATAGTGATTCGGGTAGAATGTATTATGAAATTGAAATTCTTGACGATTCTCTGACAAAGTATGTGAGTTGCTATGGAATTGTAGAGCCATATCACATGTGATGGTCTGACATCAGGTTACTGGTGCACTCAGGGAAGAAAAAAAGCTGGCCGCATAGCATGTTTCAATAGCAGACAGAGAGAAAGGTGAATGCAAATCATGGCATTGAAACATTACAAGATAGCCCATTATATTTTTTTGTGTCGGCGTTTTCCCACCCAGAGCTCAGATCTCAGGCTGTGTGTGTGCTACTGGGTCGTATTTACCCTCAGCCTCAGGCCTCAACGTAGGCAAAATATCCTCAATACCCCCAATGGCTCATACTCTATTGGGTTCTTGTCTAGTGACCAGACTTAACCTTCTTGGACTCTTGTTGGAGCTCCTTGATCTGTTCCTGGGTGTCCTTGCCGGTCTCGGATCGGTCTGCCTTAATCTGTGAAGTTCGTCAGCCAATGCTCTAGTATTACCGCTTTGGGTGTATTCCAATGCGTGAATTAACTTGTGGGTGAACATACGGCGCTCTCGCTGTCACTAGCAAGTTGCTCCTCCCAGTTTGCCTTGCCCTCCTTTTGGTTCTTCAGTTGCTCCTGCTTCTTCTTCTCAATCTCTTCAGCACGGTTTTCGCTATCTGTAGGAAGGTCGTTAGCTATGTTTCGCCACACTAGTTGCCATTGGAAGGCAGGGTGCTCTGCATTATTGACAATGGACCGACGAAGATGGTTCAGACGTACGGAGGGCAGACTCCTTGCCCGCGGCGCGGACTGTTGACTGCGAGAAAGCTGCGCGCTGGGCAAAGACAAATGGAGTGCGACGGGTCGCAAAGGCACGGATAGCAGACATGGCTAGTTTGGTTGTTGGGAGCGGAGATGGAGGAGTAATGGTAGTTTGTTGAGGGGTTTCTTCGACGATCTAGTTTGACGTGTCAAGATTCAGTTCTTTGGGTGTTCAATGGAGGTTCTGAGTGGAAAGAAGAATGGATGAGTTTTATACCAAAAAGAAAAGAGTACAGGTGAAGGCTGCAAACTTGGAAACTAGTATGTTCAAGAAGAAAGGATGGCTGCTCGAGGAAACATAGGTTCCTCGGTTAGTGGAGAGCTAGCATTCGAGAAGACGTCATAACGTCATAGCTGCCCGGCCGGCAATCACCATTACGACGATTCGTCCAGCGGGCAGTAACCCCAACAGCAGGACGCTTATTAGTCAGGATGTGTTTTTGCTTTTGCGCTTGTGAAAGCACCAACGGAGGTCTGGATGTGAAGCCTCCGTTGGTGCTTCCGTGGCTGCAGATGCTGCACAAGTGATCCCTCACCCCGCTCGTGAATGTGGCACAAGAACCCACGGTCGGCTGAGCTTCCCCCTTGTGCCTGGATGCGTTGAACGTGGCGCATGCGGTCCATCTCCACGGGGTAGCCGCTGCATGGATGAGCTTCTGGCGATGGTGGGGACGCCAATTTGCATGGCTGAGCTGACTGAGGGGCGCAGCAGTCAGTCTCTCTCTCCATAGTAGAGTAGTAAGGCGGGTCTGAGCTACGTCGTGTCCGCCCACCTCAGTGAGCCACGTAGTAGCCATTCACTTGCTCAAGTTCATCACGATGCACCACCAATTGACACTTTTGTTTTTTTTGATGTGTTAACAAGTTGCGTTTCCATTCCTAGGATTCACTGCCCTCGAAAAAACGAGGCGTGTAATGTATGAGGAGAATAGAGCTCCCGAGGAAGAAATGATACTAGAAAGATCGAAGAAGAGATCGAAACCGCCCAGTCGAGGGCGTCGTATAAATCCTCATACAATGGAAAATAAAGAAAAAAAGGAGAAGAGACCAACGAAAACGACCCTGCGCCAATGACTGCGTAGAATCATCCCAGCGTCGTACAGATGTTAATGCACCCAAGAAACCGATGACCCACAACAACGCTTTGACACCGCCGCTTCGCAAGATCGCGCCAACAATGGTATATACCGACACCGCTTGAAAACCCCAGAGACCAACCGTACATAGGAAATCTACCCCTTTGTAGGGCGCCATGATAATGGCAGCCGGGCGACAGCAGTGTCCGACAGCGACGCTATAGAACACCTACGCCTGTAACCAAAAGGTTTTCAAAGTTTTTGAAAGGTATAAGAATAACCGAGAAATGCGACCCAGAAATAGAAAGAACACCAAAGATGTGCAGACCGCCGTGAATGCGTGAGCGCTTGAAAGCAAGAGACCACTACTCTCTATCCGGAAATCATGTTTGTTTACTATAATTGCAACGCCGTGGCCGGTTCAGTGGTAAGCCCAAGATGTCGAAAAAGATATCGTTGTTTATACAGGGAGAATCGATCATGTCAAGTGGATGAGGCTCCGGGGATATCGAGAAGAGAGCGTGAGTTAAGGATCCAGGTAGCCACTAGCCCGGCAACAGACGAGGAGCTGCAATGCTGACCGAACAGATGAGTTGGTCTCGTGCCAGCAAGACTCTACTCTACCAGCGTCGCGACATGAACTGTTGCTGCATCTGTCGGTTGGGAGAGACGCTTGGTGGGGGGCTGGCAACAGTGCGTGTGGAGGGGTCGACAATGGGGATGGCATTGCGAGTGCGCTGGGCTAGTGGCTGGTGTAGCTTGGTTTGCGAGTTGTTTTGCTGGAAGGCGACGGGAGTGTAGGGGTTCGGGGCCGAGGACAGGACAAACGAAGGCGTGGGCTGCAGCTGGTGCTGCAGAGGAGACTGCTCAGGCGATCCGCTTGAGAGCGAAGAGCGATCTGAGCCCGACGAGTGGATGGACTGCAGCTGTTCATCGAGTGTCAGCGCCTTGTTGGGGCGGATTCGACGACAGGGGATGGGTGGCAAATGTCGTGAGGTAAGCGACTTACATCATCCTCGGTGAGCAGGTGGAAGGGGCAGAACATCTCGTCGTCCTCAATGTCAAACGACCTTGCGGCCTCGAAGTCGCGCTTGTATGCGATGAGGGTGGGGGGCTCGACGTTGAATTCCTTGGGGGTGCGGACTTGGCGGAACTGCTTGTTGTGCTGCTGGGCCGAGATGCGGGGGGCCCGTCGTGAGCGGCCGCTGTGGTGGTTGTGCGAGTGGGCGTTGAGGTGCTGGGGGTGGTGCTGCTGCGCACCGTAGTTGAAGAACTGCGACATGATGGCGATGATGACGGAGGTGATGGGTGCAGTCGGTCTGTTGTTGGGTGAGGGGCTGTAATGTGCGGTCCAGGGAGCTCGACCACAACAAAGTGAGACAAAGGAGGCTTGGCTCGGGTAATGGGGGTCTGCGAGGGTGGGCTGGGTAGGCAGGTGAGAAAGTCGGTCGAGTGTGTGAGTGAGAGAGAGGGAGAGCAGGAGTGGGCAGTATTAACTATGGGGGGGTGCGCTGCGAGGCTGAGAAGATGTGTGTGTGTGTGTGTGAGAGACAAGTGGAGGTGCGAGGGAGCAAGTGCGAGGAGGCAAGAAGAGCGAAAGGGCTGGTGAAGAACGGGCTGGGTCAGACGAGATGGACGGGGGGCCGTGCGGCAAGCTTTTGTGGGCCCGCGCCGTTGATTGGGCGCGACATTTGCCACCACGCGCCCCCTGTGCCTGAAGCGGCCTAGGCTGACATGGCCAGCGAGCGCTATGGGCCGGGCGACCGCTCTGGGGCTGGCGGCGCGGGCATGGTCGTGGCCACGGTCATGGCCATGGCATGCCATGGCCGTGGTGGTGAGGTGAAGCGCCGCCCGGGGCCCAGGACACGGCGCTGCCTGCCTCCCTGTGTGCTGGGGGCGGGCAGCCAGCGAGTGGCCAGCGGGCAGCCAGCAGGCCAGCCTCCACCGTTGCAGCATCGCCCATCTGCCATGATCCCAGCAGCCAGCATCGCGATCGCCTCGAGAGCCGCCGGCTCCAGGTTGCACCATCAGCACGCCCACCGCGCAGGAGAGCAAGCCCCAAGCGGCGCATTATCAAACAAGACTTATGCGACACACTGCGCTAGGACGCCAACGAGGCTGAGCAAGTGACCAGCGCCGCCCGCGCCCTGACCGCTGTTTTCCTCTTCGAGAGCGTCGACTTGCACATCGTCGCCAGGGGAATGCATGTCGGCAGCAGCTAGCAGCCTAGCACGCTGCCAGCCCGACGATGCGCTGGTCGGCAAAAGCATCCCGCAGCCCTTCTCCGTCGTCGACTCCAGGGCGCGTGCACCGCTAACGCACTGGCATGGCGGTTGAGGGGCGCGCTCCAGGGATCCGTGGCCAAGGCACAGTCCCTGCGGGCGCACATCGCTTCGGCGTGCACAGCTGTGTCGTCCAGGTAAGTATGGGTGGGTGTGCTGTGCGAGTCGAGAATGCCAGCGCTGTTTGGTTGTGGGCAGCGCCAACACTGGCACCCCCAGCCGCTCACAGCCATCAAACCCACGCCGTTGCACCCTCGCCCGCCCGAGATTCGAGACACTTACATACTCGGGACGGGGGGCCCGGGCTTGTTCGGAACACTGGCAGGGCGAGAGTGACGTTGGACTCGCAGGCTGCCTGCCCGCGCCCAATCACACCCAGCAAAAAGCGAGACCAAAATAGCGCTCACTGGTTCTGTCCGGCCCGGGCGCGAAGCCTGCCTGTCCAGCGATCGGCGCTCCTCGCGCGCACTCGTCGTTTTCGCGCATTCCGTCACTCGCTCCATCTTCGCATGAGCACTCTCGCCACAACGCTCTCACCACTGCGCCGCTGCAAAAGGATCACCGCAGCGGCGCCTGGGCTGCCCCCCCTCTGCTTTGCGCAAAACATGCCTGTGACAGGCCAAGCCACGCGCATGAACGCTGCCCTACACTCTCGAAACACGCTCATTTGCTGACCTGCCCGCCCTGCTCGACAGGTGCAACTCGACGCGGCCTGGATCAATATGCCTGCGAAAGCCGCCAGCAGCCCGAACCCTGTTCCATGCGCCTGCTTAGCTAACAATATATCGCTACTTACTTTAGGTGCTGACCACCTCGTTCGTTGAATGCAAGCACTCATCACACGGCCTGCGCCTGGCCAAGCACGGGGCAGTAGTTGTGCGAAAGGGCCCCTTTTGCTGCCGTCTGGTGGCGCATGCACACGCTTTTCTCGTCGAGAGACGAATCAGCCAGGCTCGGCCGTTGACGCCATGCTGTATACACAAAGCCACCAGAAACTATCCCGTCTATCAAAATGTTCCATGTTGCGTGTCGCGCGACTCGTGCACACTGTGTTACTCTCCATGCCATGGCCTGCGGAACATCAAACCTCCCCCCACCATCTATCTATCCATCCATCCATCCACTCGCCATGTTTCCGTTCAAGGCATAATCCGCACCTGTCCCAAACACTCGACTTCTAGAACCCGACCGAGCACACCCGTAAATCCCTGCTTTACTTGTCCAGCCCTCTAGCCTTGACAAACTTGGCAATCTGATCTTTGCACGTCTTGTCCGTATACGACTCCCACACTTCATACAGCGAAATCAGCTCTTGCGTGCATTCGACAACAGCTTCAATGTCCACATTGCTCTCAGCAAGCCAGTCCACCAACTTTTGTATCCGCGCCTGCATTCCTTGCCCGCCTCGGGCGTTGCCCAGTGTTTGAAGTGCGTTGTTCATCCCCACTGCATTAACCTGCGAGCCGATCGGTTTCAACACGACTGCTAGGAACATTGCCGTAATGGCAATCACGTGCGGTGCATGCAGGAGAGGCAGGTCGGTGAGATAGTGGTCGTTAATGATTGACCATGCAAGCGCATTCTCTTCCTGTGTCAGTTGGAATTGAGTTTGCAGTTCCGCGAGGCTGCGGTACGGGTGGTGGAGGATCAGCTGCGAGTTCATCTCTGATATCAGCGAGAACTCGCACTCGCCAATTTTAGATATATCGTTGAACGAAGTATCTGGAACACTGTCAGAAAATGTTTTGGTATGCGTTTGGTCATCATGTTACCCCAGCAGTGCCGCGCTTCTGCCAGCACCATCCTGATGTGCTGTGGACATTCCTCCATCTTGCAGGCCAGGTACAAGGCTGTTGCCAGCACAAGCGCCGGGTTCGTCCGCCGTATCTCAACTTTGGTGTAGAAACGCCGTACATAGACCTGTGCAGTAGCCAAGGCCTGCTGCCGGACACCTAGAGGCCTCGCCATCTTCGACAGTTCTGTAACACATCAGCTGTGGTTACAGACGTGCCGCACAAAGACTTACGGTGAGAGAAGTAGATGCTCAGATGTCTCCGGTCCGGAAGGGGATACAGGTTAACGAGATTTCTCTCTGCGTCTTCCATTCGCTTTCGCTCTAGCGCTAGGTCTTGCTTCGTAAACGTCCAGAACTTCCGCTGGGTAGACTCCCAGTAGCTGGATGACATGTTGGATATCTGCTCTGCCAAGTCTTTGCTCGTTATTCAACAATCATATACGAGTTTGGTGGGAGTCACAGTGTACGCCTTGCTCTTTGATTTGTTTAGTATGTGTTACAGGAGGTTGTGAGGAACCGTCCTCCCGGCTGGTGTTTTGTCAAGCCGAAAGTTAGTACGACGTTACAAAGCAGCAAGAGACCAGAATAACAGCACCGGGCAAGCACAGCCGAGTTTTGACTTTTACGCGACTCGTCTAACAATACATGAGATAAGAGCAGTTTGCACGTTAGGGATGGAACGGGACAGAAGCGGTAGTTGTGTATGGATGCAGACCCAATCATGTGTGAGCCAAAGCCGGGGGTTGTCGTGGCTTCCCTCGGCGTCGCGATCTGTCAGACTAACCTCTTTTAGCGAGCCTCTCCAAGCTTTGAGACTGACCTCATACCCCACGTTCGAGTCCTACAAGCTTGTATCTTACCCGCCAGTCATTCTACCTGCAATCTGCCTCGTCCCGGTGTCGAGAGCCGCCCTCCCTCGCGCGTCGCGACCTCAGCCATGATAGACCGAAGATAGCAGGACGACAATGGACACACAAAGCGCAAGCGTTGCCGACGCCAGGGTGGACAAACTATGGTCGACGCTCGACACGCGCAAGCAGGGCCACCTCGACCTTGCCGGTCTCAAAAAGGGCCTGCGAAAGCTGGATCACCGTAAGGGCCGACCTGTCGCACTTTTGTCCCTTCGCTAAGAGGATACTGTAGCCTTAAAAAATGCGGACCAGCTCTTGGATGAGGTGATGAAGGCTGTCGATACGGACGGAAACGGAAGGATCTCATACAACGGTCAGTTGTCTTGACATGAAGCTGCGCAATGCCCGAGCCCCGCTGATCCGCTGATTTACAGAGTTTCGCACATTTGTGCACGAGACCGAAAAAGAACTCCGCCACTTATTCCAAACTATCGACTACAACCATGACGGAAAGTTGTCAAAGGAGGAGCTGCGCTCTGCATTGCGGACTGCTGGTCTCACGGTTCCTAATCGCAGCCTTGACACCTTCTTCTCTGAAGTAGACACAAATAATGACGGGGTCATCAGTTTCGAGGAATGGCGGTACGTAACTGACTTCGCCGCTTCCGGAAGCCTGGCATTTGCACAAGCATGCTGACCGGCTCAAAAGGGACTTTCTTCTTTTCATACCCGTCAGTGAGCCGTCTTTGGGCGCCGTCATGTCCTATTTTTCCGCCACGATGAAAGTCAATCCAGAGGGTGATGTCCTCATAAGCGATGACACAATCCAAGGCTTAGGTACTGCACAGCGTTTTCTTCGTTTTCTATTTGGTTCCCTTTTCCTTGTAGCGCATACACCGCCCTACAAACCCCTTCCACCAGAACATCACGCGCCGCTCGATGTGGAATCACCTTCGAGTCCGGCGCTTGCCTTCCCAGACACCCTCCCGCCACGATCTAATGACGAGAAGACCAAGTCTTCTGTCCAAGAGATACAGGCAGGCATCATAGAGAGCTTAGGAACCATGCTGATTGCTTGTGTTCCCAATCCAGGCTATTTCGTGGCGGGAGGCATCGCAGGCATTGTTTCTCGTACCTCTACTGCTCCCCTCGATCGTTTAAAAGTCTACCTCATAGCGCAGACCAGTGTGGCAGAAGAAGCCGTTGTCGCAGCGAAACATGGCAACATTGTGAAGGCTGCCATGAACGCTTGGAGACCACTTGCGACCGCCACCAAGGAGCTATGGCAGGCTGGCGGCATGCGTAGTCTGTACGCTGGTAGGTGTTCCAGACGGCCTTCAACTGGCTTGGACTGACGATGCATGCCAGGCAATGGCTTGAACGTGGTCAAGGTGATGCCAGAATCAGCTATCAAATTCGGTTCATACGAGGTATATATATATACTTGGACGTAAACACGACGCACTCCTAACTTGCCCAGGCTGCGAAACGCATCTTTGCTAAGATTGAAGGACATAATGATCCTGCGACTATACACTCGTGGTCAAAGTTTGTCGCTGGAGGTCTTGCTGGTAGGTGCCACGACGTCGTGTTGAAGTTGCAGAAGCTAAACAGTTGTAGGAATGGTCTCACAATTCGCCGTCTATCCCATTGATACATTGAAATTGTGGGTAAACCTCAGTTGTTGGGTGCTGTAATAAGCTAACTGTCTCTAGCCGTATGCAATGCGAGACTGTCTCTGGCGGTCTACATGGCAACCGCCTGATCTGGGCCACAGCAAAGAAGATGTGGACCTCTGGCGGCATTGCCGCATATTACCGCGGGCTACCCATGGGCATTTTTGGCATCTTTCCGTATGCGGCACTTGACTTGGGCACATTTGAGTACCTCAAACGCTACGTGGCCCGGCGCAACGCTAAGAGGCTTGGGTGCCATGAGCAAGACGCTGAACCCGGCGGCTTCATGACGGCAGCTATTGGTGGATTCTCTGGCGCGTTTGGAGCCAGTGCCGTTTATCCGCTCAACCTCCTCCGAACACGACTACAGAGCCAAGGCACTGTGCTGCATCCCAGGACGTATACTGGTATCATGGATGTGACGAGGCAGACGATTGCTGGTGAGGGTGTGAGGGGACTGTTCAAGGGCCTCACACCGAACCTGCTCAAGGTTGTTCCTGCTGTTTCAATCACGTACGTTGTATATGACAAGTCGAAAAAGACCATTGGCCTACCATGAGCGGCTGTAGGGAATGGAGGCCTCGAAGTACCCGACGCCGTGAAGTGATGGGTTATTAAAGATCAAGGCTTGACCACATGAATAGGTGAATGGCCACGTAGCCGTACCCTAGAGGCACGCCCAGCAGAAGTCATGTGTGGTGTGTGTTAGTCTAATACACATTTGGAACCCTGGGATCCTACAAGCAGCAAGAGAGGAGGAGAAGGAAAGAGGCAGTCTGTTTTTCATTTGCACATATCAAGACAATGATACCCCGTCCCTTAGCTTGCAAACATGGTATGAGTTGCGGCATCATCAATCACTATTCTTTTCAAATTTCAAAGGGTACAAAGAGTTTTTGGGTATGCTGGTTGCATAAGCCTCTGAAGAGGAATAGGGTAACATGTAGTAAATAAAAAAAACGAAGAAAAAAACGAGTCGGTATTGCTTGTGCATAAGTGGATGTGTTGTTACTACAAGACAATAAAGTGTCTATAGAAAAATACAGTTGTAAAAAATAAATGACTACGAGTAAATGCCTCCACTTGTCCCTCCCAAAAAAAAACGCCATTACCATGCCATTGGCAGACAGAATATCTCTCTCTCTCTCTCTCAGAGGAGAAAGGAACCAGAAAAAAAAAAGAAAGGCGACTATCTCTCTCCCTCTACTTTGTAATGATGATCAGCAAGACAAGAATAATAATGAGCACGACAATCACGGTCATACTCCAATTCTCCTTCGCTTTCCTCGAAAAGCGATCAAGACGACCACGGGCACGATTGAACTGCGCCTGATGCCTATCTACGCCTTCCTCGACATCGTCGAGCAGCATGACGTGGTCGTCTAGCTCCTGGCCAATCTGCATACTAAGCTCGCGCTGGCGGCCGATGCTAGCACCGAGGCGGTCGAGCTGGTCATCCTGGTCGCGCAGGACTTGGCTGTGGTACTCGTGGATCTGCTGGTTGTCGAGGTGGGACTGGTCGGGCGCGGCGTCTGGATCTGACGAGGGGTCGTCGCGGTAAGGGAAGAGGGCGGCGCGGTTGGCGGCATCGTCGTCTTCTGCGTCGGTGAAGCGGACGGATTTGGAGGATCTGCTGCCGGTCGAAGTACTCTTCTTTTGGGCAGCGCTAAAGTCCGAGGCGAGAGATGGATCGTTGGGGGTTGTGAGCGTGGCCGACGAGGATGACGAGGCGCTGGCGGAGTGGTCGAACTGCGCACTGAGTTCGGCTAGCTGGGTGCGTAGGCGGGGCAGTTGCGATGTTATGGATCTGGAGGCGTTAGATGTGTTGGCAAATGGAGGCGCATATGGTATGGATCCAGCCAAAGGGGTATGGGTGGGTGGGTTGCTTACTCGTCTGATGTGTCCTCGACTTGCGACTCGAGGGACTCAATGCCGGACCGCAATTGCTCGAGGGAGCGCGAGATCTGGCCATCCTGGCTGTTGGAGGGGAGGTTGAGGGAGAGGGCGCGTTGGCGCTCGAGCAGAGAGAGTTTGATGTGGTCGGCCAGAAGGAACAGCTGGGGGGGATTGGTAGCCATGTCTGCTGCGGTGGCGGGTGTTGATGATGATGATAGTAGTGGTTGGTTGGATGGCTGGTGGTTGCCGGGTGCACAGGATGCGGCGCTACCGGAACCAGCAAAGGGCGTCAATGCTGGAGGGTGATATAATAATACCACGACCTGAGGCACCCGCGCCAGAGAGCGGAATCAATGCACGGGATGATGGTTGGGCGGGTGGAGACAAGGCTGGTGCTCTGGTCTGCTCTAGGAGCGGACCGCTGACGACAAGGCCGCTCCACCTGCACGTGGCCGGGGGGCTGGAGAGGCCCGATTGGCGGGGGACCAGCACCCAGGTTACCATGTACAACCCATTGCCCGCATGCTTCCTCTAGTTTCAGGACCATGTGCATTCCTGACCGCCATCCATGATATTTGCTTCTGGTGCTGCCCTGCTTGGGAGATAATAAAACCTCGCGCCAGGCCTCATACTTGCTCCAACCCCCACCGCCTCTCCTCCTCTCCAGCCAGTCCTCGCCGCCGCCCCAGCCATGCCTTCGCCCGGTCCCATCCCATTTCCAGCAGACCGGCGGTCGTCGCGCTCGTCCAGCGCCGCCAACGAGCACGATGATAGAATGACGGTCGGTGGCCCTCCTGGCAGTCCTTCGCCTTTGGCTCTTCGTGTGTCAAACTCACCCTCATCCAAGCGCCGACAGAGCCGCATCGTCAAGGTCCCGCCCGAATTCCAGAACCTCGAATACCTCACCGACCCCGACAGCAACCTCGTCTGCCTCATCTGCCACACGCCCTTTGACAAGCCCGTCCAGCTCTCGTGCGAACATTACTTCTGCCGCGAATGCCTCGACCATGCATGGGCGCCCCAGCAACACACCCGCCGAACCTGTCCTACATGTCGCCATGCTGTCGAGACGGACCAGGATATACGCCCGGTGCCCAAGATTGTCGAGACTATGCTTGATGAGCTGGTGGTCAAATGTCCAAACTCAAAGGCTGGCTGCAACTGGCAGGCCCAACGCGTCAACGTGCGCGACCACGTCATGTTGTATTGCGAATACACTCCCGTCATGTGCTCAGCAGTAGACTGTCGCTTGCCAACAACCCAGAAAGACTTTCACAAGGGCTGTCTGCACTACACGGTGAGCTGCGAGGACTGTCATACTTCGCTCATGAAGAGGGATCTCGAGGTAAGTCTGGTCGATAACTATGCGTATGCGGCAGCTACTTACTATTGTCGCACAGGAGCACCAGCGAACTTCCTGCGCAAATCGCATCACATCCTGCACATTGTGCTCGGCTGAAGTGCTTCGTCTAGACCTTAAGCCTCACATCAACAACGACTGCCCCAAACATGTCATCTCCTGCCAGGGAACAATTGTGGGATGCAAGTTCCACGCCGAGCGTGCCCAGGTTATCGCACATGAAGCCGCTTGTCCAATGGCAACAATGGCGCCTCACTTCCGCGAGCAGCAAGCCAGGATCGAGAGAAATGAAGCGCGTATGGAGCCTCTCACGAGGAAGGTTGGCATCCTCGAAGACGGCCTCACCAATATCACAAACTACCTGTACCCTGCCAATGGAAACGACACTTCTTTCCCAGTCACGGACCCCTTGAATGCCAACGACACTGACCCTCAAGCACCGACACCCGACTTCCGACTGCCACCAGCCTCGTTTCCCCCAGTTCCACCTACAACTGATGGCAACGCTGCCCAACCACCATTCGACTCCCAAATTCATCATCTACTCACATTACACGACTCCCTCCGCGAGGAAGTATCTCGCATCGCCAACGCCCTCACCGACCTCGACGGGCGCACAAACATGATGATCATCAACGAGAGCCAGCGCACCAAAGACGAGATGCTGCACGTCAACGCTGCGATCAGCAACATGCGCATGCATCTGCAGTGGGTGGTTAGCGCGACGCTCCAACAACGCTCTAATGCCGCTGGCAACTCCAGAACCCCAGGTACCACAGCCGCAACGGCAAGCGGCAGCAACCCAACACGCGCCACTGGCACTAGGCCCGGCCCTAGTGTCATGTCTCAAGGCCCTTTTCGACGCCTCAGCGATACAAACAGGCAGGATACTAAGTTGTAGTCGTCTGACATGGGGGTTGTTTTCTTTTGTTCTTCGTCTTGTTTCTGGTTGGAGAGCGGTCTACGCTATGGCATGATTTAACGAAAAGTGAGATTCCAGGCGTTTATGTTAAGAGGGGAACACACGAGTAGCAGTGTACTCTTCCCCGTAGGGTTTTGGGCGATTTTTTTTCTTTCTAGGAGTGTTAAGGGACAGGCTTATGATGTGACATGTAGATATACCCCCCCTTTTTTTTTTCCTCTCCCTTCGTCCTATCTAGGTCTACAGCGGAGACGGATATTTTATGAACAGTGGAAGAGAAAAAAAGCACTGTTAGCCATGAATGAAAGAATAATTAAAATATCATACAACATGTAACATCTATTCATCTGCGACCGTCTAAAGCCCGGTTGTCCTGTTCTTTCTGAAGACGTGTCATCTCTGTTCATTTCATACACTCACATCTACATCAAATCCTCTTCGCTAACCTCATCCCCTCGCCGACTAGCAAGATACACCCTCCCCGTCTCATACGCCCCTAGATACAATCCTGCACCCACAAACGTCCACACAGCCCTCAACGCACCACCTCTCCACAAACCCCTAACTCCCTTCTCCGCTACAATCTCTTTCCCAATCCCCCAACTACTCTTCTTCCCGCCTTCACCCCCCTGTATCAAATCCCTCGCAGCACTCTTAATCCCCTCCTTCGCCCCCTTTCCTTCCCCACCCTTCGCCTCCCCGGACCCCTCACCCGCCGAAAGCATAATCCGCGTCTTGACGACATCAATCGGCGTCGTAATGACCGCCGCCACAGCTCCGGCCGTGCCCGCACTAAACGCAGTAATACACCCGCTTTCCACAATCGTACCACGCGTTAGGCCGCGCTCATCGCGGTACTGCTTAATCGCTTCCTTCAAGCGCTCCAGCAGCGGGAACTGCATCGCTGTAAAAGGCAAGTTTCGCCCTGCGAGCGCCGTGTAGCCGCGCCAGAGGGCGAGGGGGTTGGACCGGAATTTTGAGAGGGTTTGGAGAGTTGCGTTTGCTTGGGGGGAAGATGATGATGATGTTGTTGATAATGAGACCATTTGGGCATTTTGCTTTATTACTTCTGCAGGGGTGAGGATGGCGCACGAGACGAGTTCGGCGAGGGAGGAGGCTGAGGCATGGATTAAGGGTGTGGGGAGGACGCCGCCTGGTGAAGAAGAGGTGGTATTTAGACGGGTGAAGAGGGATTTTGTGCGTTCGTAGGTTGTGAAGAATGCTCCTGCTATTTGGTAGAGTTAGATTTAACTGGGGTGTTTTGATGGTTGGAGATTTAAAAGATTCCGAGGAATTTACGGCTTGGGAGGATTATAGAGATAATGCAGCTAGTACAAATGGAATGCGTGTTTCTTACATGAAGGTAATGTGGCTATTATCACGCTTCCAATTCCTTGATACACGCCGCGAAACAAAGCCGGGTTAGGCTTCCCCGTCTGCGGATTCGTATACACTCTTGCATAGTTGGGCGATTGGATGCGTGTTTTCAGCGTGTCGAGCGGGTACACAAGGAGATCCACTGTAAAGGCTGCAATTGCGCCTGCCTAGAGTTTTTGTTTTTGTTAGCTTCTCACCCGTTGCTGTGTACTTTTTCTGCCAATTTAATATCCATCGTTCAACAATCCCTTGTTACATATCGCATATCTACTGCCGGTCTAGATATACATAGAATGGCGCGCATACCAGAAATCCATCACAGCTGTGTCGTCAATCACTTACAATTAAGATGTCCGAATTGGAATTGCCCGACATTTGCAACGATCCAAAGCTTGTTTCTCCCCGTCCCTCAACATATGATGGTACTATTGGTACAGAGCAGGACGTTGCGTGTAATTTTTTAGGAGTTGATCTACAGGGTTCTGGATAAGCATGTACTACGTCATCGGTGATGATCTAGGTGCGCACATAATCATAGTACATCACAAAGACATTTTTTTTTAGTAACAATGCATGTAGCGATGGTACCCAAAAGTTCCTTTCTTTCTCAAGTTTCTCTACTGAGCAACGCATTAGAAGTGTGGATGGTACTATTCCTATGCAGAACAACCTTCCTTACAGATTCTATTCCTACTTGTCATTCCATTACTGCTTTGGAAATTATCTGTCATCAACTGCAAATTATTTTTAAAAAAAACGAATGTAGGCAACAAGTCATTGCAGCAAGGTCTCGATTCCGAGATCAGAATCATGTGCAGGCTTGCGAGCAGTGATATCCAAAATCTCTGTGATCAGATAAAAATAACGCTTTATCGCTGTAACACAACCCGCGCCACGCTGCCCTACAGGCTGATGAACCTGCAAAAAAGAACCTGGGGTATCTGACTGAAGCCAGACGAATGCTGATGAGAGTGGGACTCGAACCCACGCCACTTTCGTGACCAGGAATATGATGTTAAGAAGACCTTAACCTGGCGCCATAACCAACTCGGCCATCTCACCGTAAGGGATTTGATGGAAGATCTCACATGTACAATTTAAATAATGTTGGCGTTAATCCTGGACATCAAAAGGCATAGGCTAATGCATTCTTGGCCGTGGCCATTGCCGCGTTCGCCAAGCTCAATACACTTCCTTCAACCCTATCGTTCTCGATATCGCGCGGGGTTTCGTAAACATGGTTGCATATTCATTAGAAGAGTTGACACAGAGTGAACACGGGATAGATATTAAGTTATCATGAATCCAGTATTTCAAGGTCTTCAGAAAATACGATTGGGAGGCTCTGTTGACTTGTAGACTGGTAAACTACTTTGGCCTTCTTTCACGTTCCCTCAAAATCTTGAAATATGACGGCTGCAAGCTCTTGCGGCGCCTACCCGCACATGAGAGCGAACATCATCCATTCATGGGTGCCGAGGTGGCTACTGGCCACTTCCTGCAGCCATAACTGTAATAGCACGTTCCCAAATGTACCAGGAGCTCTGAGGTAGTACAAATGTAAGTAAAAACATGGGATGTGCAACCCCACCAATTTGATTGACCCTTGCTATCACTGTGTTCATTGTCCTATCTAAGCACGGACCGGGCAGCCACAACTGGGCCGGACTGGTGCTGCGCCTCGCGTGGATCATCAAGCTCAACATCAGACACCACAGCCACCTTACCCTGCATCTAGCCAGCTAGCATGAGCTTCGTGAAGCACACATCCCCGCAGTGAGGTGGGCGCGCGCAAATGCAGCCATCGCTTGCGGTAAAGCGCCATGACGTATTGGCCTATCTCGTCGCCCTCCGTCTTCGCGGCTACTAAACGTACGGACCTGGGGCGCCCGCATGTCTCCAACGATGGCTTAGAGCGCAAGCAATCAGGCGACCAACACGCTGAACCAGACAGTGGTGCAGAGTCTCACCCAAAGGAAAGGAATGTTACGAACAACACAAGCGGAGTAGAAGAGAAGGAAGATGGGGAGCTATCACGACAAGCTGCTCCGAGTCTACCGGTAAAGGATGACATCCACGGAGCCATTGTTGCTATCAGAGTGACTAGGAGTGGTCACTTGTTTGCAACCCTCACAAAAACAACCCTCACAGTCTGGCAGACAAAGGTACCATGTGCTCGCCTCTTTGGTCGGCCTTCACTGATACACCCTACAGCCTACCGTTGTTTTGGCTTCTGTGTTACGCTCCGAACAATCCGTCAAAACATACGGCCCCAACATTGATGTGCTCGTTCGCCCCGATTCCCAGATATTTGTCGTACAAACCACGCTCGGCTTTTTGATTACGTATTCCCTTGCGACAGATCGTTCCTCACGTGTCTACAAAACCCAGTTCACAGACACGCATGGAGGACACGCGAGAAGAAGCAGTGCAATCACTGGCTTCAAGATACAACGGCAGCATGAGGCCAATGCGGGGCCGGGGGAGGGCAATGGCTTGAGAGAGCTCAGCCTGCGTTTCCGCATGGTCATACGGGTCGATGCCGGGATAATACGAGCCCTGGCTCTAGACGAGGAACTGATTGTCGCAACGGAAAAGCCTGCTGCTATACAATGCATTCGGTGGGCGCCAGACAGCACTGGAAATCAAACAAGCACCGAGCTATTATCCAAAATGACGTGGATTGGAAAAAAGACGACACTACGTGATTTAGTTCATGATCGACCTATGAACATATCCTGCTGGATTACGAATGATGGTCAGGCATTTGCTGTTCAAAAAGTCGCCAAAAAGGACAGTGAAGATCCAAGTCTTTTCCGCGGGCATGGCTTCCACATGCCCGAGGTAGATGCGGACAAAGGGATCAAGGCTGCGATCAATGCGCGGTTCTCTCTACTTGCGGTTGGCAGTGCCAGTGGTCAGATATATGTGTATACTGCAAAGGACTACACAGGCAATATTCCTCTTTCGCACAAGTTACGTCCGAATGTCACGTCGCCTGGGCAGTTGACTATCTTGACGTACTCGCCAGATGGGTACTGTCTGTTCGCTGGTTACGAAAATGGCTGGGCAATGTGGAGTGTATACGGTAAGCCCGGTGCTACCAGCTTTACCGCAGACAGGACGCTCTCCGAGACAAACAAAGAAGGGTGGCTTCTCGGCATCAAGGAAGCCTTTTGGATCGGTGGGGGCGCTGAGCTCTTGATGTTGGCTAACAACGATAATCGTCTATATACCATGGAAATGGCTCGAAGTGCGGTCACTGGTTGCTTCTCATCCGCCAATATATCACGGTCCTTGATGCAGACCAGCACCGGCTTCATGATCTATCGTGGATACGACCTTCCAGACCTCACGACTATATCGGCTGATGTCTCTTTGTGGCATCATGTACAGGTTCCTTCGGCCTATCTAGTCGACCAGTGGCCAATCAGAAGTGCAGTCATCTCAAACGATGGGCGATACGTCGCAATCGCAGGCAAAAGAGGACTTGCACATTACAGTGTGAATAGCGGACGTTGGAAAATGTTTGACGATCCGTTTGGCGAGAACGAGTTCACTGTTCGAGGAGGAATGTGCTGGTTTCAGCATGTTCTGATTGCAGCGGTTGAATGCCATGAATCTCACGAGGTACGATAAATGCGGGACGGTATTTAGCGGCCCATACTGACTTGGTCGTACCTAGATTCGAGTGTATTCTCGTGAGGCAGCTCTGGAAAAAAGCCGCATCATGCATGTACAGAAGCTCCCTGCACCAATAGTTCTGATTGCGCCCTCAGGAGAGGATTCGCTTCTGGTCTACACATACGAGAACGTCTTGTACCACTACGTTATCAGTGTCGCAGATGCCAGTGTCAAACTAGTTCAAGTTGGTCAAATTGCACTGCATGGCATTATCCGTGCACCTCCGCGAGTGCGAGCACTCAGCTGGATTTTGCCTGAAGACCAAATGCGTAAGTTCTACCAGAGCATGGTTCTACAGAAACTAATGTGGCTTAGACAGCGGAGACCCGTCCCAAGACGTGTCGGTTGCCACAATATTGTTCCTCGTGGACGGTAAACTTGTGCTACTGCAGCCAACTACAACAGAAGTCGGCGGGCTCAAGTATGAAATGCGCATCATTGCGCAGAACGTAGAGACGTATGCGCTCATGCGCGACCACCCTGCGTTTGCACTAGACAAGCAAGCTGACTCTTTGCCGCCAAGCCCTTCGGTAGGGCTCACAATGGACGGCATGCATGGCCATGATTTGCGCGATTCACTGTGGTTCTTTGATGGCCAAGATATGCGGGTGTGGATTGATATGCAAGACGTCCTGGCTTCTGCGTCTCCTGAGATTGGCAGAGAGTTGCCTACACCTGTGCACATTCCGGTCGACTTCTACCCACTATCTGCATTGATCAACAAAGCCATAGTATTTGGTGTTGAGTCTGAGTTGATCCAGCGCAGAGACACAAACTTTGCCTTCTTGCGCTTCGGAACGAGGGTAAGCTGTTCCGTCTCTCTCTATGGATGCCTTGCTGACATGTGTGGTAGACCCACTTATTCCTTCCCGCACTGCTGCGCTCCCATCTGGCTCAGTTCAATCACCCTGCGGCTCTACATCTCAGCCATCATTACCAGCATCTGCTTTACTTTCCTCATGCTTTGGAAATCTTACTGCACGAAGTGTTGGACGAAGAGGTTGACACCCAGCCGCCACTTGAACAAGCCCTCTTGCCGAGCGTACTATCGTTTTTAAGTTCGTTCCCGCAGTACCTTGATATTGTGGTGCAATGCACGCGCAAAACCGAAGTGCGCTCCTGGCGAACTCTGTTCTCGAATCTGCCACCGCCGGAAGAGCTGTTTGAAGAATCGCTCCAAAAAGGTAATCTCAAGACCGCGGGTGGCTACTTGCTTGTTCTTCATACGTTTGAAGAGCTGCGGTCGACGGGCGACCAGGTGGTGCGCTTACTGCAACGTGCCAAAGATGAAGGTGATTGGGAGCTGTGCAAAGAACTAGCGCGGTTTCTGATGGCTTTGGATGAATCTGGTGCGACGCTCCGTAGCACGCTGGAGCTTGTGGAGCTGAAGAGCCCGTCAGCAGAGTCTGGGTTGGGGCAGCCCCATTTCACCTTTGATTCTACTCGTCTCAATGTGCCGTTGAGAGGGCGGGGCAATGGGCATCGTGCGTTGGGAGGATTAGGCGGATTAGGCGACGATTTTGGGGCGAACAGTGTGAGCATCACGTCGGAAGAGAGCGATGGTGTTAGCCCTGGAGACGTTGGTGCGAGTCCTGGGAAGGGAAACGGACAGCAAGCTCGCAGTGACTATTTTGGTCTTGGACTGAGCAACTGACGCCAGTAGCAACAATCCCAAGAGGCTTGGTAGACAAGTCTATTAATACAACCATGTACCATGTCCTTGTGTTGTATCACGCGTCTAGCAGTGCTAAAGCCCGTGTTGGCAGAGATAGGCGGTCTAGCCCGCTGGAGTAGCTGAGGCTGCAGCCACGGTCCCAAAGCTGTGGTAGAGGTACAAGCATGCCAATGATTTCACAGCTCGCGCTCGTATGGACTCCACCGGGCTGCTTACGGAATTCGGCGCCAGATGAGTCGAAACGAGTGATTGGTAAGTAGGGCGGCCAACACGCCTATAGCAATGTCATTTACACCCAGCTCAAGGCATGGCGCACCCAACCCGCCGGTACGCCGGTAAGCGAACGTTGATGATATGACGATGGCATTGGTGAGTTTGTTGTGTCATTTGAGATTGCATTCGAGCTCGTATCTTGTGTACGTAAAGTCATGGCAGCCATGTGCGCGCGTGTTTGAGCCAAGGAGGCCTTTGTGACGTGAGAGGGCCGGGCCCGTGGCTCATCTGAGAGAGGTGTGTATAGATAAGGGGGGAGGGGACGGCATTGGCGTTCCTTGGGAAATGTCGCGGGGGGGTGTGTCGGAGGCGGTGAGGCCGGTTTGGCGTCTGGAGCGTAACATGGTGCGATTGGCGGCAGGCTTTGCACGTGTGGGACGGCATCCAATGGGGGTGTCGGCCATGTTGCAGGGCGACCGACACTGATGGGCTTCGGCACTGAGGCAGTTCAGGAGGCGGACTGCGCGGGCGCCAGAGCCATGGGCCGGCGGTCAGGCCAGCAATGTGCCTACCACCAAGCGTAGGCCCACGGTTCGTTCGCCCGCGTTGGCACCAGGAACACAGCCACGGCCGCCATCCGCGCCCATGGCCTCTGTATCCCAGCGACACCACGTTGCCACGCGTTGGCCCAGCATGTGCTGCATGCCGCTCAACTGCCTACTGCCTGCTTCGCGGGGCAACACAAGGCCGCCCTTAGACGGCACGTCCTGCGCTTTGCGGAATGCTGGCTCAGCCTGACTGGCAAGGCACACAGACACAGGCACCCGCACGCCTACATATATGTCTTCATCAGGCCCCCATACTCGCTCAGCCCTATCTGATGCTGACCGATCCCTCGACCGCTCCTCCTGCTACTGCTCCAAGATATTTGCTGGTCTGATCGAGGAACCGCCCATTTTTCTACACCATTTCCTTGACCTCTGTGCTGGGCACACCCCCTCCCTTCCCTTTGGAGCATCGAGCTAGTCGATAACAATGACTGCCCCTCCAGCAGAGCCCTTTCTCTTCGCCGCCACACATCACATGCATTTCGCCTATCCCTCACCTGCATCCACTGTCGGCTCTGATACGACCTTGCATTGCAGCCCTATGTCGCCACGTTCGGAGATCAAATGTAAGCGAAGCTCTCTTCGTCTTCACTGATGAGTCGGATGTGCGCGCGTTGAGTGCACTACATAGGCAGCAAGCCTGTCATCACCATGCCGAGGTCTCGTTCAGTGCCTGCACCTGCACCCACACCCGCACCTATGTCTATTGCCAATTCAACGCCACTCACTTGCATGGACATGAACGTTCGACACTGCCGTCCTATCGCCTCTTGTATGGCACCATATACTGACAGCACACGTAGCACTGCGTTCGCGCAAGACGTCGAGCGTTTCGCCGACAGAATCATCATCCAAGGATGGAGACTATTGTTGGATTGTCGCAAATGAGCCTGGCAAGTTCAAATCCAAAGATACTATGCACAAAGTGCGCCAAACAGCCATGACCAGCTTTCTCAAGACTGGAAAAAGCAGAGAGGCTGCAAAGTCGAGGGCGGGTAGCGAGGCTTCCGACGAGCCGCACTCAGGCGAGGAGACTCAAAGTCGCCCAATCGCCCAGCCCAAGAAAAAGAGCAGCGGTGGAAAGAAGCCAGCTTCCCCTGGTGCTTCTTCGAAATTAAAGTCGAAAGACGGCGACCACTCAAGTCCTGATACCAGGATAGCAAAAGTAGAACCACAACAATCTACTGTTGCCCGAACGCCCATAGTTGTTCCTATAAACCCTCAAATCAACTATGCGTTTGACAAACACAACATTCCGCCATTAAGATGGATAGGCGTGAGCCTGGATCCCTTCGGAACCATGTTCCAATCGAGTAACCCACACGTTTCTGTCGAGAAATTGAAGCACCACTGCAGGACGTACTTTGGCACACGAAGCCTCGGCAGAGTGTGGATACCAAAGTGCCTCGACCACCCTCACACTTTTCTTAGTACGCTGTTTATGGCATCTGCACATGACGACGTTATACGGCAGCGCGATGTCGAGAGTCTCGAAACTGCAGCATTGCGCCAAGACGTCGTGGAACTTGTTGTAGACAAAATCCAGGAGTCAACAACAAGGACAGATGATGCTAACATCATCGCGGTCAGTCAGCTCATTCTTGGTGAAGTCATCAGTCGGACAGAGATGAGTCTGGCTTATCATCAGGACGGTATGGAGAAGATGATCAAAGAGCGCGGTGGGCTAAACGAATTGGGTATAAATGGCTATCTGGCATCTGCAGTCTCTTGGGCACACCTGGCGATCGCGGTCTTGCGCGAAACAACACCTAGCGCAATGTATGTCGAGTATTGCGTCAATAATTCGACTAAGAACTACCAGCCTAATGTCGCAGCCCCAGAGTCTCCACTCTACTGTCCCCGCGGGAAATATGTGACAGTCGAGGATTCACGATCAGTCGCGTATCAGCCAAATATACTGAAGCTCCTGAACGACATGCGGACATTGATTGAAGAGTTTCTTGAGGAGTCGAAGGACGCCCAATGGAATTCGAACAAGCTCACAAGCATGACCTACCGCATTACGCAATACCCGGCCTTGGAACAAATGTCTAGGGACAATGTGCGTACACAAGAAGACTGGAAATACGAGGCGATACGAATCACTGCCGTTGTCCAAGCATACGCAATCAACAACCGAATCCAGCTGTCTGATGCCATTACACATGCATGTCCAACGCGAAAAATGTCTACAGTTTACACATCGTCACTAGCCTCGCAATCCAGTGAATCCCTACCTTCGCCTTTTGATGTTTCATACAGTACCCCAGATACGGATTACTCGACGAGTCCATCATTCGGCGGCTCATTCAGCCTTGGCTCTTCTGCACCACAGCCGAGCTTTCCCTTTGTCCACCGATCCTCGGACGCCTCCACCGCTTCACACTACCCTTCATTTTCTTCCCAATCATCTGTCTCAGCAGAGACACTGCGCAATCAACGACGTTTTACTACACTCTCAGAAGTCAAGGATGCACTGGAAAAATCCAACCTCTCCGACTGCTGGGGCGACATGGCCGGCGTGCTCCTCTGGATCGGGCTCGTCATGGGGGCCGCCAGCTACCACGAGAAAGACAAGGTGCTACGACGATACTTTTCCGCGCTCACGATACGAGCGTGCATCATGCTCTGCTTTGAGCATCCAGAGGCTATGCACGCCACCATGCTCAAGATGACGGACGTGGTCGAGGCGTTGCGAAACAAGGACGAGGTGCAGATTGTGGCTAGTAGGAGAGAATCTGAAGCACCGCGCAAACGAACAAAGGCGTAAAAGAGAGAGGGCAGAAGAATCGTCGCCGGTGAGGTTGCAATAAGCTTTTCTCCACAGTGGCGATGTTCTTTTTTTGTTTTGGATGACCGTGCGGGCAAGGCTGTAGGGCTGATATGCGGCCCCAGTACCAAATTTGGAGTTGCAAAAAAATTAAAGTTGGCAGGGAATTCGGTAGCCATGTTTGTTTCCTCTTTCTTTTCTTTTCTTTTTCTTGCCAGCGGTGGCATCCGATTTCTTTTGTCGTTGTATGATATCATTGGGGCCTCCTTCTCGGCTTTTCTTCTTCTTCTTCTTCTTCTTCTTGTTTTAGCAAAGCGTTGGAGTTGGCGCTGAGACCAGGTAGCTGTGGCAAAATGTTCAAGTGATCTCTAACTAGTGGAGACTCTCGTATTCTTTCAAGACATTACTTTGGATGTACACATACATACACACCTTAGTTGTATTGTGAACAATCGTGACTTTGATTCATCAGTGTCATCTATTACAGCCTCTGGGTACACATGCCCGTGTTCCATCTTTCATTAACCACATCCACGCAACTATGCCTCATCCTCCAGAACTATCAAGCCGTTGCTGTGCAGCAACCTCTTTCTTAACCGTGAGTAACATCCTTGACGGTGCCATCCTCATCAACGTGTACGTTCAACCTGTCTGGCTTGAAATCCATAGTCTTCATCGAGTCGGGTCTGAGGACGCGGTGCTGCTCTGGGAGATCGGTCTTTGCAAAGGTCTGGACAATTTTCATGAACTCGTTAGTAGTCGGTTTCAAACATGGTAAATAGAGTATCGCAGTTTTAGGGGAAAAAAAGGGGGGGGAAGAGTGGAAAAAACGAACCACTTCATCATGCTTCTCGCCAATCTTCTTGCCCATGAGCTTGGTCATCCACTCCTCCTTGGAGTTTCCATCCTTGGACTGGATACCGGGGACTACGAGAGGCATTTTGCGTGGACGAGTCGTGTAAGATCTTGTAAAAAGAAGTCGTAGGGAAGCCGTTTGGGCAGGGCCTTTTGAATGTGCAGGAGTTTCGTTGTGAAAGGTGTTGTGTTCTAGTGAGGATAAGAGAAGGGAGGGGGATGGACGACCGAGTACTTATGTATGCAAGTTCGGCTTAGTAGTGGACCCAGACCCTTGCTCGTAGTTAGGCTTGGGGTGAAAGAGAACTTGGCTGTTTGATGGGGCGGCGTGGCGTGGCGTGGTGGTCACCAGGCGGCAGAGATTAGGGCCATGTTTGCGTTGCGTTGCAGGCGGGGGTGACGTCACCCGTGTCTAGCCGCGGTGAGAAGGTGGGGGTGAGTGTAGGGCGGGGTTGCTATTCGACTGGTTCTCGCAACTCTGGTAGCTGGCATGCGCCGGCTTGTTTCTGTTTCATGTGGTCTAGAGGGGATGGGACTGACGTAGTTTTGTGTATGGATAGGCTAGTAGGTGCTTCTGGATCTTTACTCGATCTTTTGGTTGTGTCTCACATGTAACTTGCTAGGCTGGGTTCTGACGTACTTTTTTTGTTCGCTACGCGCGCTGTATTCTAATTAGATAGGGGTAACAATCTTGGGCAACTACAAACTTAGTGGAGCAAAGAGGCTTGTCTTGCAACTGGGATTGTCTACCTTCCCTTATCGTCTGGCTCAGTGATATGGATCAACATCAAAGCATTTCCATAAAGACAAAGTCTTGAGCAATAAACTCGATGCCAACGATAATTAGTACCGCGATATGACACATGATAGATTAACGGATTTGCAAGAAAGTTTTGGATCCCGTTGTGGTTTGACATTGATAAATGAACTCTGGCGATTCAGGGTCCAAAATGTCAAGGTGTCTTGAAGTCTGCACAGGGCACCATGCAATCTAGAGAAATGACACAAGTTTGTTTGCATAGCTACAACTTGACATGGGTAGGCTTGCTGTGCTACCCCAAGTTTAAGTGCATTTGTAGGGCAAGCTTAAAATGACTACAATGGAACTATCGATCGTCTCTTGTCTCCTTAGGTACTGGCAATAGAGATGGATCTTAGATAAAGCTGGCGATTTTAGTCCGTTCACTGCGTTGCTGCCTACTTGGACCCAAGATGAAGATTAATTATTGAGTATGCTGCTCATTTGGTTACCCCTAGATTGTCTGAAAGTGTACACTGAGGTTTCCGCTTGTACGATTAAACCGCGATTCAACCCACTTATATTATAAGCCAGGATAGCTCTGACAATGTGTTGAATCATTCGGCCCACAATCCACATTTAAAGTGTTCATACTGGTTGACGGTTCCGTTTCCGATAAAAGTCTAGAATTGCGCCCAGACCTCAACGCGTGCTCACGCGTCAGGGTCCCACTAAAACTATCGCATTCGCACCTCCACATCTACTTCCAACCAACATACCGACCTCAATCACACACCTCTCCACCCCACCCGAAACTTCTAATTCCCTCTAGCGAGTATTTTGTAGTTCACAATGCCGCCCAAAAAAAGCAACGTATCCGCCGTGTCAACTGAACCCAGTCCCGTAGCACCAAGATCAGCGCCGCGGGATGACAGTCTGGGTGTCGAGGTGCGCTGCATACTGAGTCAGAAGCGGAGCGCAAGGCTGATGACCCGACTATAGGATCTGAATTTGCCCAAATCGATAGTGCAGCGTCTGGCTAAGGGTGTGCTGCCGCCGAATACTCAGATCCAAAAAGATGCGCTACTTGCCATGAGCAAGAGTGCAACCGTGTTCGTCAACTACATTACATCATGGTATGTCTGCCTACTCTCTGCTACTATGCCCAATGTTGCATGTACCAAGCCATCTTGTTATACTGCTGAATTAGCACTAACAATGGGATGTTGATAGCGCTGCCGAAAAAGCCCTTGGCAACGGCAAGAAAACTGTCATGCCCAAGGATGTTTTCGATGCCATGCAAGAACTCGAATTTGCTTTCATGCTGCCCCGTCTTGAAGCCGAAGTTACAAAGTTCACGAGCATACAAGCCGACAAACGGAACACTTATAGGAAAAAGGTCCGCGAGGAGAAGAAGGCATCATCGTCAACCGGAGGTGCAACAGGATCCACGCCTACGAAACCAACGGCGGAAGGAGATGTCGTTATGGAAGAGGCAGATGATGATGGAGAGAGGGCAGCGAAGAGGGCAAGGCGAGAAAGTGGGGATAACGTCGAGGGAGATGTCACCGAAGAAGAGGGGGATGAGGCAGCAGACGTTGAGGACGAGGAGGTCGAGGATGATGAGATTGAAGAGGAGGTCGAAGAAGAGCGCTTGGTAGAGGATCCGCTCGAAGAGAAGGAGAACAGAGAGGACGATGATGACGACGAAGATGGCAACGACAGTGACTGAGGGGCTATGCTTTTTCGTACGGGTGTTGAGATATCACTGCATGGAAAAGGCGTTTTGGTGGAACAGAGTTGAACATTGATGTTTATTCATGAATGGAAGCACAGAGCTATCCAGGTGCGCAATGCACTTGCTCGCACAAAGATGCTTCATATAACTTGTACGTACGGCTCGATACCCGACAACGCGCTTGGACATGTCATACATGGCGTGTTGTTCTAATGCCATAGACATCATGCCTTGCATACGTTGCATAACCACAATCCAGCAATGTCTTCACCTCATTAAGCAGTATGACGCTCCAGTCTCTCCTTTCAGCGCTTCGTCTTTGCAGCCACGCTCGCATCTAAAGGATCACCGTACCGCACTACCTAGATGTCAGCCAACTTTTCTTCTGAAAAATAAAACTACACGAAAAGGGATGTCGCTCACGTTTGATCATATATCCCTTGTCAACAATGTTGTCGAGTGCTCTGTTTTCCTCCTCCCTCGCCCTTGTATTCATCCACTCGTAACCCGGCTGATCCTCTTGCCTGCTCCACTGGTAACCTGTCTCAGGATCTGTATGTGTCCCGCTTGTGCCCAGGGTGTTTGTTGCCGAGGACTGCAGTGTGCCACCAGACAACGGGCGCTTGCCGTTGGAGTTTACACCCAATGTCTCGCGAGTCTGGGACTGGGAGTTTGGCGGCGAGATTTCGTTTACGGCGGCAAGATTTGCGTTATGCGGCGTAGCTGGGTTGTTTGGCAGCGCCTCGTCGGGGAACATTTCATCGTCCGAGGCATTGCGGGGGGAAGAGTGCATGGTGGAGTCTCCATCGCGGTCTGATGGGGGCGTGAGCTCCATACGCGGCCGCTTGGACTCCATACTGGGTGGTGTTGACAGAGTAAAACTTACCAGACATCTTGGCGAGAGTTTTGGGCTTGCAAGCCGATTGTAGCTATAGCGAGGGCGTTTGCGACACAGGGTGAATGCAGGTGCGAGGCAGCAAGCAGTGAAATGACATAGCGCAGCAGCTATCTAATCGCGGGATGTGGTGGCTAGCTCCCGCTGCAGACAAGGGTCGTCGGTGGAACCCTCGAAATATTGGCGGGCTGCGACATCATAAGCCCAGACCGACACACCTCTTCTTCCGAGGTAGCTTCCAACAACAACACCATTTCTTGGATTCCTCTTACTTCTACAACCGGATAAACTCAGAGATAAGATGCCACCGAAGAACGCGCTCGCTGACGCCTGGGATGACGACTGGGAATCTCTCGCCGACGTACATGTGCCCCTCTTCGCTGCTTTCATTCGCTCACGCCTTGTAGAAAGAAGAGGAGAAGCCAGCCGAAGAGCAACCGAAGCCAAAGCTCACAAAGGCACAACTCAAAGCCCAGCATGCTGAATTCAACAAGCAGCTTTGGCAGGCCGCGTATGCCACCCCTCCCACCCCCTTCATTACGTCCCGAGCTGACGACTGTGGATAAGTGAGAACCCGGAGCCCCAATGGTACCCTGAAGTACACCCTGCACCTGCCGTAGCAACCTTCAAACCAAAAGTCACAATGCTCGCTCGCAAGCCCTCTCCTCAGGTTCTTTCCCGGAACATGGCCGGTATGAGCCTCGAAGACGACGACAGCGAAGAAGAGCGTAAAAAGAAGGCCGAAGCAGATTTCGAAGAGCGAAAGGCACGTGCGCAAAGGGAACGAGCAGAAAAAGAGCGCAAGTATGCTGAGGCACGTGAACGTATCTTTGGCTCGCCAGCCGCTTCTGCTACAGAGGACTCGCGCAACAACTCCCCGAACAGGCCCACGAGAGGAAAAGGCCGAGGACGTGGTGGGAGGGACAGCCAACCCAGGTCGAGCAACGAGCAGTCACCTGCACGAGCCGCCGCTCCTGCACGCCAGCTCTTCGACCCAAGCTACACCCCGAAGCCTGGCTCAGTGCATGGTCAAAAGAAGGAGTCTGGTATCAGCCGTCCATCAACACCGGGTACACAAGAGAAACCAGTCCGCCAACCCCAAGGGCCTGCAAGAGGCGGTGGACGGGGCTTTGGACCCAGAGGAGGTTACGGAGGTGTTCAAGCAGGCCCATCAACATGAGCTTGTAACATTTTTGTTGCACTGAAAAGTAACTCCGGGTGTGTTACTGAAGTCTCTCGATACTTTCCATACTGGTTTTCAAACGACGATAGATGGAGCAACTGAGTGAAGTACCATCTTTTTCTGAGCATTCGAGTAAAAGGAGGCGCATCCAAACAATCGCTTAGAAATTAAACGGCCTCCCAAGGAAACCTGGGATCAGTAGAGCGGCATCGACAGAGAACTTACCCTGGTACAGCAAACCCAACATCAAGCACCTGGCTCCCTCGGGTTCGTTGGGTCACCCTTCACATTGTCAGGTGACTTGAATACGCACGAGAAAGGATGCATATTCCATGCATAAACCATCGATAGAGATGCTTCGTATTCAATGATGGTTTGCGCGTCTCACCGCAAACATCCACATACAGAACAGCCCACTCTGGCTCCACGATACGATACCTGGTCGCAATTTTGTCAAACTCTACCTTCATCCAGCTTTTCACTGAGCTTTTGAGAGGTGCTATAGAGAACGGCATTCCTACTGGAAGTAATGATGGTCAGGGGGGGGAGGGCCCCAAAGGCACATACAGGGAGCAAGATAGAGAGGTGACGAAAAGATTGGCGAAAATCCTGAGGCTGGAAGGACATGATTTTGGAAACTCGGAGGTATGGAGTTTTTTTTATGGAAGCAGATATGTTTCCATTGGTAGCACACGAGACTTGGGCCCCGATAAAATGCCCGATACATCAAAGACATAGGTGTGGCATATAGCGGTCTCGACTTCACTACATTAAGAGAATGTTCAACATATCAAAGTACTTCAGACTGCTTATTGAAATTAAGTAAGAACGATTCTAGGCATTTTTACTAGATTTGGTATACAGCTGGAGATTGAAGTCTCGATCCTTGCTCTAACGATATTTGGGGGTACTCGTGCTGCACTTTCAACCGCAGTGAATTCCAATTACAATCACCATTCAAGGTCACGCTAATTTACATGCTCTCTCCCTCATAATCCTCTTCTTCGTGCTCTCGGGCCGGAACGCTCCATACCTGGACCTCGTTCCTTGACGAATCCTACAAGTTGAGTATGCAGTCCATTTCAACACACACATAATCCCTCAATCCGTCTGCATATCCTCTCCAACCTGACATGATTCACTAGAACCTATCGACAACCCCTGCATAGCAAGATTTGCCGCGTACTCGTCGACTATAAGCTTGATGTTGCGGTACTGAGTGCTGCTTGGCCCAAACGTTGCTAGTGCGTTGCGGAGAGATGTTTGGAGCTGTGTCGATATGAGTGATAATCAGATGTAGTAGTGAGAGATGATTGTATTCTGAAATAAGAGTATTGGCGTAGAAACATTTTGTTGGGCCAGTTATCAAACGAATGAATGACCACTTACAGAGAGTAAGAGATCGTCTGGTTGAGATGGCATAGTTGCTCGTGAACTCCAAGTTTTTCTAAGATGGTGCAAGAAGTCGATGTCGTCGTCGTCGGTAAAAAGAGTAGAAAGGGAGACTCGTGACGACGTGAATCTGGTAGCGTATTGAGCGATACCGATTACTAAATCTTGAAGTTCTTTTTGGACTTCACGGCGAATGGCAGACGTGGTTAAGTGTGAGTCTTAGACCCAAGCTCGGAACAGAGCGGGGCATTTCGCTACGTGCTTACCCCACACTTCGTGTGAACGCATGAATTTGATTGATGCTCAAAACCCATCACTAGCCTTTTAATGTTTTGGAGAAGTGCTGTTGGGTAAGCTAGAGGCTCTTCAGATCAAAACTTGAAGATATAGTTTATAAAATTGAGTTATTGTTCATTCAATTCACAAAGGCAAGATGGCCGAGTGGTCTAAGGCGCTGCGTTTAGGTTCGTTCTAAACATCCTCCGCAGTCTTCACGGGCGTGGGTTCGAATCCCACTCTTGTCAACATCTTTTTTACTTTTTTTGTTGAATCTAAACATTCTAGTAACACCATTTTCTTTTTGGGGAGGGAGGGGGAAGGAAGCGTGAATTGCGGGCAGTTGGCCAGGTACTGGTGGCTTGAGCTCACTTCCTTTTTGGAAAATCATCCTATTACAGAAGTGCTGGCTTGCTAGTTTATGTACAGTTATGTTCTCGAATACAATAATCGCTTATTGTGGACTGCAGTGTTTGAGTCCAAACCATGTAATAGCACGTGTCTTTTCTTTGTGCCTGTAAGGGTACAAATATAACAGGTTAAGCAGTACGATAACTATGGTAATAGGGAAAAGAGTTTCTAATCAAGGACCCGAATTATACAGTACTTTAGTAAAATAGCTACCAAAGCATTTATCAAATATAATAGGTGCGGCATGATTCTTGGGTAACTTTTTGTCGAGTTGGATCGTAGGCGATAATATGAGGAGAATGAAGATCACCACGAGAATAGTGCTAATGGAACTCCCTCTATCTGATCTTTTTTCTCTCTCTCTTTACAACGGACGCGCCTAATGTGCCACGTGAGAGTTGATTAGATGTGAGTTGCGGCAACGAAGCCAAAACACCAGACCTACAAGCCAGCAGTGCAAGACGATCAAAACCAGGGACACGACATGTTCGATCAAAGGGATGGAGATGATCTCTTCTGAAAACGAAAAGTGGAAGGACAGGGATCTGACGTTCAGTATGGCTTGAGTGGCCTGCATGAGTGTAGAGTCATCCTGTAGTCAGTATTCTAGCACTTCACCCCATAGCCACAGAAGAAGAAGAAAAAACCCCCTTAGAGTCACACGCCCATCTATCAGAGTCTACACCTGATCTTGCCGCCATGGCGAATGTGCAACATATACAGGACTTGACATGGAACTTACGTGTTGTACTGTGAATCATGAGCATTAAAGCACAAACCTGCTCAGCGTGACTACAGTATGACACACACATCAACCACTCATGTGCCGGCAAAGTCATGCTTGGCTGCAACAGAGTCATAGAACACCAGGCATCACCCATGATCGAACGCAGGAGTCATTGATAAAGAATAGATGTTTATAAGGAGACTATCGCATATACTAGAGCACGAAAACATTCTCACTAACAAACTCGTCGAGAAACCGAAACATCGTCAGCACCACATTACCACTCCCGCCAGGCGGAGTCAATCTAAAACCACATCGGGGAGACTGCACACCGGCGTCCAAAAAGATAAGCACAAGGGCGCGTAAACACAAACAGTGGGTGATACGACCGCGAAGGAAGCCAAAGAAGGAGTCGCGAAGAAGCAACGAGAAAGGAAAAACTTTTGCCGAAAGGCAAGGCTGGTTCTTCACCAGCTCCTAACGACCACTGGGGGACCATATGAGAGAGACGAGGACATTCATTGTCCGCTGTATCCATGAGCCATAGCAATACTCTTCCACTTTTCAACCTCAGCCTGCAGCTCAGAGTTGCGCTGCTCGAGGGTGCTGACATGATCAAACTTGCGCTGACGAGACTCACGAGCAGCAAGCGTGTTGCGTGCTCGCTTCAAAGCGACCTTGTCATTGGGATCTACCGTGATGCTTGGTAGAGGACCCTTTCGCCGACGAGACTTGCTGACGCCATTGATGGCAGGTGAGTTGGTAACAGATGACTTCCTTCGAGTGTAGCTGTCCAAAACGATGGGGGAGCCGGTGCTGGAAGAACCAGATCGCTCCATTGACTGGCTGCTGATGGTGCGCTCCAAAGGCATAGAGATGGCGGGCGCATAGACGTTATCAGGAACCTTGGTCTCCTGCTCGGGGAACAGAGAGAACCAATCACTTGTGTCCGTCATGTTGGGCTCGCCGTTGAACATGGGCGAGCACTCGAAGCTATCGTTGATGAAGGGGGAGTCACCGATATCGGGAGAGGTCAAGTTTGTGAACGCCGTAGATGGGGGCGCAGACCCAAAGGCATCATTGAAGATGTCCTTGGGGGACACGGTGCGCGTAGACCCGGCGGCAACAGAAGGATCGTTGATCGCCGTGAATGCGGACACCGAGTCCAGAGAAAAGCTTCCGTTGTTGAAGTTGGACATCAGGCTTGCGCCCGAGTCAAACGAGTTGTTGCTGTTCAAGTCTGCCGGCATGGTGAGCTCGGAGTCGAGAGCACGTAGAGGATGCACCGTACCTGCCATGTTTGTGGCGTTGTGGAGTTGGGGAGTGTTGTTGCTAGAGCTGGAAAACAGGGGGACTGGGGGACGCTGGCGTAACCGTGGCTGTTGGAATTCTGTAGTGGATGACGGGGCAGAATTTGCGTAGAAGTGCTGGCCGTTGTTAAACGTATGCTGAGGAGCGCTGGGTGCTCGCTGAGGCCGATGAGAGACCGGAGCTGGTTGATCGTAGAGGACAAAGTCCGGCTGACGATGCGCGAATGCGGGTTGACTCGTATTCAATGGTTGCCGAGAGGCGTTGGGAGCTGGTGAGGAAAGCCATGTTGACTGTTGGGAAGCCGTGGTGGACGACGTGAAGTCGAACGGGGAGGAAGACGGCGAACTAAAGCTGCACGAAGCTAGACTTGAGTTCAGAGGTTCCAAAAAGGAAGACTCTGAGGGTGTGGATGGAATGGGGAGAGTGGGTATGGTGGCGGGATCCAAGGTGTCGGCTGTGAGTCGACTGCGAGACGCGGGGGAAGCTAAAAGGCAGCCATTATGATGACTGTCTTGTGTGATGCTTGTAGTTGTGGATGTGGTGAGTAAGAGAGAGCGAAATTCCAGGCAGCGAGGGAAGTGGGGGGTTAAAAGTGTTTGGAAGCGAGCGCGGCTTCACAAAGGCCCGACCTGTGACTCACAAAAGCTGCAGCAGCGCCAGTGCCCCTCAGCCAATAGCCTCGCCCCGCCACACCCTCGTCCATCAGCCCTAGCTCCCAATTAGGCGGCCGGAAGCTGGCCCTTTGCGACACGGCGCACTCGGTGGATGCGTCGCATCTCTTGAACGCCCTCATTTCCATGGACAGCACACCTACACTGCACAGAGCACAAAGTCCCGTGCCTCGTCTTCTGCTGGCCGCGCACAGCGGGCTCCTCGTCGCCATCACCACCACCACCAGCCCAACCCATGGGGGACTTGCCTCGCACCGCACCGAATTTCAGGCATCAGCATTTGTGCGCTTGTACCAGTAGGGCGCGCAGCATGTTACATGGGCCCCATGTCAGCTGCGCGCTGAAGCCACTTGAGATGATTGCCAAAAGGGCAGCCTGACGCGGGCGAGAGGGCTTAGGTGCTGCGCCCTTTTCATCCATTGCATATTGGTGGATGCGCGGTATGCGCTCCCTCAGTTCCATCTCGACTCATTGGCGTCGTCTGTCCAGGCTTCCGCGCGTGCCCAGGCGCAGCTGTGCGCAATTGGAGGACCCGGTGCAGCGGGGAAGCAACTTGTTTCAAGAGCGGTGAAGACAAAGGTGAAACTATGTCTGCTGGCTTGGACATCCAGCTCGTCGGATCAAATGTCCTTACGTATGCACTCGGCCTGCGAATGGAACGTAGGCACGGCACCCGGGCCTCTTATCGATAGCAGACCCCGTATTCAGCCGCTCCAATCCAGCTAAGCGGCTCAGCGGCATCCCTGCCACATGCCCGCTCCCCTTTGCGACTGGTTCTCTCTGCCACCACGGCTGCCCTCGCTTCACGCGCTGTGCTGTCTGGCCCCTCTATCCGTAACCTGCGTCGCCGGCCGACAGCAATCTGGAATATTGAACAGCAAATCCCACTTCACCGCGTGCCCCTGAATCCAAATGCACTGCCCACGTCCTCCACGGCCGCGGATACCCACAAGCAGTTCGACTCCACAACCTAGCTCCGCCAGAGACCTCAAGGCCTCTTGTCCCCGCATGATCATGGTTGATGAGCAGCCCTTTAGTTGCGTCGCCGGACTTGCCTCGCTTTCTTAGTATCCCCTTCCTTCATGGACACATGAGCGCTACACAACGCTCGTCGTGCAGATAGACAGCATGCAATCTACATGCCGTCATTAAGTGGGGCGCATGTCTTCCTGCGCCCGTTGCAGCCATCTGCACGTGAGAGTGCATGGAAGTATTGCGTCTCCACATCATGAAAGCTTACCTTGTTTTGCCTTGGCATGTAGCCGCTAAGACTCAGAACTCCAGTACACGACGGCACTGAGCCAGTCTCCTTTTGGGGAAGCCGTCATTTGTCTCCGAGTAACCCTCCGTGAGGTCGCATCATGCCACCAGGTCAAGGGTCGGTGCGAGCAGCGGAAAAGCTACACGCAGCTTGCGATGAGTGCAGTGAGTACCTCAAGCTAGGCTCCCACATTAGCCTTACGCATCTCAACAACACCCAGGGACACGAAAGCTGAGATGCTCTGGTGACACGCCAAAATGTCTTCGTTGCACAAGAGAACAGATAGGTTGCGTTTACTCGCCTCAGAAACAGATGGGCAGACCCAGGAAGAGGAGGAGAGAAGGCGAGGCAGGCGAATCTGCTACGTTCGTCCAAGGGCGCGATGAAAATACTGCTGTTTTGAATAGTTTTTCTGAGATGCAAAACTGTTCTGATTTTGATGGCTTAATCTCCCCACCGCTCCTCCAAGATACATACTCCTCAAACGAGTCATCAGGACATGAAGCTTTGACACCAGGGCAATTCGACTTCACTTTCCCTGAACAGTTGGGAATATTACCTGGGCCTAACTTCACGTATGTGCCCTATGTCCAAGGACACACCAACACACTAAAGAAGCCCAGGTCTTATTTGGAGCCGGCAATTGACCCATCATTGTGGGAGCTACAACCTGACACGTTGACGAACAACATTAATGACCCCCTATCAGACCAACAGATTGCAAGGCCATGTACCTGCATTACAACAACGTGGATGGTACTTACGGAGCTACAAGCTATCACAACCTTTGACTTTCCCCAAGTAGTCATACCCTTAAGAAATGCCATGTCTGCATTGGCCAACATAATCAACTGTCCACAGTGTCCCAAGGACTCCTTCAGCGCGATACAGAATGTCCAATCCATCGTTTCTCTGATGAAAGCAATAGTCCAACGCTTCAACAGTGTGCTATTAGAAGTCGATCGCGAAGCTGTTCGCCTTGAAGAAGCAGGTCAGAAAAAAGCATATCGGATTGGTGACAATAACCCTGCTTTGTCTCACCTACATACTGGAACCTCAGACTGTCCAATGGGCTTCAATATTGAACTCGAACCCAAGGACTGGCGGCGTCTAGTCAAGACTGCGCTCAAGACAGAAGTATACGGAAAAGGAAGCAATCCACGGCCACTGCTAGACCTAGTGAAGAAGAGCGAAATGAGACAAGAGGAGTGGCACAATGACCGACACTCTTGGGTTGATGAGATGATACAGTTACATGGTGGAAGAAAAGAGTGCCATGTTTCAGAAGGCTGTGAGGCTTTAGGGGCGCAACATATCCGGAGAGCAATTGATAACCTCAAGTGGGACTGATTAGAGACCGCACACGAGTGCAGCTGATGGATGACATGAAACGGTGTTGCTCTTAGCTTTCTTCAAATTTCGTCAACTTCAAAACTCTACCCCTATGACTTGCGTGCTCGTTGTCAAACTTGTGGTGAACGAAGCTAACCGTACTGGCTATTACTCAGGCGTTGGGTCATCTGAGCATACACCAAGCGGTCTTAGTATGGTTTAGAGACAGAGAGGGAGAGAATGAGCAATCCATGTCTTTAGATTAGACTTGATTTAATTATAAACTTCCCAGCTTGTGCACAACGTTCAGACGAGTACTGTACGTCTAAACAAGGGAGGGATCGCACGCCGTTGCCGCGGCTTCGAGCAGGGTGGGGCGAGTCCGGGGTCGCTTAGGGGTCGAGTCGAGTCGACTACTAGCGCGACCGGAGCGGAGAAACAAAGATTCAGAGTGGGATGCACATGCAACTCCCATCCCACTAGGTCGGCGCGCAATTCACTCGTCACCGCGTCCCGACCCGTGTTCGTGTTCGCGCCCGATCGCACTGCCCCAACCCGTTGGTGGTCGCACCCTACAAACAACAATCACCAGCACTCGTCACTCCCCTTTAGGCAACCCCCCGACAGCAAGCGCACCATGGACGACTTCAACAGCGAGACGGACAGCGACTATACAAGCTATTGGCGAGATTGGGTAGGTACATGGACACCTCCTCTACTTTCGGCTCCCGTATTGCTTGTGTAGCATGGTTATATACCGCCAGACATGACTATCCTGTACATGTATGGGTGGCCCAAAAAGGTGCTGCTTGCATGGTATGGCTCATTCGCTTGTCCTTCACTGTAAGGTCACGTCTGATCATACACCAGCAACCCTTGCGCCTTCAAGGGCTACCTTGCAGCATACCAGTGCCTTCACCCTATTGACGACTTCAACAACGACTTTTTCGCGGTGGACTGGGATCCGCTCATGCTCCTTAGGTCTCGCTGGTGGCTGGACTATTGGAGGCACCGTAGAGATGTAGAGGCATACAGATGTGTTCAAACCAGAGCTAACACTTGTTTAGTTCATATCCTCACGAGGAAACGAGTACTTTTGCGAAATTGACGAAGAATATCTTACCGACCGCTTCAACCTCACGGGTCTGAATACCGAGGTCCAATACTACCAATATGCACTGGACCTTGTAACCGACGTCTTCGACTTCGACTGCGACGATGATATGCGGGAACAGATTGAGAAATCGGCGCGGCATTTGTACGGTCTAGTGCACGCGAGGTACATTGTCACGACTAGAGGTCTGGCAAAGATGGTATGTGTCTTGTCTGCGGACACATGCCATGCTCCGGCTCAACACCTATGCTCACGAATTACAATAGCTTGAAAAGTTCAAAAAGTCCGACTTTGGCAAATGCCCGCGCGTAATGTGCGAATCACAACCCCTCCTTCCCATGGGTCAATCGGACGTGCCCAACGCCTCACCTGTAAAGCTGTACTGCGCCCGCTGCGAAGACCTCTACAATCCAAAATCCTCGCGCCATGCCATTATCGATGGCGCATACTTTGGCACCTCGTTCCACAACATCTTGTTCCAAGTCTACCCCGCGATGCTTCCCCCCAAAACACAGCGACGATACGAGCCCCGCGTCTTCGGCTTCAAGGTGCATTCCGCAGCAGCGCTGGCACGGTGGCAATCAGACAAAAAGGAAGAAATGAAGGACAGGCTGAAGGCGCTGAAGATGGAAACTGGATTCGAGGAAGAGGACGAGGAGTTGGAAGACGATGATGACGACGACGACATGGAGCTTCAGGAAGGTGTTCAAGGGGCTGCTGCACAGCTGTGACAAATGGGCCTGTAACGGCCTTCTTTTTCCTTCACACAAGACGGTACAGACCGAACACAGCGATACACGATAGAGCATGGATCTACGAGTTGCTCATCATGGAGAAGGGCTACGAAAAGGGTTTGGAGCATATGCAATGCCCAAGGCTAGCATGGATTCGGCGATAAGGGCGTCATGGCTGGGTTAACAATGGGTATCTGAGATACCAACAACCCGAAACGATCAAAGTAATTCAAATTCTACCGTTTTTCTGAAGCAGAAGAATCCAAGCACATACACACATGAGTACCATGATGGGGGCGATGATTTGGGTTAAGTAACGGACGTGATTTGCTATAGCAGAGAAGGATAATTGAATATCAATATCTCTCTCTTCCATTCTTTCATGATCAAAGCTTGGGACCAGCCCCGTCCAGACCTTTGTATACCTACATACCACCACCCATATCCAAGCGAACGTTGATACAAAGTCGACAAAAGAGCCAAATACGAGTAGAATATATATATATATATATATATATATATTGTAATCCATTAAAGAGAGAGGGAGATAGAGAAGAACCGAAAAAGTACAGTAATAAACTATTAAGACAAAAAAATGTTCGTAGTATCAAGAAAAAGAATGAAGAGAGAAAAAAAAAATCGATCAAACCAATTTAAAAAAACGCCTACGCAATGCATTGTCATCGCATACACTTCCGAAATCCTCCCATCTGGTAATCCAAGTAGGAAAACAGACCAAAAAAAACAATAAAAACGTAACCGACATTTCATGGCATGTACACGTTTCTTTGCAAGAAATTGAAAAAAAAAGTTGGTGGAAAGGCCGAAAAAAAAGTAGGAAGAAGAAGGTGAAGAAGGGAGAAAAGCAAAGCGAATCCCCTTTGGAGAAGAAAAAAGAAAAGACAAAAGCATGCAGAAACAAAAAAAATCCCCTGCTTGACTCCAATTCTCCACATATTTTGCTTCTTTAGAAACCGGCAATCTTCTTGAACCAGCTTCCCCTCTTGACAACCGGCGCTGGTGCCCCGCCCTCTACCGCGGGTCTACCATCCCATGTCCTAACAGGCGGCTCTTCGTATGCAGGTGCATAGCTAGTGCGTCTAGCATTCCTCTTGCGATCACGTTCGTCATCCATGGGCTTCATAGTCTCGTAGTTGCTTGCGCGGCGGCTGTGCTTGTACGTGCGGTCGCGTTCGCGCTCCTTTTCTTCAGCTTTGCGGCGCTCGGCACGCTCCTTGTCGCGCTTGGGTCCGCGGCGGCCTGCGATGCGCAGGCGAATGTCTTCGTCTTGAGATTGCGTTTCTTCATCGTCGTCATCGTCGTTGGCGCCGGGCGCCGGGTCTAGTACCGTCTCGGAGATGGGGGGAGGTAATGGTGGCTCGTTGGATAGAGATTCGACCCATGACGATGTTTTGTCACCGCTCTTGTTGTTCATGTATGGCATGTTTTCTTCTTCGCGTGCCTGACGAGAACCGCGGTGCTTGGAACGGTTGGCGACGCCGTTGCGCTCGTCAAAGTAGTCGGTGATGGGCTCCCCACTAGCTTGTACTGGGTATTCGGAGTGACGCCTGGCAGCACGGCGTTCTTCGTGACGGCGGCGACGTTCTTCGTCCTCGTCTATGTATGTCCGCCGGCGTTCGGCCTTTGGGCGCTCTTCTTCGCGGGTCTTGTCTTTGCGACGTGATGAACGCTTCTCACGATCCCGCTCATCAGTCAGCTTACGGTCACCTCGTGCCTTTCGCCGTTCTTCCTTTTCCGCTATGCGACGCAGTTGTTCCTCTGCTTCCTTGTTGCGACGTTCCAACTCGGCCATTTGCCGAGCCTTCTTCTCTGCAAGCGTCGCACGCTCGTTTTCACGCTCGCGCTCACGGCGCCGCTCAGCCTTAGCCTCTGCTTCTTCGAGTTCGGCACGACGAGATTCTTTCTCTGCGTCACGTTTCGCCCTACGCTCAGCTCGTCTTGCCTCTCGTTCGGCATCGTAATCGGCGCTACCGTTGCCGCCGCCATTAGCACCAGACATCATGACTTCTTCAGGATCCTGGGCGCGCGGATTGCGCAAACTGCGCCGCTCGTGTCGCAGTCGTTTGGCTTCATCATCAGTAACTGCGCCGCGTGTTGTGGATCGCTTGCGATGCCTACGCTCGTCCTCGGTCTCGTAGGCGGTGCGGCGGCGTTCGCGAGGTGCCTCTTCAGGCGCCACTGCCTTCTTGCGCCCGAGTCCAAACATACCCTTGAAGCCTTTCACAGCAGCAGCAGTGCCCGCGACACCAGCAAGTGTATTGATAGCATCTGAGTTGCCTCGCGCGCGACGAGGTCGCTCACGGTCCCGCTCACGGTCCCGTTCACGACGGGGCCGCTCAGCCTCGACTGGTACAGGGTCCGCCTCCATTGGGTCAACAACGATAGGGTCGTCTGCGCTAGGCGATGCACTCATGGGTTCGAGTGGTTGTGCCGAATCGCGCTTAGATTTGCGACGTGGATACTCAGGTCGGGAAGCCGGGGGAGGGGATTCATCATCAACTTCGTTCTCATCGTCCAAAGGATATGGGTCTAGAACAGCAATCAGGCAATTAGCTTTGTGTGCTTGCGTATGCCCAGGCCAGCCAATGAGAGATGTAATGTGATTAGCGGGGAGCGGCTTACCTCGACTTCTGCCCTTGTCTCTGGAATCCCTATTACTGGCTCTGCGGGACGAACCCTTCTCGCCCATAAGCCGAGCTGCCTTGGAAGACATCTTCGCATCAGTATCGGTCTGTGGTGGTGACATCATGGCGGCGTCCTGGTCGACAGAAGGTCGGCGCGACGATGTTTTCATGCCTGAGGTGCGATGTGACTTGGAGCGTGATGGTGGGGGCGGCGCAACGCCAAACATGCCACCGAGGCCTGTAGAAACCCGGGTCGTCTTGGAACGTGACACTGTTGGCCTGGCTGCATGCGCCTTGTCAGATCCTGAGGATCGTGATTTGATATCGTTGTCTCTGGATTCTGATGTTCGCCGATGTGATTTTGTACGTGTCACTTCAGGCCTGGTGGCACCATCCTCACCACCAGATCTTGTCTTGTTCTTTGATTTGGAAGCTCCGAACATACCACCCCAACCACCAGAGGTAGTTCCACTGCGGACTCTGTTGCGCTCCTTCTTTGGAGAATTTGCCTTGGGTTCAGGTAATGGCTCGGGAGGAGGAGTGGGGAGTTTGGCAGGCGCACCATCTTCATCTGCTGAAGCGGCGTCTTCATGGTCGATTATCTCTGGCTCCTCGGGCACCTCTTCAATTTCAGGTTCTGGCTCTGGCTCTGGCTCTGGCTCTGGTTCAGGTTCCAGTTCAGGCTCAGGTTCTGGTTCTGGTTCTGGTTCTGGTTCTGGTTCTGGCGGAGGTGGCGGTGCCTTAGTCCTGCTGCTCTTCTTGGATTTTTTGTGTTTTCTTTCAGAAACCACAACAACAGGTCCAGGCTCAGGCTCAGGCTCAGGCTCGGGTTCAGGTTCCGGTTCTTCTTCAACAATTGGCTCCGGCTCCGGCTCCGGTTCTGGTTCTGGTTCTGGTTCTTCCAGAACTGGTGGCGGTGGAGGAGGTGGAGGAGTTTCGTCTATGGACCACCCTCTCGATTTACTGCCCTTCTTAGACTTCTTAAGCTTCTTGAGCTCCTGCAGGACAAGAGGTACATGTACAGGTTCGGGTTCGGGCTCAGGTTCAGGCTCAGGCTCGGGTTCCTCAGGCTCTGGAGGTGGTGGCGCATCAACAAATTCCATGAAGTCTCCTTCATCGTCAGGGAATGCACCTGGTGCGGGCTCCCTTTCCTCAAGTACTTCGATAGGCTCAGGTTCGGGTTCAGGGATGACCACAGGGGCTTCCTCCATCTTTGACCGTTTGGACTTCTTAAGAAGCTTTCTCTCTTCTTTGGACAGCTTCTTTGGAGGCACCTCAATAACCTCGATTGCTGGAGGTTCAGGCTCAGGTTCAGGCTCAGGCTCCGGCTCTGGTTCTTCAGGTATAGGCTCTGGGACCGGTTCTGGCTCCGGCACAGCATGTCGACTTTTCTTGGACTTTTTCAGCAGCTTTCGTTCTTCCTTGGACAGCTTCTTTGGAGGTGCCTCTTCAACGATCAGAGGCTCGGGTTCCGGCTCAGGTTCCGGTTCTTCCACAATCGGCTCAGGTTCAGGTTCAGGTTCAGGCTCAGGCTCAGGCTCTGGTTCGGGTTCCGGCTCGGGTTTTACAGGCATATCCGTGATAGGATCGATCACGCTTCTGCGAAGGGAGATACCCCAAGCGCTGCCCCAGCCACCTGCTGCTGCCTTTTGTTCCCTTCTTGTAGGCTTCTCAAGCTCAGCCAAAAGTTCGTTCGGGTCAGCATCTTTAACGAGATCAAATAACTCATCGTCGTTTGCAGGCTCTGCGGGTTCTTCAGGGGGCGGCGGCGGAGGTGGTGGAGGTGGTGGAGGAGCTTCCTCGACAACACCTCTCTTCTTTTTCTTCTTCTTTTCCTTGGAAGAAATAACCACGGGCTCGGGTTCAGGAACAGCTTCTTGCTCAGCAGCAAGGCGAGCAGCTTCAGCTTCAGCTTCCTCTGCTTCCAGTCGGGCTTTCTCGGCAGCTTCGGCAGCTTCAGCAGCTTCTCTCGCTTCCTTCTCCAGTCTTTCTTGTTCTTCAAGTGCTGCCTTTTCTCTAGCCTCGCGCTCGCGCCTCTGTTTGGTAGTCTCTTTCTTCTTGGTTAGTCCGAATAGACCCCAACCAGAGTTTTGCTCTGCTTCCTCTCTGGCCCTGGCTGCAGCTTCCTCGGCCTCCCTTTGAGCCTTCTCAGCCGCCTCAGCAGCTTCGCGTTCCAGTCGCGCCTCCTCCTCGGCAGCAGCAACACGCGCGGCTTCTTCAGCCTCAAGACGTTCTTGTTCCTCACGTTCAAGGCGTTCCCTCTCTGCTTGCTCGGCAGCTTCTTTCTCTAGGCGCTCTTGCTCCTCTTTCTTCTCCCGAGCCCTTCGCTCTTTTGTGCTCTCCTTCTTCTTCGAGGATCCCCAGATACTAGCGCCCCACCCAGCAATCTTCGATCCTGTAGATTCCTCCTCTTGCTTCTTCCTTCTCCTCTTCTCCTCTTCCTCTGCCGCTATACGTGCTGCCTCGGCCTCTGCTGCAATTCGAGCTGCCTCGGCCTCCTCTGCCGCAATTCTAGCCGCTTCTGCCTCAGCTTCTTCGGCTGCAATGCGTGCAGCTTCTGCCTCTGCCTCTTCTGCCGCGATACGTGCAGCCTCTGCTTCTTCCTCTTCTGCCGCGATTCGAGCTGCTTCTTCGTCCGCTTCCTCGGCTTCTCGTGCAAGACGTTCTTCCTCCTCTTTCTCAGCCGCCTCCCTCTCTAATCGTTCCTGCTCCTCGCGTTCCTTCTTTTCACGCTTTTCGCGAGCTCGTCTTTCGAGAGTAGTTTCCTTCTTAGGCGGCTTAGTTGAGGCACCCAGAGAGCCCCACATGCTGCTGGACTTGCTTTCCTTGTCCTTCTTGCTCTTCTTCTTCTCTTCCACCGGTGCCTCTTCCACTACAGGTTCTTCGGCAGGCGGTGGATCGTCGAGCGAGATGAGATCCTCAAAGGTATCGGTCGGGGCAACCTCCACGACCTCGCCCTTTTTCTTCTTCTTCTTGGAAGTGGTAGTGGTAAGACCTCCCCAGATATCTTCTTCCTCAGCGGGTGGAGGCGCTTCGATCTCTTTAAGCGGCGGAAGCTCAGGCTCGAACTCTCCCGGGGGTGTTGGCACATTTGGCGGTACAAGGCCCTTTTTACCCTTCTTGGTCTTCTTGCCAATGTTGAATGCAGCGCTTCCCCAGGGATCCTCTTCGTCGGGTTTTTGGACAGGTGTCGTAGTGTCCTCAAGTACCTCGACCGGGACATCCTTCTTGGGGTCTTTCTTCTTTCTCTTACTCCAAGATGGCGCACCCCAGTCATCCTCATTATCCTCGGGTTCCTCGACGTCTTCAGGTTCCTGGATAGGTGGTGCTTCTTCAACTGGCTCAGGTTCTGGAAGTGGTTCTAATTCGACTGATTTGCTGCTCTTCTTCTTCTTCTTTGATCCACCCCATATCGAGCTCAGGCCCCAATCAGAACTTTTCTCTTCTTCTAGTGGCGGAGCTGGCTCGGGTTCTGGGATAGGCTCAGGTTCGGCTGGAGGAGGCTCTTCGATGATGACAGCAGCACCCTTCTTACTTTTCTTGGTCTTTTTGACTACAGGCGCTGCTGAACCCCAATCATCCCAGCCATCGGCAGGCTTCGCGTCTGCAGGTGGAGGTTCCGCAAGTTCGGGCTCAGGAGGCGGAGGTGGAGGCGGCGGGAGCTCTTCCTCTGCTCCTTTCTTGCCCTTCTTCTTCTTCTTTGTGGTCGGTGCTGCTGCAGCCCCCCAATCACCCCAGGACTCTTCATCCTTCTTCTTCTTCTCGGCCTCTGCGGCGGCTGCAGCTTCCTCTTCCATCCTCTTCAACTCGGCCTCTTCCTCTTCTATCCGTCTCTGCTCTGCTTCCTCTTCTTCTTGTTGGCGCTGAAGCTCAGCGGCCTCTTCCTCTTCCTTGAGCCGCTGAGCTGCTTCCTCCTCCTCCTTCAGCTTAGCCTCTTTAGCCTCTTTCTCGAGCTTGATCTTAAGCTTTTTCGCCTGAGACTTGCTGAGGCCGGCATATGGATCAACAGCAGGCACTTCTGGCTTCGGAGGCTCCGGCTCAGGTTCAGCTGGAGCAGGCTCTGGTTCTGGCTCTGGGGGAGGGGGCGGTGGCAGCTCATCCTTTGCTCCCTTCTTACCTTTTTTCTTCTTCACTCCGGCAGCAGCTCCATCCCACCCACCACCCCATGGATCATCCTCCTTGACAGGTTCTGGAGCTGGCTCCTCAGGCACGGTCTCATCGATCAAGATCCCTTTCTTGGTCTTTTTCTTAGACTTCGCGCCTGAGTCAATGCCCCAGCCATCGTCCTCGGCGGGTTTCTCTTCGGCGGGAGGGGAAGCTTTGAGACCACCAAAGTCGAAGTCGAATCCGCTTGAATCCTTTTTCTTCTTCTTGTCCAAGGATCCCCAAGGGCTTTCAGAGTCTGCGCTGGAGTTCTTTCCACTGTCAATAAGTCCGCCCCAGCCAGATGATTTGTTTGATGAGCCCCAACCAGAAGCCCAACTGCTTAGTCCAGGAAGTCCGAATCCAGATTTTGTTGCACTAGTATCACTATTATTCATGTCAATTTTCGGTGCGCTTCCTTCGTCAAGGTTGATGTCGTCGAATGTTGTCGGTGGCCCTGCTGGTGGTTCAGGAGGAGGCGGGGGTGCGGCCTCGGCAGTCTATCGTGAGTTAGCGCCACGCGACATATAATTAAAGGAGCCGGGACAACGCGAACCTTCCCCTTTTTGACCTTCTTCTTCTTGCCGGCGGCAGCACCGAACGAGGCCCAGTCATCCGTGTTCTGGCTCGGGTTCGCCCAGCTTAAGTCAGCTGCCGCTTTTGTCACCGAAATGGTTGTTGCGGTGGCAGCAGCTGCAGCTGCGGCTGCATCCTCCTCCTCCTTCTTCTTGCGCTCGGCCTCCTCTTCGGCCTCCCTTGCCAGACGCTCCTCTTCCTCCTTCAGCAGGCGTTCCTCTTCCTCCTTCTTGAGGCGTTCCTCCTCCTCCTTCTTGAGGCGTTCCTCTTCTTCTTCCTTCTTCAGTCTCTCCTCTTCCTCTCTCTGCTTCTTCGATTTCTTCTTGCCCTTGTCTCCATCACCTCCATCTCCACCGTCTCCACCAGCAGCCCCACCGTCCGCAGGTGGATCACCGCCGTTGTCGCCTCCGGCAGGTTCCTCGTCCTTTTTGCCGTCGTCAACGGGAGCGGCCGCGGGTTTCTTCGCTGTAGTCTTCTTACTCTTCTTTGCATGTGACCTGATGCCAGTATCGCAGTGCCCAAAATCAATATCTATGTGCGGTGATTTCACGTCTAGGCGGAAGGCGGAAGAGCCAGGTAGGCGCTTCTTGCTTGTGCGCGGACGTGCGGAAGCGGTGAGGCATAGTAAAGCGTCGAGGGAAGAGAAGGGGGAGTATTCAGGTATTTGCGCAATGGCCAGCGCATCGGTAGAGGTGTAGTCTGGAGGTAGGTCTGCAACAGATTCGTTGTACGAAGGTGGTGGGGGTTGAGAGATCGGCGGTAGTTGGTTCCATGGTTCTGGCGCGGACGCAGGAGCGGAGGATAGAAGGTCAGACAACAGGGTCGCAAGGTCGGGCCACTAAAATAAAAGTTAGAGAATGAGGCGCAATGGAGCGAGGAACGTGAGGATTCGGTCAGCAAGGTTGGAGGAGGTTGTGATATGGTAGTGATTTGGGACCAAAAACATGTGGATAAAAGGACCAAACAAAGCAATTTCGCCATACCGAGAGATCGCTGCGTCTTGATTTTCTATCGCCAGAGTCGCGGGTGTGCCGTCTATCGAGCGCAAACTCCAAATCGTCTATCAATTCGCCCATGCGACGGTCATTTCCAGACTGGCATGATGTCATGTCCCCAGCGCTGTAGGTGCTTGTGGGCCAAGCATTTTCTACTTCCAAGATTTCGCTCTTCCCGCCCCAAAAATGTTCAGCCGATCCAATCCTCGAAAGCGGCAGGGTCTTTTGTTTTGCGGGTGGCGCGACGGCGACGGCGCGACGAGAGCTGATAGGAGACATTATGCGAGTATGAGAGGCGCAAGTGGGAGGAGCACGGCGGAGGTAAGCACATGAGAGCTTGTGCGAGACCGCAAGAGGCGAGCGGCAGGAGGGCGAGGGCGAGAGCGGCGAGTGTTGCTGTGGAGGAAGCGGAGACAGGCAGGATGCAGCGTGACTCTGCTGGTGATTATGCTGCTGCAGGGGCTCGCTGCGCCCAGCTTCAGTAGTGCTAATAGTGGTATTTGGAAATAGTATGTAGTAGTCGCAAGTAGGGAACAGTGGTAGCCACGGCAATCCCGCCCTAAGCCTGGATGTAAACACAGGCCGGGCCTCAACAAGGCGAAGATGGCTATGCAGACCGGCGCAGAGCACAGGCGGCGAGCACAAACAGACCAAACGGTACGCGACGGGCGGGCAGAGATGTAGCGCGGCAGAGGCAAAAAAGCAGGGGAACAGGCGTCGCCAGTGGTCACAAGGACTGTGTGGTGGGTGGTGTAGGATGTGTTTCCGCAAACGCCAATCGCTATCGGCGTCGAATGGCCTCCCCTCGGCTGGGCGCACCAAGCCTGTTGGAGGTTGCGGAGCGTTTCATCCACCTCGTCACACACACACACGCGCGCGCCCGGGCCAGCAGGCGGAAAAATCCAAAAATGAGGGGTCGGATCTGTGTGCGTGTGGGTGCGTGCGAGTGTTTGTATGTAGTATGTGTGTATAAGAGGGGCCCGGGGGGGATTGAGGGGGCCAGGCAGTATCACGAGAAAAGTGAGTGGGTTAGTTTGGGCGGATGCAGGGAAAGAGTGATGCGCGCGATGCGATGCGCGATGCGGGCGGCAGAGGCCAAGTTATTCGGCTGGTGAAGGGAAAGCGGCCATGGGGGAGCAAGACTCTGCGTGCGCGTGTGCGTATGCGTGCGTGTGTTTGGAGTGAGCAGTGTCGAGCACGACTCGCCGCCATGCTGGCCGTGTGGGCCAATTGCGGAGGGCGATGTGGGTATTGGGTGATGCTGGCAAGCTTCCGTCCCCTCTGTTGCGCTACACCGCCAGTCCGCTGAACACAGTCTAGCACACCCGCCCCCCATCCAACCACCCCGCCAGCATCCTTCGCCGACCGCGGCAGAAGCTGCACGCCTGCCACACGTGCATGCCGCGCGCCCGTCTGGCTGCCATGGCTGGCCCCGTGTTACCGCCACTCTACACCAGCTGTACCATGTACGTCGACAACGCACTGCCGGCTCGACGCTGCACATGTAGAGCAATGTCCTCCCGTCCCTCGCTCCGTCGGCCCAGCAGGGCGACTTCTTGGCTCCGTTTGGTGGGGCGGCTACTGCACCCTACACGGCCGCCTGCCTTCGTCACCAGCTCCACACCATCGTTCCTCAGCCTTCTGATCCCTTCTGCTCGCGGCCTAGCCGGCAATCACGGTCAAGCCCAATGCGCTGGGGGAACAGTAGAGCATTTTTAGATTGGTTTGGTAGCCCTACGTGCATGCATGACAGCCGTGTGTCAGCCTTCTAGAGCTACCTCTTACGAGCTACCAGCTTTCCAGCTTACTCGCAGCCACAAACGCAGAACAAGAAGAAAAAATATATCCATGTCCACCTACACCGGAGCTCGTGACCCCGCGCCCGCCTCGGGGTATCAATACACAAAGGAAAGAAACCATCTAGAGTCGTGACCCCTCCAAGGAGATGCAAGCAAGTCTGCTAAAGGGTGTCTTGAAAGGAGAAGAAGATGATGAAAAGAAGAAGAAGAATACTAGCGACAAAGAGAAGAGCGAAAAGAAGAAAGAAAAAAAATAAAAAGACCAAGGACAAGAGTATCTGCAACGCTAAAAGCAAGACATGCGACGACCACAAAAAAATGTCGACGAGATTATACGTGATATCCAGAGGGGCTCGTGGGGGGATGGGGGGACAGGGTCCGGCCTTACGCTAATAAGTCGCAGCATCCAAGTTAGACATTACCATGTAGTTTGGAAACACAAAAAGAGATTCAAGTGAGTGAACGCGCCTGCTCTCAACAAGCTTGGCCGTCTTCCAGGTCCTCGCCCATGAGAATCTTGCGCGCTTCGTCAAGTCTTCGTCGCCATGCCTTGCGCTCGTACGCCTCGCCGTACGTGCTCTGCAGCTGTGAGCATACGTGTTGGATGCCTGCAGCAACGCCGTACACCAGCTGCGTCTCTTCGTCGCTGAGCGCAATCCGTGGCTCGTCTCTTGAATTTTCCGTCAAGACGGAGAAGAGCTTGGATGTTTGCAGGCCGCTGGCAAACTCGGCTGGTGAAGGCGAGCCGCGGGACAGCGACGACTGAGGAGGCGAGATGCCGCTACTGCGCATGTTGATTGCCGAGTCGGACCGGAGCGACAAGTAGCTGTTGCGACCAATACGCTGAGAGAGCAACCGCGATTGACCAGACATGATCTGCTGCGAAAACTGATCCATCTGCCCGTTCGCGTCCTCATCCTCGTCGTCTTGCTCTTCGGCTGCAGTGGCAAATGTGGCCACCGTCGATACAGAGTCCGCACTTTGATTCCGTTGGTGAAATGATACTCGCTTTTCAGCTTTGCTCTGGTCCTCGCCAGTCTGAACAGCCGTCACCGGTCGCGTCGTGGCTACCGAGGTACCCGAACTTGTGCTGGACCGACGGTCTCCCAGACTGTACGTTCCCATGGCACTGTGCAAGAAAAAAGTCTCGTAGTCAAATGCATCCACTCGGTCCTCGTGTCGCTCCGTCGTAGGCATCTCATACACTGCATCCTCGTATACGCTCTCTGGGTCAGCCTCTCCGTCCTCGCCATAGACTGAGACAAAGTCACTATCATCCGCCTCGGACGGTTCGTATGCCTCAGATTCTTCGGAATCGACCTCTGGCTCTTCGTACGAGCGGCCAGAGTATACATTCCCTCTGGTAGTCGCCGGTTGGTCTTTGTACTGTGTCACCAGCTTCTCTCCATGCAATTGCGACGTTGTGGTGGTAGCAGTCAATGGCCGGTCCTGAACCTCGGGGTAGAGCCCAGTCAGAGTGTGTGGCGAAGTCGTGATGCCCAGCCCAGTAGTTCCAGTAACGGGGCTCTCAGGCCGATATGTGTTTGACGATGGATACCATGTGTCGGCCGAGGTAAAGGGGCTAGGTGCACGTAGACTCTGTATACTGCGCCGCCGGAGATGATCTTCTTGTGCCTTCAGCTTCAGACTCGAGATTCTACCCCTGAGATCATTCATCTGGTCACGAAGACCACTAGCTGCCGATGTAGATCGATGTATCCTGGCCCCATCTTCGTCTTCGCGTAGAGTTTCTAGCACAGGCGGAGATTTGGAACTTCTCGAGGCAGACCGTACAGCTTGTTCGCGTTCGGAGGTGTTCCAGGTATTGCGTGCGTCGCGAAGTTGATCTACGCTTCGGGATTCTTTGATGGGAAAACGCCCCTGACCATAGCTTTCTGGCGCCCATGGACCGCTGGTATGACCAAATGCACTCGAGGCTCGTTTGATTGACGAGGCTCTCGACACGTACGAGGGAGTAAAGGGAAGCGGCACGGATGTTTCACTCAGGTTGCGCGAGTGGCCAGAGCTGCCATTGGGGGTGAGTAACGACTGTCGGTAGGAAGAGAGGCGCGGAGGGATCGGTCCCATGCCGGCATAAAGTCTTCGGTCACGCTCGCGGCTGGCTGCCATGTGGTGTGAAAGGTCAGAGGACAGTCCGCCTTTGGGGCTAAAGGTGGGTGAGGTGACCAATGACTCTCGTGCTCCCCGGAGGTTTCCCTCCATGACCTGTTATGATAAGCATTGGCTCACTTGGGATGCAAAACTGCATAGGTTGGGGACAAGGCGTACATTCAACCTCTTTTTGGCATTAGCCAGGATGATCTCTGCCCTTCTGCTGAGCGCTGCTGACGAATAGGGATCGTCTTCGTCGTCACTGATATTGGCTGTCATGGCGTCGCCAGTGTCGGCGTCAGTCTTTGGGCGGTGTCGTCGTTCCTGCTCTTCGAGATCTACGCCGCTGTCGTCGAAGTTGTCGTGGCTGTCGAAGCCGGGCCAGTGATCGAGATCCTCGGTGAAGATTGAGCTGGACGAGGGGCTGGCTTTGCGCTGGTCGTGGCCGCGCCAACTGCCGGGCGAGTGGCTGCTGGGAGCAGTGTGGATGGTAGGCGACGAGGCCAGAATGAGATCACGGGTAGTCATGCTCCTGGAGGAGGCGACTGAGTCGGCTGCGTTGCGAAGCGTCGAGCGCGAGGACTGTGCGGAAAGCGAGGACTGTGCAGATAGTGACGGGAAACTTATTTGTTGTGAGGCGCGGCGCCGGCTGTGGAGTCCTGAACTTAATCGGCGAGGACTCGAGTCGGCGTGCCGGTACAGGTCGGATGGCGAGGGCGGACGCTCAATCAAGGGAATTGGCGAGGTCGCGCGCTCGTAGTCGGCCTCGAGGGCGGGCAGGATCATGCCCGCATCGCTGAGCGTCGGGGAGCGCTGTCCCCTGGGGGGAGCAGGACGGGAGGCTGCAGTGACGGCCATGAGTGGGTGCAGGGGGGGCGGACGGGCTGTTACCTTGGCTTGGCTGCAGTGCTGCTGAACATGTTCGTCGAACAGACGGGGAGAGAGGGGGGGCAACGTTTTTTTTCCTTGAGCGCGAGACAAGACGCGAATCAAAGGCAGTGGTTGAGCAGGTGGGACAGGACTCGAGAAGCGGAAGATGCTGGGCGCCTGGGCTTGATTTTCATAATGTCAGCGTGATTAGGGCTGTGGACGGTTTGCGGCATGGGCCAGTCTATGCCTGGAGACATGTTTAGGGGCAGCTTGCTAGGGGTTAGCAGTGGGTAGATTCCCCGGCCAAATTGCACGGTTGCGTCTCCCCTCAGCCGGCGAGGGTGAAAGGGAGTGCTTCGTGTGATTCGTCGGGGGCAGGGCCAAGCTCGCAGGGGCACGTGCAATCTGCAAGGCACCCTCTCCCCATTGGCGCCACCCATGCTGCTCATTTTGCGGCCTGTGGGTGGGTGCATTGCTGCCGCCCAACGCCTCCCACCATCCATCCACCCATCCATCCATCCATGGCCTCGCCTCGCCTCGCCTTGCACAGCGACAAGCCCACCCGTCCATCCCTCCAGCAGGCCCTCCAGCAATGCGCGACTACACACGACACGACAATTGCCGGGCGCGCACGCGGACCGCCTCCCTTTCGGGCCGGAGCTCCACCATCAACGCCTCTCGCTACTCTCGCGCACGTGACCCATCGCTCCCTGCTACTCGCTGCCACATACCCACATGTACAACACACTTTCATACGTGCGTACACATGAGCATGTCTGTATGCACACATCCTCCCCCATGTCCGGCTAATGCAGGTACCCCGCCAGACGTGCAGCAGAAACAAATCTCCTCAAACACTTGCATTGCTATACAAACCCGTTGTCGTCGTCGTCGTCATCGTTCCAGCCCAATGCATCGTAGATTGATGGCTCGCTCGCACCATCACGTCCCCGCACTAGGAAGGGGACTGGCCCGCCCTCACTGGCCGTCCTGGAAACAGACTTTGAAGGCGTTGCCGTAGCTTCTAGCGGCGCGGCCTTGGTCTCTTCCGACGGTGACATCCCTACTACACCTTTGGCTGGCGTCTCGAAAATATGCAACGCCCCCTCATCCCCTCCGCCCTGCGCATACGCTTCCGCCGCTTTTACCGGCGTCGCGAAAATCCTCCTGCGTACCGCATCCGACGAAAAGGTCTTGCCTGCTGGCGCCTTGCTTGGTGTCTCGGCAATGCTCGATTGCCCAAGGCTTGGAGCCGTTGCATGGCCCTGGTCCCTTGCGGCTACCATCCCAGGCCGTGGTCGCACGCCTGACGAGGGTACACAGAAGCCGCTCGAATGAGGCGCCTCCTCCCCGGGTGATCGAACAAACGGGTCGTAGTGCTGTTGCACAGGCGTCTGCTCAACCATATTCTTCGTCCTGCGACTAACTCGTGGCGTTGCCGTTACCTGGACATCCTTGATCGTCTTCCTGACCGTTACCGTTGGTTTCCTGGATTTGCTTGCCTGTCCAACACCACGTTGCTCCTTCTCGGCAATGTAGCCGCCAGCAGCTAGTCCCCGATTCGGCCTCTTTAGTGCTAGGATAGCCTCTTGTAGGTCTTCCTCGACTCGCTGCTTCTGCTTCATCTTGGCTGATGCAGCTGCCGACGGCTCAGCCAGATCAATCTGACGCCCCTGCAAGTGTCGAATCTGCGACATGGATTGCCTTGCTCCCTTCGACGGACTGCGACGAAAAGGAATTGCAGACAGAGGCGTCTCACTTGCTTCTCTTTTTACGCCTTCGATCAATACCGAATCCGTAGCTGATCGACCCAAAGATGGCGTTGTCCGCTCGGCAATCTTCCCTGTATTGTCTGTAGCCACACGTGCCAGAGAGCGCCGCGATTTCTTTGCATCCGGTTCTTTGGGGTCTCTTGATCTGCGTGAGCTGAGGGGTGGCTTATTTGCCTTTCGCTTGGCTGGCAGGCTGTGCGCTGGCCCACCGAGCTTCCTGTTAACCATTAACGCCTGCTCGGGAAGTCGATTAATGTAAAAAGGTATGATGACTTCAACACAGAAGCTATGAAGGCGATCACTAGATCCATTGCGGCCAGTGCCATCCACGTCTTCATTTTGCTGCGATGGCTTAGCGTCAAAGTCCAAAATTCCCAGTTCTTCGGTAGCGTGCCATATGCAAAGCTTATCCAGTGCCAAGTCGAGTTGTACGTTGATGTCGTCTAGTTTTTTCTTGCGCTTCCTCGGTGCAGATTGCTCGCTTTGGTCCTGGGTCTCTTCTTTTGTGAGCTGCTGGCCACCAGCTTTGCTTGTCGACATTGCTTCGAGTGCGATAATCTCAAGCATGAGTATCAGTTGCGCTAGCGTCTCGCGAACTCGTAGATCGCCAATCCGCCTCTTGATACGCTGGTCCATAGTCTCTGTAGCCATTGCATCACCAGTGGGTAATTCCGACTGCCACCATCTCTTGACTAGAATCTCTTCTTGTGCATAGACACCATCTCGACCGAGCTTTGCCTTTTTCTTTGACTTCTTCGCTTTACTGGCTCCTGCCATGGTCTCATCATCCGAATAGCTCCCTGGCGCCATGGCCTTGATGAACGACGGCAGCTTTTCGTAATACTTCTTCTCACTAGCTTTGGGACTCAGTAGCATGGCTCGTAGGGATGTGACAAGATCATGGGTAGGGGGTGCGCCTTCTTCAGCCAAGGTGAAGGCATTTCGAATTCGAGTCAGCGGTCCTTTGGTAAAGTATGCAAGAGATGTTTTGGACATGTAAACCGCATCCAGATATTGCTGTACCAGTAGATCAAGTTGTTCTTGTGGTGACAGTGGTGCTGGTAGTGGCTCAAGCAGGGACTCAGTTGGTACACTATCCAGGCTGTCCATATCCTGCGGTGCTGGAATACCTTGTGATTGCTGGGCGTCCATTGCGTCAGGCACTTGTGGGGGCTTTGGTCGAAACATACCCATCTTGGTGCGTCTTATTAACGGCTCCATGGTCTGTGTCTCTACTGCAGCTTGTTGCCACCATTCTCCAGATGTGCCTGTGTTTTTGTCCACCCTGGTTCTTACGGGAAGTTTATGCAGATTGCCTGGATCCCACAAGTCGGCGACATCCTTCTCCTTCAGCCAGCTTGCCAGCTTGCAAATACTGTATATGCGTTCTTTTACCCGCTCTATTACGTATAGACTCTTCTTTGTCTCCAGCTGAGCAATAAGCACCCTCAAGACCCTATCCTCTTCCTTTTCCAGTTCATCCTGTTCCAAAATATCAACATGAGCGGCGAAGAGGCTGTTTGGAGCGAAGTCGTCGTCGGTAGAGGTATCGAGGAGTGTAAGAGGCAGTTGAGAACGCCCAACCACTCGGACGGGCTTGAACGTCACAGTCTTAGCGTGCGGTGATCCGGAATACGGCCGAATCGTAAAAGGCTTATTGAAGGCTCCGAGGCCACAGAGAGAGTCTCTGGTGAGTTTCGAGGGCAGCTGGGTTTTTGGTTCCTCATGTTTGGTGGCTAGTCGTAGCAGTTGTGTTTGCGTTTCTGGAACAGGTTGTAGCATTGTCTTTGTTTGCAATGCGTATGCCGACATTGGACCTGGGCATGGTTGTTGGTGGGCTGTCGAAGGCCGTCGTCGATTCTCGAAACGGTTTGGGTATGCCCTCCGCCAACGCGTGTCGCGAATCACGAAGGCTCGTGCACTCCATCTCCCGCGCTACCACGTCATTCCCGAGTGCCATCTCGATTCATAAGAGCAACCCCTGCTTTCCAAATAAGAGAACCAAGTCAGTTACCAGGAACGTCGATCGAAAGAGGTAGTAGTCATTGTCATAGTTGGTAATCCCTGTCGGTATCCCGCTGCTACCACGTTTCTACTAGTGTCTAATAAAATCTTTATTGATTTCCACCCCTTGCCGTTGTCCCACATTGTCAGTAATTTTGGTAAGGGACTGAGACTATCAATAGCATCTAAATTTCCGCCATGGCCATGTAAGGCACGGGGAATTGAGTTAAGAAACGTGCTCTATTTGTTTCACAATGGGTGGTGTCTGTGAGAATATATATCAGATACTATAGCAGCACTAGACAGCTACAGTGTGCATGTTTCTAGCATAAAGAATTATGATTCCAGATTGTGTATTTCTCGCCCTTGTAGAAACTGTGTCTCAACACAGCAGGGGCTCAAGACCTGGACCCAATGCCCGACCGTACCTTCGTCTGCTTCAAACAGCAGGTCCTCTTCCAATCCAAAGCCTATAACTCCGGAATGGACCGCGTCTTTTGTCAACATTGTTATAGTTGAACTTCGGACCCAACATAAGCTGATTAGTGTTAAAGTATAGCCATCCATCCAAAATAGCCATTGAGTCAGCATGCTGAATCAAAGCGCTCCGCGCCAGCACATTCACTACATAATCCTGTGCTGGAATAAGACCAGGACCACCGGGGGCGTCGCCATTAATAGTCATGTTAATTTCAGACTTAAGGGTGTCGACATAATAAATCGCATTTTGCTCGCTTGCAGCAATGTACACACGTCCTCGGTCGTCGGCTGTGAAGCCAGCCTGCTCCGAACCGCACTGGCCTGGATACTGTACTGCGGCAAGGACCTCCTCGTCTGTCTTGTTAGAGTCGACGAGAACCTCCTGAGAGATGTAGTAGAAGCGTCGGGATGCCAGGACGCCCCAGTAAAAGTTACCAGATGCTGTTTTTGCTATCAGCGGTAGAAGGATATTTCGAACCAACTGTACTCACCCAATGCGATTCCGTCTGCTCCAGTAGTAAGATGGCCCTTCTTCGTCCCATTCCAAGTATACACAAGTTCGCCAGCATAAGAACCAACATAGTTCTCGTCTGCTTGGACAATACTGGTGTTGAATAGCCTCCTCAGAGCACTTCCATCATGAAGGTTGACTGTTAGGAGCGAACTCTTCGCACTGGCATCTGCAATAAAAGCAAACCCTTCCTTCCCGCCAAGAGTCGTGTTGATGCGCAGGTCATTCATGTCTGTTCGATTCGACAATAGCTTTTCCGGTATTACATAGGTTCGAAGATGCTCGCCCGTTTGTTCATCAAAGCTCATCAGCTTTGCACCTCCAAAAATAGCATGGGTTTCGGGGGTTGCGTTGTAAGGAATACCACTATCAACAACCCAGAGCCGTCCTCGATCATCCAAGATAACATTCTGTACATTAATGAAGCATGTGCTTGGATCTTGTCCTGGTGTACAGTTCTGTATTCTTGCGTTGGGCCATGGCTTTTCATCGTTGAAAGAAGTGCAAATCACGACGTTGTTGGGTGTCTGCCCGCTGTTGCGGGGATACGTCAGGTAGAGCTGGTGAGCCGAATCGACGGCCAGTCCAGTGGAAGGCTTTTGGGAATCGTGAACTGGCTCCAGATGTGGCCCAACCAGAGCGAAGTCTTGGGGATAGGCGCCATTCGTAATTTCAGATCCAAAAGGGCGGTAACCACCTGGCTCTGTTTCCCAGTATTCAGCGGCCGACGCAAAGGCCACATAGGCCAATGCTGCTAGGGTTTTAATCATCATACCAAGAATAGGCTAAATCGTGTCTTCTTGTCGACGGGAATCGGAGAATAGATGTATTCAATATATACGTGTTCGATTGTTACGGTCGAGATCAGCACATACACCATTACTGCGGATATCGAGGGAACGCAGAATACTTAACACGCAGAACTCGAGTATTGAATGCAAGATTCCCGGATAATTCGGAAGATCCATGACGCTTGCGGTTGTTACCCGGTAATCAAATTTCT